CACGCAGCAAGGTGGCTGATCGATGCGGGAGGCCTAGAGCAATACCGGGTGGCCAAGGAAGTTGAGGAGGAGGTAATAGAGGACTGGAAACCGTTCCAGCTCCTCCACGACGTGCCAGAATAAGCTCTCCGCGTAGGCGGAAACACCGACTCGTGCGGAAAGATAGAAATGATTGAGATACTCTACTGAGGGGAGGAGGCGGGATTTTACGTACCCGCAGCCTCATGGCTACGGGGAAACTTTTGCCCGCGATAGACCAGATAGAGTGCCGCGCTCATAGACCCGAAAGGGATCCAGATAGTACGTTAAATTGATTCTTATTATTATTACATACTGGGCATATCGACATGATATATAATCATTAACTACCAAATAGGAGAAGCAGGTTTTTCTTGGATTGCTCGAAGTATTTGATGGCCTCAATGCGTAAACAAGTTTGAAAGGGCTCGTTATATCCAAAGCTGTGATCGAGAGCGTTTAAGTCGCTGGTCACAAGGTTTGTTAGTTGCCTAGTAGTAGCCTTGTACTATTCTCATACGGCTTTAATATGCAAGATACACCAATTAATTTCTATTGCTTCCGGCCTATTGGTAGCCTTGTACTATACTCATTTGTCTTGTATCCCCATGGCCAGTTGACTGTCTTGTAATATAACCTCCTCCTGCCACCTACTGCTTGATAACTCCAAAGAAGGAAGAGAGTCTCGACAGAGCTGCAGGTGAATTGGACCGGTGATAGCGAGCTGAAAGGGTGAGACTAAGACTGGACGGTAACTCTCTAGTGAGAGACCCAGTAGTCTTAAGGTAGTGCTCCTGTTTGCTATGCTTTCAGGACCTCATGCCACCTCTGCTGCGTGCATGCTATCAGAGGGGTATTCCAAAGATGGAACTTCAGTAGATTGGACGTGGGGGGAATTACCCACTAGAAGATGTCCGGCAGCTCATTGGTTGTAATATCGCTCTGGAACCCCTCCAGACAGAAGGTTATGGTTTTCGAATATCGTCCTAGCCAGATAGAGGGCTATAGTGCGCACTTCAACAAGTACAGTCTGGAACTGTTAACTAGGCTGACAGGAGGGTTTTATGAAAGGAGAATGGAGTTAGGCGGGTTCAATACTAGGTGTCTCTAGGCTGTGAACAACTGTATCTATGTAGTGCTATAATAGGACTGATTTGACTCTACCCTAATGCCAGATATTTTATTTTGCCTACAAACACTGATACCAACATCTTCCTCCCCGCAACTGAAGAGCATATGAACCTCCTTGATTCGAAGCGCCAAATGTCCTTGTGAAATCTATCCAAAATCAACTGGGTACGTTCTTTGGACATGGTTGAAGGGTGAATGGCAAGCGACGGTGAAGATTCACATGTAGGCTGCCTAAAATATTAGGTTGGCTCATTTTTGCAATGGAACTATCGCGAGAAAGTTGAGCAGTCGCCGGTTTGGATGCATCTACATTCATGGCCAACGGATGAGATAGCCCGGTCAGTGATGAAAAGTTGGAAGTGAGGATACGGGAAGTGATATTATGTGATAGTAGACCCGTGTGCGCAATGTATGGCTGACTCTGATTAAGATTAATGATCGCATGTGACAATACTTCTAGAATACAATTTATATTCATATTCACCCTCACATGCCAACTGAAGTGTTACCAACTCAGCCTGCATCGGACCAGGACCTTTATTTGCATTAACAATCTTCCAAATATTTACCTCGAGTAAGCAGGATACGCCTTACCTGAGCAGGTCCTTGCCATATAGCGCTCTTGAGGTCACTTACCACTGGTATCAACTGCTCCAGTACTTGAATAGAATGCCTCCTAAGAACCAGATTCTAAAAACGAAGAGAGAGGGCAAGGCCAAGGGCCCAGGTGAGGCCCGATTGCCTCTTTACAAGCAGTGCCTTGAACGAACCAGCATCGTGAAAGAGGTCTTTGGGTCTGAGGCTGCCGAACACCCACTTCGAGCACAGATCGTGCAGTATCAGGCTCAGTATCAGTCTCGGATTGAGCCTCTGCAGGAAATCAGTGAATACATCGCCAAGTGCTCATTGATTCATAGGTCTAAGACTGACTGCCGAAGTAGACCACATCAATGTCCTGTTCATGAACAAATTCGGGTTCGGGATTATCGAGAAAGAACAAGAGTTGGTTCGCGCTTACATGACTGGCATCGACGGCCCCGAGGCGAACAAAGCGATCCTGCAGACGATCTACCTCATCTACGCTCGAGACCGCCACTTCAAGACCCGCGATGACCCCTACGAGGAACGAACCATCCGGGAATGCTCGAAGCTTCATCTGCTCTTGATCAAAGCGCTGAAAGAGACGTGCAGGAAGCTGAACGTCCTCCGCGCCGATGGTCGGCTTCCCTCGGAGATTGACAGAGCGGTGGCTGGACTGCCCAATACGATTTGGTTTAGCACATTGGAGGACGCTAATAAACACATCGCTTCCCTCAATGCTGAGATGGCAACCGTCGATTTCGTCCGCAAACCGACCGACCCGGTATCAGAATGGTTCAGTTCCGAGGCGTACGCCGCAGCGGCAAGTATGGCGAAAAAAGGCCATATCGACTTTGAAACAAAGCTATTTAGGAACTTTGGGGACTTGAATACCTTGCCTGGGCAGCCTCGAGAGAGGATGGGTCGGGCACCTGCGCTGGTAATCGGGTCTGAGTCTGCTGTCGTTGGATCTGATGCGGAGGTTCATAGTGGACCGACGGGCGGAGGAGAAAACGATGCAAGGCATGGGAAAGAGTACAAAGTCGATCAGGAGACGATTTGAGCATTGGACTATACGGCTTTGATGTCGGGTCAAGCGTCCTATCCGGACTGAGATGGAACTGGAGGATTGGTGCTAGATCCTTTGCGCGGCGGTACTACGGACACAGGTTCAGCGATATAGATCGATTTTCACTCAGCTCTTGCTAGTGGAATAGAAGGAATTTGAGCCATTACTGATAGCCTATGTTCCCAAATCATTTCGCAAGCAGCAGTCATTCATAGTACCATCATATCTAGAAGTCATCCAGATGAGGTTGAAATAAACCATCCGATCCAGCCGAGGATGATCCGCGATCTGGAGATGGGACCCACTTCCTTTACAGACCCTTGTCCACTTTCTGGTTCACGTTCGTGTTCATTCAACATTCAAGTTCAACCCCACGTCTACAATTTCCAATACGTGCTTTATCGAATGTCAATTGCCAGCGAGTCGAGCATTGGATCATAGAAGTCAAAAGACTATCAGGATTACGCTTCTCGATTTAAATCGCTCAGTTCTCGCCCATATATTCCTCAACTCGAAGCAACAATGAGGATAGCGGAGGTGCGATAGCTCGCAATCCTCCCATTCATTGTCCTCTCAACATTCCCATAATGGAAACCCCCACGGCCCCGTTTGATCCTGTAGTCTGTGTTGTAGACTTTCACCATGCACGGTACGGAGCATTCTCGCACCATCGCCTAGTGTGGCCGAGTTCTTGGATCACAGAACGCTGTACTGACTAGACGATACAACCAGTGGTCCAGAAGTTGAGACGTGGCTCGGAGTTCAAGATGGCGTAGACCTCGCTGCGGAGAATGACTGGTCCTTACTCCCATTCATGGCATTGACGGACGGAGTTCATGCGTATGGCCATCCCTAATCCTACCCTAAAAGTATGATATCTAGCGGCGATACTGAGATCCAACTTTAGAGCAGCCGAGGACTACTCCTACTTCACCCTCCGATATACCGGCCCGCCAAACTCCTCAGATGCCCCCGTAGATAAGAAGGATGACGAAGAAGGAGATGAGTTCAAATCCATTGCTCTGGACCGCCCTTCCGGTATCGCGGCTACGTCATTATTTGGAATCTCTTGCACCAGGCAGATCGATGCGTCCCAACTGATAAATCGACCGGCAGACGTCACACGATCGACCGTACAAAAGGCTGTGATAGTGATTGGAGGCGCCCATATGCCGAAACATTTTGGTTGGTTGAGGGAGAAGCTGGGTGCTGTGACACGAGCTTGGTTCGAGCAGCGGTACGTCGAACCCGGGAATGATCCTATTCTGAAATATTTGTCTCCGACATTGGCTTTCTATATGCTCATTTAACGGTTTAGGGACTTCTCGGACCTTGAGATCTTGAAGGTGTGTTAAATCAAGATGGGGATGACGATTACAACTAACGGCGTTGAAGGAATTCCAAGACAGCCTTGGGAAGACATTCAAAGACATGGAAGACGAGAAAGATCAATATTTTGGTGGGAATAGCTGTACTCTCTGTGAACTGTACTTTGTTACTGACATTGCTAACAGGGCTTTCTCTCCGCGAACTGATCCACCAGTTCAAATGGCAGACCCTCGTCCTTCTCAAAGCATGCCTTTTGCAGCGCAAGGTTGGTTAATACAACCCTGTAAACCGTATTCATGCTGAATCTCGTCCAGATACTCTTCTATGGATCCAACTGCGAAAAGCTATGCATGATACAATTCTCGCTAATCTCTCTAATCCCCGGATTGCTCCGTTCTCTGCAAGATTGTGCGGATCCACAATTTAACTCCTACGAAGAATCGCTCGTCATGCCAACATCGCTGAAGACTAGTGAAAGGGCCTCGCTCCTAGCTTATATGGGACTGCCCCTCCAAATATTTGGCAAGGGAAGTCTATTCGGGCCGTATACTCCTTTGCAGCAGCTCGATGTGCTCGCGGATCATGGCACGACATCATATATTGTCGGATCGACGAACTCCCTCCTTTTGCAGCAAAGGGATCGGTACAGTGACGTACTGATTAATTTGGATGAAAATACTATCGACATCAGTTCACCATCTCTGAGATCGGCTCTGGCTCTATCAACACCCGACCGGAGATGGGTCGACTTCATAACACAGACGGTCAACGACACCTGGGATGATGCAAATCCAGGGAGACCAAACACAATGGGCTATGCAGGAAGCGAAGAGTTCATTCGTCTCCAGTTCGAAGAGTATCTCCTCGCGCTCCTCTCCGCTGTTAAATACCGTTTGTATACGGAGAAGAACAAGGACGACCCGAAAGCCTTGCTAAACGAATACGGTACATATTCTCTTCGTCTTACACACCAAAATCTACTAACACGGGCGTAGAAGGCGATCCGGCTCAGGAATTCAGCAACGAATTCATCAAAGGCTGGATGGAGACGGACAATTACCGAGTCTTCCAGAAATTCACGGACTCGCATCTTTTCGACATTGTTGAACCATTGCACCCATGCAGCGGCGGCCTCTCCATTGAGGATGTCCAACGACGTCTGGCACAGTAGGTCGACTTCCTCTCTCGATTTTTCAACGCTAATAGTATCGTAGGCAAATAACTGAACTGCATCTGGATGAACGAGTGCAGGCTGGTCGCGAAGTCCTCGGGAAGCACCTCGCCACCGGCCAGAAGAAAGTATCAACCGCCCTGAACAACATCTGGGCGGAGATTGAGGTCATGAGGGAAGCGCAGAAAATGCGCGCCGAAGAACAGCGTGCTGCGGCTGCCGTTAACAGCCCGACCGCTGGGTCTCCGACAAGTCCGTCCAATGCACAAAGGGGCGGAGCAGGGTCACGATGTAAGTTAAGGAATGCGTAAGGACCCTAGGGTATCTGCTGATAGTCCATAACCAGTCTCTGCCATCGGAAAACCAGATCTGTCGCAAGCTCAAGCATCAGCACAGGCAGCTGGCGCCAAAGCCGGAGCATACCTCTCATCTTGGGGTTCGTGGGCGGCGGAGAAGCGGCGGACAGCATGGTCCGCATATTCCGGAACGGGATCACAACCGCCGAGCAGACCGTCCTCGCAGGTTCCCAATACCCCGCCTGGGACATCATGGTCGCTCTCTAGTGGCACTGATTCGAAGCGATCGAGTGCTGCGGCTGGGAAAGAGAACGAAGTCCCGGATATCAAACCAGTTGATGTTACGAAGGGTCCGCGCGAAAGTTATCAGCAGGTCGTGTTGGATGTGAAAGCAGATGAGAAGGTACCGGAAGCTAAACCGAAGGGTCTGCAGGAAAGTGATCAGAAGATCTTGTTGGATGGGAAAGCAGACGAGATGGCACCGGAAGCTAAACCGAAAGAGACGACCGAGGCTTCCTAGTGCTCGCCTGAAATTGCATAGCGATAGGAATTGGATAGGCGTTCTGATTTATGTGTGTAACGCTAGCATCTTATGAATGTGTTATGAGAACAACTCAGCATATCTATTTGAATGCAGTCCAATAGAACCTTATCTAAATCTAACGATTCTGGGTTTCCTTTTTCAGATCTGTTACCTAACTGATTCAATTCTCCGTCTCAACAAGTCCCCGGAACCGTCCACCATCTTTCCGCATTAACTCTCCCGGGGAGCCGACCTCCACAATCTTCCCCGCATCCATGACCACAATCCTATCAAACTTCATCACGGTTTCCAGTCGATGAGCGATCGCGATCACCGTGGGACGGTGCCTGAACAGCTCCTCATCACACACCGTGAGCATGCGCTTCTCCGTCTCCGCATCGACCGACGAGGTCGCCTCATCGAGAACCATGATCTTGGCGTTGCGCAGCCGAGCCTGGACAAGCGCCCTGGCCAGCGCGAGTAGAGCGCGCTGCCCGTGAGAGAGGACTGCCTCCACGGTATCCATGGAGAGGTCTAACAATGACACTGCGCTCGAGTAGCCTGCAATATCCCGAAGTGTCCCCAGGAGATCAACATGAGCCAGCACCGATTCTAGGGCAGAATCGTCAACGGACTGTGGCCCCGTCGAAGCACGAAGCTGAGCGACACGGTTGGCATATAATTCTTCCCGAAGAGTGGTATCACCGCCGATGAAAACGGGCTCTTGGGGCAGCGCAACGACGGACTCGCGGACTTGGGTCCAGGACAGACCGCTAGCGGCACCGAGGTTCAGCCCGTCAATGGAAATTGACCCGGTTCGAATGTTGAGAAGTCCGAATATGCTCGCGACGAGACTGGATTTTCCGGAGCCGGTTCGGCCAACCACGGCAATGCGCTCGCCAGAGTTGATAGTGAGGTTGATAGACTGTAGGACAGACGGGGTGTGAGGAGTGAGAGAGTAGCCAGCGGCGAAATCTTGGAAGTTGATGCAGCCAGACATGATCGGGTTTCCATGCCCCTCAATCGTCTCTAATGGAACCTTTGAGGGCGATGTAGGCACTGGGATGCTTTGGGGACCAAATGAGTTCTCCTGTGGAGTGTTCGTCGCAAACTTCCGGATGCGAGTAATTGCACTGAGTGACGTCTCCAGGTCCGTCCAACTCGTCACCAAGACTTTAATCATTATCCCCAAATCCATCGTTCCGACAAGAGCCAGGCCGAGGAATCCAGCATCAAGCTTATTCTTCAATGGGATGGCCAAGCCGACTGTTACGATGACGATGCCTGCAACCATCAATTGAAGAACCAGATGAAGCCAATTCTGAATGGCTGCCAACAGATAGAATGGACGCTGCGACAGGTTTAGCAACTCCATGTTCTGCCGATCATATGATTCCGACCACCCGAACGCTCGCACCGTGCTAATCCCAGCCAGCGTCTCCAAGAAATGGGTGCACAGCGGTGCTTTCGCTTCCAAGTCCATGAGCCGCATTTGCCGGCTCGTCCGTAGGTAAACTCGCTGGATAACCCAAGAGATTCCGAGCAGGAATGGCACCAGCGCCGCGATTGGAGGGGTCGCAACAACGACCAGTCCGAAATAAAGAGCGCAATTGAGAATCTCTCCGGTGGTGTTAATGAAGGCATACGGAAGATTTCTGTCAACCAGTGCGATGTCTTGTGAGAACCGGTTGGTGATGTTGCCAATGTCGGTGGAGACTATGAAGGGAAATGATGCGTAGAGCAGTGCTTTCAGTTGGCGTGCATGTAGCACTCGACTAGCCGAAGGTATGATGCCGAATGAGAAGTGGGCTATCCATATACTGATAAAGGCAATGGCCAGCACGGATATCACGATGAATATGGTGAGGTGTCGATACATCACTTCCAGGCTTTGGTCATTAAAAGAAGCCCAAAGCTTTAGCCATAGAACTATTATATGTTAGCATTGTGGAACGAATGAGTGTATGCTTAACTCACATTGAGAGAAGGTCATCCCACTTTCCAGCACCATGACCGAGAAGAAGATGATACAATGCTTTAATCCAATAGCAGAGAGGTAATATTTGAACGCAGCTTTGTCCCCGGACCTCCGATCGTCGTCAATTACGTAGTCATCCAAAGGAGAATTCTTTGCCGGAGTAGCCTTAACCAAGCTCACTGGCGTTTGATCTTCATTTTCATCCACACCATTATCTGAAGAAGTCTCTGATGATTGGTCATTGATCAGATCCTTGAAAAGCTCCGAACTCTCGATCAGCCTCTCTGGTGTATCCGATTCGACGATATTTCCCGACTGGAGTATAACTAATAAGTCCGCCTCTTGAACCCATTTCAAGGAATGCGTTGCGAGTACGACTGTCGAGTTTGATTTCCGAAGAAGTCCCTGTTTCCCGAACACTCGATGGAACACAAGTCTCTCTGTCGTTGAGTCTAAACCGGATAGTACGTCATCAATAATAAGTACCGCTTGTCTTGAATAGACCGCTCGTGCCAAAGACATGCGGTTCTTCTGTCCGCCGCTAAGTGCGATCCCTTTTGAACCGACAACGGTCAGGTCCCCCTGAGACATGTCCACGAAGTCTTCTTGCAAGCCGCAAGCATATACAACTTGGTTGTACCAGGTGGAGGAGAAGTCACTCTCGCCAATGATATTTTCTCGTAATGTTTGATTTCGCAGCCAAGGAGTTTGGGAACAAAATGCCACTGAATCCTGGCTGCGGCTCATTGTCCCATCCAAAAGTTCTATTTCCCGTGCCAAACATCGTAGAAAAACCGATTTCCCACTAGCGACCTGGCCAATGATGATGGTTAACGCATGAGACGGGATTTCGAGATTGGCATTTCGGATAATCGGCTTGTCCGTGTCAATGCCGATCGTCGCGTTTCGAAGGCATATCGCCACTGTATCGGAATAATGTGGCATGGCCTGTAGGCAATAACTAGAGCGTCCATCAAGTCCCTGGATGTTGTGGTTTTCGCTGGTTTTGCCATGATTCTCAGAAACGAGATACCTATGGATCCGCTCCAAAGAAGAAAACGCATTCTGGAAAGTAGCTATGCTCTGTAGAGCAGGTAGGAGAGGGGTTGTGATAAGCTTCAAGGCTGATAGAGAGGAAAAGAGCCGAGAAAAGTCGAGTATAGAACCTTTCGACATGTCTATTCCTGCAAATAGGGCATAAGTAGCGAGAGCCGCCAACGGAAAGATGAAGTTTGCAATGGCGATGATAATGGAAAGTAGATGGAATGAATAGTTCGACTTTTTGACTTCGGTCTCCCGCAGGTCGGTCAACCTATTCTCGAAGACGCTGGTCAGGCCCAGCATTCGGATTCCTTTTACCGAAGCCACCATATCTGAGACGGATTTCACTCTTTTCTCGGTCATCCCCACGTAGTTGAGTTGACGTGGTCGAATTCTACTTCCCAGAATTGAACAAATGAAAGCCGCTGAGAAGATGGAGACCAACGCTCCCAGGAAGGCAATTCCAAGCTGATGGTAGAGAATATAGGACGCAATTCCACTCTGTACAGCGGCTGACCAGAATTCGTGGAATCTTGGGAGCCCTTCAACAACCTTTTCGACATCCACATTCATAAGAATTGTCGCTGAGCCCATGTTGACGTCTTTGGGTGAAATTTCTAGCGTCTTGCCGTATAGCAGCGAAATGAGTCCTCCTCTTATTTTTGCCTTGAATCGTGCCAGCGCTTGCAAATGCCAGGCGGAGAAGATCGCAAGGAACATATAATCCAACGAAAAAGCAGCGAGGAGTCCATAACCGGTATTTCTTGTCGTTTCGCTGTCGGGAGTTTGTACGTATTTTGTGATAGCCGGGATCAAGAACGTCTGCGATATCGTCATCCCTATCTGCAGGAGCATAGGTATGACGGGAATGACGATATCCGCAGGGATGACTTTGACAATCGTCCATAGCAGAGACAGCCGCTTCTCCTTGTTTCTCGTTTTGGCCCATGATTCTCGGAACGAGACTTGGAGACTCTCGGCAGTCAAGTCCCCATCCAGCGAAAACAGATCATCGGGCTCGAGGATCTGTCGATATCCAGCGCGAAAGAGGCCGTTCAAGTGCCAAAACAGCTTCTGAGCAAACAAGCCTATAGTATCCTCAGGAGAGAGCCTCGTAAAAGTGTCAGACAGGAGCTCCGACTTGTCTAGAGACTCTAGAAGGAGCAGCATGGCCGTCAAGAAGGTATGGACAGAAGCAACCGACACTAACGACGATTCGTATTTCATCAAGAACAGCGTTCGAAGCCTAACTGCATCGGTGGCCAACAGAACTAGCAAGAATAACTGCAATAAATGGCTAGGTCGCACGGCTCGCGTATGTTCTAACCGTGACAGCGCAATCACAGTCAAAGATCCCAGGAGCTCAAACACCGCCGCCGCAACTGTTTCTCGGGTTCGGAACCTTGCTTCGCTCCAAAGCACAAGCAGCGCCGTGCTTGACGCCGCGTAGATGAAGGTAGCGACGACTTTGAGAGTTCCAAGGCGGGAGTGCTTCGTAAGTCTTTCTCGACGCAGCCGGAGAGTACTGTAACGTATCGGTGCAAGGAGGAGAAAGAAACATTGTGGGAGAAGCGCGAAGATGCTGTCTTCGAAGAGCAAGGTGAAGTCGAAGGAGCCACGACAATGATCACCGACTGTCGGGCCAAACGTGCTATCCGTTGGACACACCCGTGCCATGATTACCAGACTGATAACGTATGAACCAAGGATGATAAACAAGAATTCGATAGAACTATCGAAATTGCACCATAGACATTTCCACCATGATAAAACTGATGCCACTTAATTAGCCGAACACCTCTGGTTATGTACGAAGGTTAGCGAGCTCTAGAATTTGCAAGGACGCGCCAGCCGATGAGTATACGCAATCCAGCTCCGCGTTCTGCAATAATACCTAGCTAGTTGCGGCACGTCGGAGTCATCACTCGTCAGATAAGACGGATCTCCGACACAAAGAATCAACATGATAGGTTCGATGAAAAACCTCCTAATCGCATACGCGGGATCTGAGCGATCTTGAAGGTGAATTGAGTTGGTGCCTGATGGCAGTTCTAGATATTAGTCTGACGCCGTTTGGAGTTCGACTTCGGGGTTCGACTTCGGAGTTGGATTTTTGACGACCGCCAAGCTAAGTTCGAATCCCTGCCAAATACCATAAGCAACCACCTAAGTAGCCAGTATCACCATCTCAACCACCATCACCTAGACCGTGATACCACTACGTAATTGTATTTAGAATTTAAACTATACGACTATTGCACAATATCTTGGGGAGACTCTTGGGCAGTTTGAGCTATTGGACTAGCCTGATTTGGTGGTGTATTCGCGTCAAGAAGTCGTACAGCCTCTTGCGCTAGTTTGATCTCTTGAATCTGTGCGAATTTGACATTAAGATCTATCTGAACCTTCCTCTTACGTTTTGGGAGTGGAGCGGAATCTAGGTGGGCCTGAAGACCAGCAATTTTCAGTTCTGACGCAGCCTGGCGCGCCTGTAGCACTCCGATTGCCTTTGCTGCCTTCTCTATGTACGACTTGGTCGCCTTCGCCATGTGTGTATTCTTGCTAAGAACGCGCAATGCACTTTGTATTTGTTTGGGCCTGTAGGGCATCGTCTGGAGGACTGAGGGGACTAGTATTGGGGCGCGTGGAAGCGTGTTTGGTGGTGGAATTGAGGATGTTGTTTCGGTAGGCGTGGGCGGTACCACGAACCGGTTATTGAGGCCTTTTGACGGGTCCCACGGTATAAGACCTGCCCCCTTCCACCCCGATCTGATTGTACGGTCGGTTAGGCGTGCCTGGCGCGCCTTAGCATAGAGGACAATGAATCTTTGTCGTTTAATCGGTAGCGCCTCGTCGATAAATGCGCTTTGGCGGAGGAGGGCCTTGTAGAAGCGTTTCAGAGGTGAAAAACAGGCGAGATCGAGAGGTTGAAGGATATGGGAGGTATGCGCAGGTAGGAAGACCACAGTCATGTCGTTTATCCTGCATTCGTATAGGAAATCGACGGTTGCATGGCTTCCGTGCCCGTCCATGAGTAGGATCCTGGACCGTCGCTCTGTAGCGGTTTCATGGATGAAAACCGTACGAAGCCATACCAACACGTGTTTATCTGAAGCCCATCCGTTCGAAGATACCGCATAATGCAAGTCTGGAGGCTGTCCGGGGAACCAAGCAGATTGTAGGGACGCGCCTTTCTGGATAACGGTTGCTTTGAGAGAGCGACTGGTTGCAGACTGCTTCTAGGATAGAAAACCATTCCCGGTTCTCAGGACTCGTGATTTAGGCTGTCGACTTCTGCGAGTCTGCGATAACAGTAGAAGTAGAACTAGCACATATTCCCATTCCAACACCGACTTCATCCATATTTCATGTATCGGAAGAGTGGACATCGTACTGTGTCTGAACTTGGTGAAAATACGCGTAAAACCCAATGATTGTATCCGGTGTTGCAGCCCGACGTCATACGACATCTGGACTATGTCCAATACAGGTCGCAACGCGTGGATTTCGATGTAGAAATCGCGGTACCCAGTTCTTCCCAAGAGGGGTGGAATCTTCTTGAAGGGATAGAACTCGCGATGCCATTTCTCGCAGTCGTGCGTGGGTAGGAGGGAATCCTTGAGCGTTATTCTCAAGTATCCAATCAACTAAAAAGGCCTCTTGCACCGGTGTAAGGCGTTGGTTCGATCGTTGAGCTTTAGCTCGTGGAGGGACACCTCTGAGGCGGTTTTGAAGCGTTCGTCAGTTGACCTGGAATAGGGCCGCAGCTTCGTTTTGTGATTTGCATTGACCGGTCTCTACTTAAGGCATGAATGGCATGTTGGACTCGATCCTCCAAAGATGACATCGTAATATTAGACGGTGGCGGTGACATCACGGTTCAAGTGATGGTGGTTGAGATGGTGATACTCTACTGGCTACTTAGATGAGTGGCTACTTGGCTGGGGTTCGAACATATTTTCATACCCATCGGGCATGATCCCAAATATCCATACAGTACATCAATTGATTCTATCATTCATTTCTATTATATTTGTTTTCCTGGAGTGCATGACCATAAAACCTTGTATCAAATCAAAAATAGCCATCTTCTTAGCCAAGCACCCAATGGCGTGACCACATCGCCTACTGATTGTGATTTGCGCCAAAAGGCCGCTCCATTCCTTTTGCGGGGCCAATCGGCGCCTTGACGACGATATTGAAGCGCCAGAGCCGCAAATCTGTGATGGACTAGTAGTTCTACTTGCAATGCACGATTTATCAGCTTCAACATATTCTAGAAGCCTAGCGTTAAAACCGAGATCCAAACACTGCTTTTCCATGAAGACGTTTTTGCGCAGCCTTATTGCGACATCCTTCTGACATCGTGAGTCAGATACGGTATACAATAAGGGTTGGAAAGATGGTCTGAGCTTTGGAGATCGATCAGCGGGCAGCGGCCAGCGCAACTCATTCGACTTATACTCTTTCGCACAGAAAACTAATCACTAACTACATTGAGGGTTGCATTCCTCCGGCTTCATGCCAACAAATCCCAATCTGTGGCAGCCTGAAAGAGACGCGCAACGACATACGGTACGTATACCCCAGGCTCATATCTTAAACAGAAAACCGCTGCCTGCTACACCATTTGTATTTAATCGCCGAAGGGACGACAATATGACGAACAAATTCAAGCATCAATTCAAGCATCAATTCAAGCATCAATTCAACTACGTTGGAAAGTTTTCTAAAAGTCACCAAAATGGCCACCACGATCCCCAACCACTCCATTCTCCCTCTGGAAGAGTCTGACATTCCCTCCCTCGCACGTCATGTTCAGGCCTCCAAGCTTGAACTCTCCATTAATCGTTTTTTATGGAAGGACTGGCCCAACGAAGCTGGTCAGGCTGTGAATTCCCGCCAAGCTATAGAGGGATCATTCGCCAGGTCCGACAGCGACCGGTTCAAGGTCGTCAAAGATGACACTGGTGAGATTGTTGGACATCTTGTCATAACGCACAAGCGTCCTGTCCCCCAGGAGGAGGGAGGAAATCCAGTAAAGCCAGAGGTCCAGAAGGAGATGAATCCAGAAATCCTCGACTGGGTGATCAGGGCAAGTGCTAGCAACCAAAAGCTTGTCAAGGACCGAGAGCACTTAGGTATTTTGTGCCCCTCGATATTACCTTCGATCACTGGCTTATTATCACAGTTATAACTCACTTCTACGTCGCCCCCTCCTCGAGAAAGCAAGGGATTGCTTCGAGCCTGATACGTTTGGTCATTCAGAAGGGCAAGGAGGCAGCCCTTCCTGTCTTTGCGGGCGTGGAGCCACAGGCCCTTTCTTTACTACTCGCGCATGGGTTTAAAGAGATTGGCTACTCTGATATTGACTTGAGCAAGTTTGCGCCAGAGAACTGCGGTTGGGGTGTGTTTCGTCTCACGGCAGTGATCCTGGAACATTGACATTTCACAAGAATATCTTTGTCAGCTTTGGGTACGAATTACATCGTAAACTGTGTGCTACCGAATTGCCGTTTGTGATTTAGTGCCACCCTATCGGGTATAGCGTTATTTTCCGTTTTCAAACCTCAAATCTCGAAAACATAAATACCACCACCCCTCCCCTTCTCAACTCCCCATAACTCTCTTCCGCCTCTTCCACCCTTTCCACACTTTAGTTTCTCTTTTCCTTTTGCTTCGCCCCGTCCTAATATTGCTCTGCACACCAATCGACCCCTTGCGCGAGCCATTTGCACTGGCTGAATCCGCCACCCCCTCCCCCCAGCACCCAAGTTTCTTCTCCTTCCTTTTCCATTCCATGCTTGACTGCTCACTCGTAGCGCCTTCTGGATGGTGAGTAAATGTGCGGCTTTATTGGAGCTTCTCGCCGCAATCTAGCGGAACTCTCAAGATATTTGTCCTAAGGGCACGTCCTACCTCGGCACCTCCGTATCCTCAGATTCGGCTTATCGCTCCGGCGAGTTCTTTGTAGATTTCGACTTCATTCATAAGATGTGAAGGACTGAGTTGGTTGTACTCGAGCTTCAAAGCGACGTTTTGTCCGGTTTGAAGGTCGTGACCTGCGATATCGATTAGGCTTCCCTTGCAATATCCTTTGAATCCGCACTAACCTTGATACAACTTCGCCATAAGAGCCGCCGCCAAGCCGGAGGTCTAACTGGTACTTATTCCGGACAAGGATAGGTTTCATGACGGAAAAGAGAGGAGGACGTGGTTGAGTAGCCCAGAAGGTCCGCTATTTTGGCCAGCATACAATTGTCTATCTTAGACCCCACTGTCGCACAGTATGTAAAAGCTAGTTATCAGGATTCCTCAAAACTTACAGAAATGTAGGTAATTTGGTGGCGTAGACAGGGGGGGGTTGCAGCCCGTTCTCAGAAAGCCGGAGAGATATGTATGTTGTAGATCGGCTCTCCATTTCATCCCGACTCACTGTCAAGGGAAGATTTGTCAACTCTAATTGGAGGTTGGAATGTTGGCTGAGCAATTCACACGTACAGAGTGGGGTAGGGGCTGCACAGCCCTTGTATACTGTACCGCCACTCATTCTGCAAGCCCCTGAGCAAGCGATTGGGAAGAGAGCTTGCGAATTCGCAAGGCCCGGATTGAATCCGAGGCTGGCATGTATCAACGTGCTTAAATCAACTATAAAGTGCCTACCCAAGCATCTCACCAGCTTCGATTGGCGTCAGCATCGTCGCCCGTCCACATCCAACTTTCCGACTACCGTGCCGAGCAAGGTGGATAAGGCGGGGATATATATCGAGCGCAGCATGGCAGATATTTTCCGAGATTCCTTGTTCACGTCGAAGGCGACGGACTACGTGTGCCCCAAGTGGACTAGTCCGTGGCGGTTTTGGTGCAACGCTCCGAGCATCTGCACGACCGACTCTCGGACATCGAAACAGTATTGCTGCAATCCTGGTGATATCTGCTGGGCTCCCACCTCAGCGTGCTCTGGCGACGGGAGTACTTTCACCTGCACCAGTGGCGACAGCACATGGTGCTGTCTAAAGGATAAGTTCGTTCACACCCTGCTAGTGCTGGAGACGACCACAGTGGAAGACCAAGCTAACTCACGATTACATTGATAGAGAAATTTGCACACAGTTGACGGGTCAAAGAAACATATGCTATACCACATCCCCAAATCCTCTACAAAACTTTACCGAGAGCGTACTCGATGATACGTTTTCGTCCTTGAGCTCCGCGGCGCCGACCGCCAGTGCCTACAGGTTCGATCTCGCCGCGTTACTTGGACAAACCACACACACGTCGGGGCAAATCGCAGACCCGACGGGCACTAGTTCGACCTCAGATGGCGTTCCGTTGTCCAATTCTCCGTCAAGTGGTCAGCCGTCTGCCGGTTCTCTTTCTGGTGGAGCAATAGCAGGAATCGTCATCGGCGCATTGGCCGTAGTTGTTATCGCTGCCCTCGTCGTGGTTCTCTTCTTGCGATACCGACAGAAACCCAAGAACCAGGTTGCGCAGCTGGCCCAGCCGCAGACCGGCCCAAAGTACTTTCCATCGGTTGAAGTGTCTCAAGCGGCTCCGCCTGTGGTGCCGTATGAGCTACAATTCATTTCGGTCAGCCCAGCGGAGCTGCCTGGATATGGGAACGGAGGCGGGCGATAACGATCGTTTTCGAAAGAGCTTGAGTACTTCAAGATATAGTTAAATATTATGCCTGGTTAGGCAGGAACGCTCACGGAGGATACATCAAGGGAGCGATCACCAGTGATCGAAGGGATTAGAGTAATCACTAGTGATAGTTTGGAGGATTCTTGGATTGATCTCAAAGGTAAACTATCTAGTATCGGACAGAACGAAGAATGAAGAAGAAAAGGGAAGGGAAACAGGAACGAAGGAGGTATCTTATCTACATGTGTATCTTCCCGTGGTGGTTGTTTGTTACCCACCTCTCAACACATGCGACTATCCTACATTGGGGTGGTCAAATTTGTGGCGCAGAGGTCTTAGCAGCTGATATATCTCCAGCTCCCTCAACTTTGATCTTCAATATCTTCACCATTTTTTATACAAATCATGCCAGGAAAAGAGTGGGATAGTCTCCGTAAGATTGCATTTTTTAGGCTCTATGATCAGTCCAAAACCGCCAATGATTTACCTCAATCTGTCGCCAAAAGGGCATTAAGATCCCACCATCAACAGGCCGCCGATGGCTTGCCCAATGCGATGAGCCAGGGCTACGGGCTATACGACGTACAAGGGATATTAGCAAACGCCTTGGACGACCTCCTAGCCTCGATAGCCGGACGCTTCAGAGCCCCCTCGATCCGTAGAACGAGCTATACTGGAAGTCAAGAGAGGAGCAAGCAAAAGAGCTAAGGGTATACACTCGAACACTCCAAAAGAACTTCTCTAAACGGCTCAACGCGAGGCGCTATAAGAAGCCACAAACCAAGGCTATCAGCTCTACAAACAAGGGGGTCCGGAAGGTCTATGGGGAGGACCATCGTGGTAAGTCAATCAAAGATCTATGGCGATGGCTCTACTTCATAGACGGGACCTATTTCAACTCCAGAGATCTCGCTGATAAGCAGGAATACGAGTTACGGGTCCCAGGCGAATCTCAACGATTTAAATCAATACAGGGGATTCAGGGTAGCCCCCTCGACGTAACGGTTCACGTTGCAGCCGGAATCTCCTATGATCGGAAAGGGGTCTTCCATTTCTACCCTAATCCAGCCGAACCAGCTGCAAAAAGGGCGTATAGGCCCCGGAGACCGCGGAGGTCAAGTGTTGAGACTTGTAAGTGTATCACTGTAGGGAGTCTCCAATCGTGAGGCAAACATTGAATTGTTGCTATGAAGGAGGAATCTATCTAACTGTAAGGTGTGCGAGGCGTTTATCTGTTCTGGTGTTTACAGAGCAAACGGGCCAGGGCCACAGCAGGGCCACATGACAAGGCCACAAGGCCACAAGGCATCCAGGTCGATAGACCTCTGATCCATCACAAGACTACTGAGCAGTATACCGCTGCATAAGAGGCGTGGGAGGCCGGCTAGCGGGGCGATATTGACGTAGATATCAAGATTAAAGGGAACTCGATGACCCAAAATTATTACGCTCAATACATCCTTCCAAAGCATATCGAGCATATTAAGGCTCTTGGTGAGCAATTCGGCCATCGTTTCTACTTATAGGACGACGGTGATTCATCGCATGGGATGCGATCCTTGATGAATCCAGCCGCGCAGGCTAAACCCGCGGCAGGTATCTTGATACTCCCCAATCCAGCGCAATCGGCTGATCTCGACCCCAATCGAGTCAATTTGGCAGATCATAAAGTAACGGCTACGCGGCGGGAGGTGGGAGACGGTGAAAGAGTTCAAGGAGGCGATCCTACGCGAATGGAAGCGTATTACACAGCAGCAAATCCGTTCAAGGACATCTGAGATGCGTTGGCGATGTGAGAAAGTAGTAAAACTTAAGAGAGCACGTATTAGGAGCTCGTTGTGGTAGATACCAACAATTGAAGTCGTTGATAGCGTGCTTTGTCCGGTGCCAAGACCTCTGCGCCACGAATTTTACCACCCCGGTGGAGCGCGTGCAAGGTCTTGGCGCTGTGGCAGGGAGTTTTTGGAACCGCCGGTAACGAAACGGGAGCGTTTCGCCTAAGCGGAAAACCCTCCAAAAACGGCGTCAGAAACCTCCGTTTTTGGAGGTCATTTCGGTAGCACACAGTTAATTACTGCGTATCCGAACATCAGATTTCATTTCATATACACTCTCTGCCTCGATCATAGGCAGACATACGAGTCGAGCAAGCAATGCAAAGGCCATCTCCGTCGCATTTAGCGGCAGCGGCGCCCAGTCAATCGCCTCTTCCCCCACGAATACAATCAACGCCTTCTACATCGCTTCAATCCGAACCATCTACCAGCATATCCGACAGCGCGTAATCTGCCTCGCCCAACCCACCAATTCATGTCCAGCAGTCAGAACACCCGCCATCTCAACCATTTCAGCTCTCTAAACCGCCTGAAGCAGAGTTTCCTCGCCCTACCACCGGCCTTACCCAGACCGCACACGTTGCCCCCTTCCTCCTCAACACAAACCTGATCCATGTCTCGAGCAAGGCCGATTGCCCATTCGCACAATTTCGGGCTGCCAGAGCCGTGAATCTAGCGTGGAGAAGTTGTGAAGGCTCTCTGAGGCGAGATCCGAAAATATCGTTTGCCAAACACGACGCCTTGGCGCTATGGCAGGGAGTCTTGGGCACCACCAGTAATGAAACGAGAGCGTTTCGCCTAGGCTGAAAGCCCTTTGGAAATGGCGTCAGAAACTACCGTGTCGCTTTGTAATGCCTGCTCCAACCTGTGCAACACGGGCTTAACTGTGCTAATATCTTTGGCGGCGTCTGGAGCATCTTTAACATTGTTGATGGTCTTGGCGAGGAACTATGCGCTCTAAAGAGCTGCCGTGGTGATGTCTACGATAGCAGCAGTAATATTAAGAGGGTTCGTTATGGTTACAGAAACCGTTCATGGAGATTAATCGATGGGTTCCCAACCGAGGTAAAGAAACGAACACTGGAATGGAGGGATGAACGGTACGTTGGCCCGTTGGGAGGGCTACACTTCAATTGAGACGGTGCTGAGGGGCTGCGACGAATCATCAGGTGCACCTAGACGCTGCCGCTTCAATACGCATGACGAGGTCTTTTGTTCGTCGATCAAAATCGTCGATCAACACCTATGCAGACCAAAGTTGTGACGAGATTACATCGTTGAGTATTCCATCAAGGCATAACGTAACAATGGTAATGGTACGCAATAGCGGCGATACCTCCGGTAAGTACCTCAGTTTTGCGGCTTCTAGATACATCAAATTGACTAGCAGTCTAGATTTAGATCGAGTACTTAATATCTTACCCATTGCTGCCGATGCATCGTTCAAATCATTCAAGCGACAGCACGAACCAACCTGCCACCCCGATACCCGTGTCGCCCTCCTCCGAGAGATATACAACTGGGCTGATGGAGAACGCTCACCATTCATCTTCTGGCTGAGCGGTTTGGCCGGCACTGGCAAGTCTACAATAGCGCGAACAGTGGCCGCCAGTTACTCTCAGAAGGGTCAACTTACGGGGAGCTTCTTCTTCTCACGGACCGGGGGGGATGTTGGTCGCACCGGAAAGTTCATTACAAGTATTGCATTCCAGCTTGCGAATGCAATACCAGATTTGAAGCCTAAGATTTGCGATGCTATATCTAAGTGCAATAATATTTCAAGCTGGTCTCTCCACGATCAGTGGCACGAACTCATTCTTGGTCCCTTATCGAAACTTGACGACAAGGATTGCCGATCGAAACATGTCCTTGTTGTCGACGCGCTTGATGAGTGTGAAGATCAGAACAATATTCAGATTATTTTACAACTTCTAGCTGAAGTTCAATCATTAAAGGTTATTAAGCTACGAGTGCTTTTAACGAGCAGGCCTGAGGTTCCGATCCAGCATGGGTTCCACCAAATACGAGAAGACGAGCACCAAGATTTAGTACTTGATGATATTAAGCGGTCGATTATAGACCACGACATTTCTGTTTTCCTGAGAGGCAAACTCAGACTTATTGGACGAGAATGTCGATTTAAGGCCGGCTGGCCGGAAGACAGAGCTATCGAACGCCTAGTCCAGAACTCAGGGGGATTGTTTATCTGGGCTGCAACAGCCTGTCGGTTCATCGAACAAGACGGCCAGCTTGCAGAAACACGACTGACTTCTCTTCTATGGGAAGGCAGTGGTATACTTCTACCAGAGCGGAAGCTTGATAAAATATATACCACCGTCCTCACCAATTCTCTCCGAGGAGAATACGATAAAGAAGAAAGCTGGAGGCTGCACAAGCTATTTCGCCAAATTGTTGGACCTATGGTAACGTTACGAGATCCGCTATCCGTATCTAGTCTTGCGGAGCTGCTTGGGAAAGATGTCCACACTTTAAAACGAACCTTGACCAACTTATATTCCGTTCTCGATATGCCGAACATCGAGACAAATACCATTCGGCTTCTCCATCCATCATTCCACGACTTCCTTCTTGACCAGAGCAGATACTCGAATCCTCAATTTTACATCGACAAGAAACTCGTCCATCGTCTAATTTATCAAAACTGTCTTCAAGTAATGTCAAAGCACCTACGGCGCGATATCTGCAATCTCCAACATCCGGGAGCTTCCACAGCCGGCTTGAGCGGAACCGAATTAGACAGACATGTCCAACCTCCTGTCCAGTACGCATGCCGGTTCTGGGTATATCATTTCAAGCGAAGCGATATGGACATTGGCGACTACGATGACATTGAAGTATTTCTCCGAAGGCACTTCCTTCACTGGCTTGAAGTACTATCATTGCTAGGTTGTGTCTCTGATGCGACTTTTATGATTGATATGCTAGACTCAACATTGGTAAGAAGACCGATCACGGAAATCGATGACACTAGCTGACCGGTCAGAATATGCGAATCGAGCAACCTCAGATGCGATTAGGGCTTCGTGATAGAATAAAATCGACCTTTCTACACCGCCTTGACCTCAAGAATGAAGGAACAACACCTTCTAGTTTACAAGCTTTCATACATGACGCTATACGCTTCACCGTAACTTTTCAACCGGTTTTGGAAACGTCACCACTACAAGTATATTACGGGGGTCTAACATTTAGTCCGAATGCGAGCATTGTCAGGAAGAACTTCTTGATTGAAGTTCCAGCTTGGATCTCATGCATGCCCAAGGTGTCGGAAAAATGGAGCCACTATTTACAGGTGTTCAAGGGCCATTCAGGCCGGGTCACGTCCGTGGACTTCTCGCCGGACAGCAAGACGCTGGCATCAGCATCAGAGGACGCAACGATCAGGGTGTGGGACGCCGGGTCCGGAAAGGCGCTACAAACGCTTAAGGGCCATTTAGACTGGGTCATGTCCGTGGCCTTCTCACCGGACAGCAAGACGCTGGCGTCGGCATCGGTGGACGCGACGGTCAGGGTGTGGGACGCCGAGTCCGGGAAGGCGCTACAAACATTTAAGGGCCATTTAGACTGGGTCGCTGCCGTGACCTTCTCGCCGGATAGCAAGATGCTAGCGTCAGCATCGAGCGACGCGACGGTCAGAATATGGGACGCCCGGTCCGGAAAGGCGCTACGGATACTCAAGGGCCATTCGGGCATAGTCAAGGCCGTAACCTTCTCGCCGGACGGTAAGACGCTGGCGTCGGCATTATGCGATGCAACGGTTAGGGTATGGGACGTCGAGTCCGGAAAGGCGCTACGGACACTTAAGGGCCATTCGGGCTGGGTCGCGGCTGTGACCTTCTCGCCGAACGGCAAGACACTAGCGTCGGCATCATGCGACGGGACGGCCAAGGTGTGGGATCTCGGGTCTGGGGAGACGCTACAGACGCTTTATGGCCATTCGAACGTGGTCGCAGCCGTGACCTTCTCGCCGGATGGTAAGACACTAGTATCAGCATCGTGGGATACGACGGTCAGAGTATGGGACGCCGGGTCCGGGGAGGCGCTACAGACGCTTAAGGGCCATTCAAGGGCCGTTAAAGCCGTAGCCTTCTCGCCGGACGGCATGACGCTGGCGTCGGCATCGGGAGACACGACGGTCAGAGTGTGGGACGCGGGGTCTAGAGAGACGCTACAGACGCTCAAGGGCCATTCGAACCGGGTCACGGCTATAGCCTTCTCGCCAGACGGTAAGATGCTAGCATCGGCATCAGATGACGCGACCGTCAAGATATGGGACGCCGGGTCTAGAAAGGCGCTACAGACGCTTAAGGGCCATTTGAACCTAGTCACGGCTATAGCCTTCTCGCTAGACAGCAAGACGCTAGCTTCGGCATCAGACGACGGGATAGTCAGGGTATGGGACGCCGGGCCCGGAAAGGCGCTACAGATACTTAAGGGCCATTCGGGGTGGGTTACGGCCGTACTCTTCTCGCCGGACAGCAAGACGCTAGCGTCGACATCATGGGACGCGACGGTCAGAATATGGGACGTTGAGTCCGGAGAGGCGCTACAGACGCTTAAGGGCCATTCGAACGTGGTCATGGCTGTGGCCTTCTCGCCGGACGGCAAGATGCTGGCGTCAGCATCGGGCGACGCAACGGTCAGAATATGGGACGCCAGGTCCGGAAAGGCGCTACGGATACTCAAGGGCCATTCAGGCTGGGTTACAGCCGTGACCTTCTCGCCGGACGATAGGACGCTGGCGTCGGCATCGTGGGACACGACGGTTAGAGTATGGGACGCCGGGTCCGGAAAGGCGCTACAGATACTCAAGGGCCATTCGGGCTGGGTCGCGGCCGTAGCCTTCTCGCCAGACGGCAAGACGCTAGTATCGGCATCGTGGGACGCGACAGTCAGAATATGGGACGCCGGATCCGGGAAGGCGCTGCAGACGCTTAAGGGCCATTCAAACCTGGTCGCAGCCGTGGCCTTCTCGCCGGACGGCAAGACGCTGGCGTCGGCATCGTGGGACACGACGGTCAGAATATGGGACGCCAGGTCCGGAAAGACGCTACAGATACTCAAGGGTTACTCGGGTCGGGTCACGGCCGTAGCCTTCTCGCCAAACGGTAAGATGTTAGCGTCGGCATCGTGGGACATGACGGTCAGAGTGTGGGACACCGGGTCTAGAAAGTCGCTACAGATGTTCAACGGCCATTCGAACGCGGTCACGGCCGTAGCCTTCTCGCCAGACGGCAAAACGCTAGCGTCCGTATCGGACGATACGACGGTCAGAATATGGGACGCCGGGTCCGGGAAGGCGCTACAAACACTTAAGGGCCATTCGAACCGGGTTACGGCCGTAACCTTCTCGCCGGACGGTAAGACGCTAGCATCGGCATCGGGCGACGCAACGGTCAGAATATGGGATGCCGGATCCGGGAAGGCGTTACAGACGCTTAAGGGCCATTCGGGCTTTGTCGCAGCCGTGGTCTTCTCGCCAGACGGCAAGACGCTGGCGTCGGTACCGTGGGACATGACGGTCAGGGTGTGGGACGCCAGGTCCGGAAAGGCGCTCCAGACGCTTAAGGGCCATATGGGCATAGTCATGGCCGTGGCTTTCTCGCCGGACAGTACGATTCTGGCGTCGGCATCGTGGGACGAGACGGTTAGGGTGTGGGACGCCGGGTCCGGGAAGGCGCTACAAACACTTAAGGGCCATTCGAACCGGGTTATGGCCGTAACCTTCTCGCCGGACGGTAAGACGCTGGTGTCGGCATCGAGCGACGCGACGGTCAGAATATGGGACGCCAGGTCCGGAATGGCGCTGCGGACGCTCCAGACGAATTTCAGTATTGGCAGCTTATCGTTTACCGAAGACGGGTCGTGTCTTATGACTAACAGGGGATTACTATATATTTGGGATCCTTCCAATCCCACAGTTCTTTCTCAACCCACGTCTCAGCCGTCAGCATTTATCGAGGATGAATGGGTATGGTATGGTGGTGAAAGAATTCTTTGGCTTCCTTTAGAGTATCAACAATCAACATGTACTGCTGTCCATGGTAGTACTGTTGCGTTTGGGTATTCCTCTGGTCAGGTTTTAATTATTGGATTTGCGTTTGAACATTTGCGTTTGCCTTTACCACCTCCCCAGTCATCTCCGTTGCAGTTACGCTCTCTTTGATTTCGCCATTAATAGGACACTAATGAGGAAGGGATGATTGGAAACAGATGATTGGAAATACAATGGCTTTTGAAACTAAACTATATACTCTTGAAGGCCTGCAGAGAGCGGACTCTACACCTCCACCCAGGGCAGCCTGGGAGCCCATCGAAGACGATACCGACAATTGCCTTCACGACGCCTGCGCAGCAGTGGCGAAGCCTTTCACCTTAACACCCCGACGACTACAAAGTACTAAGAGCCTGGATCACACCGAGCGGCGTTCGCCTCCGATACCTGTGGGGGAGGATTACCGTTTACCTTTGTTTGGGTGCAAAGGGACTAGGTTGGGATCCTGAATTAAATGAAACCTATATACATCCCGCTCTGAGGAATTGGTCGTTATTGGGGGCGAGTAAGGTCAATCATACTGTACCGGGCCGCATAGGCGGAGGGATGAATGAACTTATGGGTAAGATGCGAAGCGTGGTTATCCATCAAGAGCAGTCGTTTCCCCTTCTTAGCCCGGTGTCTTGTATACCGATGGAAATCCTGGATCCAATCGAAGGCAATAAGGTCGTTTGACCACCCAGACTTAGAGATGTTGATACAGTAATCGTCTGGAATCTGGCCTTCGTACCATCGTTCAAGATGGTTCTCGCCCTTTAAGATAAAGTAGGGCGGAAGAACAAAACCATCAGCAGCGACACACTCGATATCCGTAACCGATTCGCCTGACTCCGTACTAGGACTGCCTCGTTTTGCCCCCGGTCGGAAACTAACCACTTTTTGCCGCTTCCCTTCACCAAGGCGGAAGCCACTTTCGTCGAAATTATATATATTCCGTGCCTCGATTCCATGCTCTTGAATCTGCTCCTGAAGGAGTTGAAACCAATACTGTATATGTCCAAGATCCTCAGCACGTAGGCAGTCGTCTTTAACTGGTTTTTGGTCGATAAGCGAAAGGGTGTGGCGCTTGATAAATTTATATTTCCAGTTCTTACTAACGTGAGGTGGCTGCGTTGTATCGAGGGCGTTTATTCGGAGTATAGAGTTGGCGCACGCTTCGATTTCTGTAGGCGTAGGAGGCGCTCCCCACTCATCAAGCTGATGGATCCAAGCTAGGAGAGCCTTATCTGTAGCTGATCGAGTTTAGACGCTTGTACGAACGGAGAACGGTTGGTATAGGATGTTTTTCCTTCAAGGCGGCCTCGAAGGACAGGCCGGCTGATTTGGAACTCACGCGCTAACGCTGAAACGTTAACCAATTTCCCTGCTTTTTTTTTTTGGCTCTGTAGCCTTCTTGAGTGCTTTCTGTATAGTCTCCTCTGAATATTTGACACGTTTAGACATGTTTGGTGGTATAGATTTGAAGATGATGGTAAAATTGGACTTTTGGCGTGGGTTTGACTTTTGGTGTGGGAGCACCAATAACTGGAGGTTGTGGGGCGGTCATGGGGCACGGATAATGGCTAGCATACGAGAATAACCCATAATTATGTTTATTCACGTGAAGGTAGATGAAACTGCTGTTATATTGTACCTTGCTTCTTCTAAATCCGCGAGGAGTTTCGAGTTGGGTATGGTATGCAATCGCGCGGACGCTGTCGGCTCCTGGAATCAAAGTCTGTGTAATATAGACGCTTGCCTGGCCCGCCACAGGTTTGTAGCCGACATAATTTCATCCTATGCATTTGCCGAGATTGATGTCCTATTCAGTCCTTCAAATAGAATGTACCTCACAAGACTCCGCATTCCAGAATGACAAGAGTAGATATACAACCTCACTCGCTCCAAGTCCGCACGGGAGAGCCCACGGCAGCAGCTGGAGAAAGATGTCTTGGTTCGTCAGGCTCCCGAAGAATACAATCGCGACAAATGCAATAGGTATAATATGGGGCTGATACTTGTCGAAATGAAGGCAATGATGTAGAAAATTGGCGACGGTGTAGATGCAGCTGGCGAGAACCAAGCCCTGGGCCCAAGGTTGTGGTTCTGGACTACGTGCATCGCTGATCGGGCTGCGGGGAAGTGCCGAAGTGGCGGAAGTCGGGAAGTGCCGAAGTGGAGCGGACCAGGGGCTCGGACCTCTGTCCATTCTTCTGAGAAAGGGGTCTGAATTTGGACATCATTATTAGTTCTTTTCCTCATAAAATCCTCAAGGATAAAGAAAGCCTTATGATATCGTCCCTTCATTATTTCTACGGATGTTCATCATGATTATTGTCGATCCGATCGTGCATAGAAGTAGAGACACAGAAGCAAGAGGCTATTTCCGTAACGCCTGTCGTGGACCTGTCCACGCCCGACTCGGTGTGTTACGAGCCGTACTAGTCTTCTCGTCGTCCTACGCGGACAGGCACCCAAAGTCCTCTTTTCTCTCGATTCTAGCTAATATTCTACGGTTGATCGACGATATAGATTTCTGGTCACTAGCATTCTGAATGCACCGGTCATCCGATAGGGGAAGCTGGAGCCCCCGCTTCAGTAACCATCGAGTTCGTCGTTCCAATAGAAGATGGCAAATACTGCCCGCCATTTGTATCTTATATCTCTTTCTAGATATCGAAGGAACGCATCTAGCTCGAATCTCAACTGGGGTAGTGATCATATGACAACCATACGACTCTCATCTGTCATGGGTTCTTCGGAACATTTTTAGATGTTTCCCAGCAGCGTCAACATTGGCGGCAATTTCGTTTGGAGTCCGGATACATCCTTCAGTCCATCGGCTTGTGTCCTGAGCAAACTCGGCAGGCTCGTCTGAGATGCAAATGTTATCCTGGGGATAGAATGTATCTGATCGGTAACCAGATCCGCCATTTTTGATGATATGAGACCTTGAACAAGGAGCTCGCAACGGAACAATTTGATTGACAACGTCAACAAGAGTAACAGCAACACGATGTTATGGACACAGTATTGGTACGTACCCCTCATAGCCTTGCGAGTGGCCTCACAAAGTCCAAATGTATCAGAATGGTCCATGCGGGGGCTGCCTGTAAGTGTCTAGGAGAGCTGTGGGATCTTCGTTTGATTTATTGTTGCTTTACATCCCATCTTACCTATACCGTCCTTTCAAAATTTCCGAGCAATTTTTCTTTGGACCCGGACGAAACAATAATCCACTGGCTACAAACAGGTGTTCCAAGGCAAGCTAGGTTTATATCTCCCTTGCAAGTCTATAGCCTGAAGCAACTGGTTGGTGGCCATGACGGACTCCTCGATCCTGCGAATTACGAAAGAGCTACGTGAAAGTATAGAGGTTGCTAACGATTTCTATCTTCGAAAATACGTATTGGGGCAAGATTCTTCTTTGTCGGAGTCATGGTTTCTATAGAAAGGCGCTCACGACATGGCTAGCACGCGCAAGTACCGGTAAGAAAGGCGATACCAATGCCACGAACCCAGCTGCAAGCTTTTCGGAGGCATCAACCTCTCAGCTTCCACGGCTTTCACGTTCACCAGAGAGTGGCGCATGGCATTAATTGGGATCCTTTAATACTCCTGCTCTGCCTCGACTTACGTTGACGCGGACTCTTCGATCGTGCCCATAATCTACATGAACTTGTACGCAGAGTTCATTTGCAGTCTGCGGACTATGGTGAGGTGCTCTGGAATGATTCTCAGCTAGCAAGGCCCCTAGTGGACTGCCTTAAACGTAGGAAAAATTCGATTCGCTGCGTCCTGGACAGATCAGTTATCCCGAGGACCTGAAACGCTTCTTGAAGAGAAGGATACGTCCGGATTGCCTGGAGGATGCTCCTGCGAATAGCCTTCAGGTCGACACGGGCTTTCCAACCTCGTCCATATCCTCAGAGGTTATATACCTCTTCAATCAGGACACTCGAGCACAGCTCAACTATAATTTCCTATCCCGTGACCCCACGTCCTCAATCGCGGAGGTACCCCGGCCCGAATCATCCTTTTCAGTCCTTTGAGGCTACCCAAAGCCCCCCGCACCAGCATCTTATTCGCTCTTCCCCTGACTGTCGCCGCCCAGTCAATCAGTACCGGCATAAAGGCCCTCACCTACGGCAGCGGCGCCATCGTCTGCGGCGGAGGCTACACTGTTCTCCGCATCCCCGAACTCCCCGATGCGCCACTCACCCACCTATTCATATACGACCCCCCTCCCTCACCAACCTGAACCCAACACCCCCACTCACCTTCACTCTATAGCCTCTACTCCAGTTCCGCGTTCGTCTCCCTCCTCTGCGTCACCACCGCCACGAAATACAGGCTCGACGCGCACGAGCGCCTCCCGTACATCATCATGGTGATCCTCCTCACGGCGGGGATGAGCTTTCTCTTTAACCATGGCGTCGCGCCGGCGGGGCCGCCGAAAACGCAGTGGCCGGAGTCGCTGCCACTAATTGCGACGCTGGGAATTTTCATGGGGCAGGTTATTGTGTTGGTGTTACGGACGCCGAAGCAGGAAGGGTGGTGGGAGGGATATGGAGGATGGGGCGCTCACGCTAGAGTAAATGGGCTGCAATACATTCGCGGGACGCGAGGATTGCTGGACGGAATGTCCTGTACGTCCATGCGGTGGTTCATGGTATGGGCTTTGGTGTATTTTCCCTTGGTCATGGTCGGTTGGATACGGTAGGTTGGTACCTATTGCCCAGCGTCTGGCAAGGGCATAGAATTTCACTGGTAGATTGAGAGATTTTCGGCAATTAGTTAACCTTCGAGGATGACTCAGACTGAATTATAAGATAGCATATCAATGTTTAGCGTTGCTTGCATTTATCAGTTCCTTGCCAGGGGCTCGACATCTTCCTGGCCTCCATAAGGCGGCATTGTGATTAACCCGCGACATGTTCGCCTTGTCATCCACAATCCCCCTAGACGGCGATGCTTACCTCACCGCTCTTATCCCTCTCCTAAGGCTCGACCGCATGCGACACGAAACAGCATCACCACAAACGCCAAGTTAAACAATGAATTTCCATTTTTATCTCATCTACACATACCCCACCCTACCATGGAAACGTAAAATCCAGGCACCCGCCCGCTCACCAAACCGACCCATCCATCGTCGTCCCATATCAGAATGCTCATCACTTCACCCGCCGCATGCCGTGCGGTATGCGGACGGGCCCGAATGTGAAGCCAGCGGGACGCGGGAAACCGGGAAATATGCAGAACGCCAGAATGCCGGGGCATCGTGGATGCCTGTGCTGGGAAACGAGAATGGTGCGACTGACTGCCGCCGTCTATGAGGGGGTTTGGGGTCAAGGGAGGGGGGAAGGAGGTCGTGGAGTCCGGAGACTTTGTGCGCTTCGTATTGGCGTGGAGGAGGGGGGGTTAGGCTAGGTAGCCAAGATCCTCGGAGTCGATGCGCTCGAGGTATTCTTTCTCGAGGAGGATGTCGATGCACTTCTTGATGTCGGCGACGTGGGGCATGAAGCGGTTCTTGATCTGTTCGATGGTTTCGGTGATGAGGAGTTGGTGCTTCATTCGCTTTCGCGACTTCATGATGCGGACGATGGCGGACTGTAGAATGGTTAGCAGACCGCAAGATATCAGCATAGAGGCATGATACATACCTGGAGTAGAAGCTTCCGGTCTTCTTCGATCGTCTTGTGCGTGTCCTCCACTTCCTGCTTCGCCTCCGATTTGACCGCCAGGTTGAGGTTGATCTTCATCTTCTTGGTCCGGAAGCCGTAGTTGAGAGAGAACGTGGTCCCTTTCTCGGGCTTGGCACCCTCCGGTTGGATGTTTAGAATCTTCGCTTTGACCATCAACGCGACACTGGGCTCCAGTTGCTCCTTGAAGAGGAGCGTGCCCTGCTCAATGTCCTCGTACGTGAGGGTGTCAGCGTCGTTGAAGAGGAGGAGGATGGCGGTCTGATATGCGGAGACTTGCAGGGTCAGGGGGACCTTGCCGGGCTTGATGTAGTTCACGCGCACTTCGCCCTTGGACAGCTGCCACAGCCAGGTGAGTTTCCGACCCTGGTGCTTCGTGAGGTAGAATTTCTGGAATCGGTCGTACGTCTTCGAGATGATTTCGGGTGGGGAGAACTTCGTATTGGGAGCGGTGAGAGGCCAGAAGCTGGTGCCTAGGATCTGGAAGTAGGTGTCCACCACAGCTTTGTTCTCAGGTTCGTCGAGATAGGTGTTCAGCCATTCCTTGTAGTTGGAGTTGAGGTCCTTGGACAGTTGCATGTCCTGGAACATTCGCTGCAGCTTGTTGGTGTATTCGAAGCCGCAAGCCTCCTTCATCTTGCTTATCATGCTCGTCTCTGCATCGTCGGAAGCAGAAAGTTGGTGGACCAGACGTCGTGCGAGACCTCGCGTGTAAAACTTCTGGAACACGTCTTTGTCTTCGATGTACTTGAAGACCGTCATGATATGCGTTAGCTGCTTCTCCACATCGTCTTCTTCGGAATTCTTCGCCCCTGATCTCTTTAGTAGCGTGTCACAGTACTTCGCCAGAAGTTCGGGAGACTTGGTCGTGCCAGACTTGCAGACCTTATTCCGATTGACGAACTCTCGGCAGGCGTTATCCAAAGACCGAACAAACTCCGCTTCGCCGTTGAAAGCCATGTTGACGAGAGACTGATACTGCGTGTGGACATCGAGGAGAGTCTCCACATAGACTTTGGGTTCCATGATTTCTTTATCGGTGGTCTTTTCGATGGCAGCAAGACCCGATTTGCGAACGTGGGTCTCGAATCGGGTGCGAAGAGGGTCAAGTCCATCCGGTATTCTAGCTAGGAGTTTGTACATCCTGCCTAGGTCTTCCTGGCGATCGTTGTCCAGAAGGCTTTGGAATTCGTCTCGAAGAAGCAAGGAATGATCGGCGATAAGCGCTTCTTCGCACGTCCTCATGAGCGGTTGGGTGATCTCATTGAGCAAATACAGTGAAACGCGATCCTTCTCCTCATCCAGTCGGAGCTCGGCTTTCTTCATATACTCCACCACGCTATTCTCGGCCAAAAACACCTTCGACTCTTGCTCATAATAGGCTTTAGTCGCAGCGAGGAATGGCTTCTCGAAGTACTCTCGGTAGACGTCCAAAGTAGATTTCGTACTGTCGGACTCGTCCAGGCCGAGGGAGACGAAGGAGTTGACGATTTGCTTAATCTGAGACTGCTCGATGGTCTCACCATTGCGCTGCTTTTCCACAAGCCGCAGGACAGCTTTCATAACCTCTTTGTGGGTGTGGTTGAACATGTCTTCTTTCCAGCGCACCAGATGGAGGGTGTAGATATCATAGACGTTCTTCTTGCCCTCGTCCATCTCCCGCTTCACCCAATGTCGGTTGAGGTATCGGAAGAGATGGTTGTTGTAAGTCGCCGCGGTTGTGTAGCGGTTCCATTCGCTGATATAGTAGTGTAGAAGGGCTTCATCGCTGTGAGCTTTCGATCGTTCAAGGACACCAGCTAGATGTCCCCTGAGATAGTTGATTAGGTGGTTGTATAAGTCTTCGCCTAGGAGATGTGCTGTGGGAGTCGTTAGCAATAATGTACCTAATTCCGACCATTAACATCAAATGCCTGGAGAAGACAAGAGCTCAATCAGACTAAGATATAAGATGGAAAGTGTTCGGAGCGGCTGAAGGCGGTACGATGGTAGCTAATAATGAAGAGCCCGGCATAGCTTCAAGGTTGGGTTGACGGTGCTCTGAAACAGCAGCGAAATAAGATTCAATGTGTACAGTACCTCCTCCACCAGTAGCTGATCTCTGGTTGTTGCTGAAAGATCCTGATCCCACGGCTTTCTGAGCTGTGCAGAAGTTGTGTATGGCAGTGTAGAGGCTCATGTACATCTTCATGTCCATGCCCTTTTGCAGCTGGGTCATAATTCGGTCGACCCCCGATTCCAGTTGCGACCATCTGCAACTCACCGTTAGCCATGACACTCGCTTGTGGTCCCGCCATGAATGATCCCTTACGTTGACTTCGCATCGTCCTTCATGTTCATCCCCATACCATTCCGTGCCATGCTTGCGTTGACGTTGGAGCGGTTGTTCTCTCAGTGGCGGCAAGGTTATATGGGAGAAGCTGAAGTGTAGGAGCGTCGGCCGATCGCAGAGGCCCGGACCGCTCCGTCGTTATCAAGGGAAGATAGAGATCCGAGGGGAGTCTCTGATATTGTAGCGACAGCTGCTAAAGAAGGTAGATTAGTAAGTACTGTACTGGAGGCGCGGAGGGAATATAGGAGGGCAGCTGGTGATGATGATCGGTTCCAAAACTCACAGAAGATAGGTGTTTGGAGGTTGGTGTGTACCTCTCTTCACAGCTCCCAGGATGACATGAAGCGTGTTGACAGCTGGAGAAGAGAGAAAGGTCAACAGAGAAGTGGTGGGAAATGTGAATCAGTTATCACCATCAGTTCAGTTCATCATCTGCCTTAGTCGCTCCTGCCAGTCGAAGCATCGCCTGGACCCCGGTCGTGGCGTAGTTGCCTGAGGCTGACTACTATGATGACATTGCCGCCTGGCGTTGCCTATATTCACGTGACTTGGGTGTCGAGATTTTGATGCCTGAGGAGTGAGGCAGAGGCGACTTTTTATCTCCAAGTTCAGCTCGAACAAAGTCCACCAGACCACGATTGACGATATACTGTCATAGTTCCATAGAGCAGAGCTCTTAACTAACACTTAGAGGTCCCAATCTTCATGGCAGTTTCTCCTCCTAGATTTGAAGATAGCCACTTAGCCATCACAGTCGACAAACTGGCCCGTCGTCGCCATAGATTGGATCCTTCGAAAACCATGGCAAATCCTTGATCTTCTGGATCTTCTCTTCCTCCCCCTTTTTTCCATAGCACATATCCCAATCGCAACCTTTCGGATAACTTCCGACCATCTGGAACCCGCCCTTGTCTGCCATAAGCCGATGCAATACACCCGCTGGAACAATCATCACATCGCCCTTCTCGACCGTCGTCTCCACTCGGCCTGTGTTGTCCTCACCACCGAAGCAAAGTTCCGCGGATCCTGAAGAGACGCAGAGGACCTCGTCGGCTGTGGTGTGGAAATGAGACTGGCTGTACATCGTATAGCGCCACTGTGGAGTGACAACTCCGACCTTATTTAGATGGTCTTCGATGGTCGATGCTGAGAGACGGTCGGGACGGAACGCGCCATGATAGATCAACAGAGGTTTGTTCCGGATCGATGTGTTTGGTGATAAGCCATGAGCAGAGATTTGCTTCGATGTAACGTGAAGCTTTTCTGTTGGAGTTAGAAAATACGACATCTTGATATTGCTTTGCGAACGAAGCATTGAGAGAAACTTGTGATGAGTTACATTCTGTCGCGTTACGCTGAGTCGAACCATGTCCCACTACGTCATCGTCCGTGGAGCTCTCTGTCTGACCTCTCCATCGCAAACAGTTGCAGTATTTGTGCAAGGTCGTCGACAAATACTGAACTTACCTTACCGGTTCCTGTCGATGTCGGACATGGAGTAACAGATACCCTAGACTAAAAATTCCATCGGGAGCCGAGTCATTAGAACATGGAGTGCTTGCCCAAGAGTCAGGAGCAGCTACAGGAATCACCAGCGTTACTCTCCTCCGTTTGTCTATTTCTATTTGTTTGTCTTCTTCTCTCAGCCTTTCTGAAATCTGTATTCTATAAAGTCTTCAACTAGAGCATGAATTCGGAGGTTTCTCTTTGATGTCTTTACTTATTCTGCCATTCCTTTTCTAGCTAACGTGAGCCTTTTCCTCATCTCATAAACTGTTGCAAATAAGTTTATATAACCTTTCCTCACTGCCGTTATAGTCTTGACATATTGAACATGACGCCGTATATTCAGCCAACCCCGATCCAGAAGGCATTCCCTCCCGCGTCCTTCCATTAGTTGCTCCTTGTGCCTTAATTTGCAATATTCAAACGCCATCCAAATTTTATAAACTTACTAGAATATATTTCCAGCCTCGTTCCATTTTCAACGTAGCATTCAGCTGTCAAGAGAGGACTGCTACGAGCACATGTCTCGAAGGCATGAATTGGTGGTTGACATCTCCGCGCCATCGCGTTTATAATTTTTTCAGAATAGTTAACGTAATCCACCACCGAGTCGGACACTTCTACTCACGACAGCGATCATCCCTATTTTTTCATAATGACTCAACAACGACACTCAATTTTCTTCAAAAGAAGCCGGAATCAATATGGCTATTGAGGTTATCGATCAAGGCCACATTCGATCAATTCGAGGCGCTGCAAAGACCTATAACGTCTCGAAAAGTACGCTATCTGATCGCCGTCATGGGACTCCTTCACGACGCGATCGCGCTCCCAATTCGAAAAAGCTCTCAGACATAGAAGAGAGGGTTATTATCAATTACTGTCTCGACGTCGACGCGCGCGGATTTCAACTTAATTATGGCATGTTGCGAGATATAGCCAACAAGCTACTCAGCGATCGCGGTCAGGCTCATGTTGGCATCAATTGGCCTTCAAGATTCGTACAACGCGTTCCAGAGCTCAAAACACGCGTTAATCGAAAGTACGACTATAAAAGAGCCCTGAACCAAGATCCAGAGATTATTCGCGCGTGGTTTCGCCTCGTACGCAACGTAAAGGCAAAATACGGCATCCTAGATGAAGATACAGACAACTTTGATGAGGTTGGCTTTCAAATGGGCGTAATCGGGACGCGCATGGTCATCACGGGTACCGAACGACGTCAGTCTCCAAAAACGTTGCAACCAGGCAATACAGATTGGGTGACATCGATCATTGCTGCCAGCGCGCAAGGTTAGGTTGTCCCACCCTTTATCATCTTCAAAGGCGCTCGACACTATGATACCTGGTACGAGGCGATTGCGGATAGGCCTGATTGGGTTCTATCAGTTAGCGAGAAGGCTGGACGTCTCTTGAGCATGGATTTGAGTGATTGGAGCATTTCAATCGCTTCACAGAAGGCCGTACTACTAGTGCCTATCGGCTCCTGATTATAGATGGCCATAACAGTCACAACACCATCGAATTCCAGGATTTCTGCAAGGATCACAAAATTATTACACTCTATATGCCTCCGCATTCATCTCATTTACTATAGCTACTCGACGTTGGCTTGTCACCGAGTCGCTCCAGACGAACGACACCTAGATCATAAGCTCATGGGCTTACGGTCTGTAGTTCTCCAGTTATTGTTCTCTCCGCGGTTACCGCCATTCCCATCACGTCGTTTTCGTCCGGCTTCGCGTTGGTAGTCCGTTCGCCTCGTCCGACCACAACCAGGGGACACTTATCGCTGCGGTGACGTACCTGGCAATTAGAGGTGGTTGAATCATCTGTGATTCCGCGCTCTGTGAGAGGAAGGCCTAGCCTCCAACCTAGAGTCATGGAACTTTCTCTGCGGGAACAACGAAAGACATTCCGGTTCAGATTAGAACAACACTTTGCGTGGGGTTAGAAGAGCTAAAATATATGCCTAGGAACATTGTTTAAAACAGTATATGCGTCGCCCAATGAATGGGAGTTCTGGATCAGCAATTCTCAATGATGATGGCAAGGTGGTGGGATTCTTTAGGTTTAAAAGCCAAGGCTCTCGAGACGGCTACGCTGTGTCTTCCAAGATGTTGACTTAGGCCCGGGACATATACCAGGCTGGGGATAAGGACGTATGGCTGGAGTCAACACCAGCGAAACACCCCCACGTTCTGTGTGTCCCGGAAACGAAACTGGAGGTATGGATGCCAGATAAAAATTGCTCTGCGCAGAGAGATGCTTTCAACCCGAATCGGCACACGACCCTCGCGTAATCGAACGCACAAGCGGCACTGAATAGGCATCCTTCGAGGGCAACGAACGGCCGGATGGAATCGCCGGCTCCATCGTAAAGGAGATGACTCAAAACCCCAATCTATGGTTCGCACAATCCACGAGCCCTGCTCTGAGTCCCTGAAGCGGTTTCCATGCTGCATATGAAATAGCTCAAGGGCTATTCAGACGCATGGATGTATAAGAACGGCTTCATCACTCTTTCTCTAGCGAGCAAGCTATATATCCATCCATATGGAATATCGATCACAAGCCTAGCCAACTGGCGGGTTTCTTTTTCCAACACCGCAACATCCTCCACGCTCGACTTTTAGCTGCGAGACTCATTGAGATGGTGGCCGAAGGATACGATGGTCAGTCAGGAGGATCTTGCCAAACAGACTGGTTTGCCCGCAAGCTGAGGGGTGTGCGATTTCTTGGGATACCACAATACTAGCAACGATTCATGCAAGACGCTACAGGCTGCTCTAACACGAGCGACGCAAAGACGAAAGTGGCAGAAGCCTTGGAGGAGGTCGAAAGAATCATTGCGAACCAGCCTCGGCACTGGGCACCAAGTCTGGAATAGGGCGGTTGTCTGAGGAACATCTCATGCAGGTAAGCAGCTCCTTCAGGCTTGTGGGCCACTTAACTCCAATGTCTACTAGGTCAATGGCAAGTTGGTTTCGGGAATACTAGGTACAGGAAAATGCTCGAACGATACCAGTTCGGGGAACGCCATAGCAAGTGTCACTTTACCAACCACAATGCGAGAGATCTAGAGACATGGACTGATCCAGGCTATGTGGCCTACTACTATGCCAGACGCTGAATAGACTGGATTGAGACCCGCGGTGGCAGTATTTCAGTCCCCAGGCCGTATTGTTGTAGATCGACACGCAACGATTTTCGACTAAGGTACGTCGGTACCCTCTGTTCTAGTTGTTCCCCTTGTGATGGAGTGGACTTCCACCATGCACAAGTCACCAGATTTGGGTCACGGGACTTACCACTTCATCACTTGTAGACTTTACAACCTCCTGCTGACGTAGACGTAGATTCTTCCCTCTTCATAGATGAATCTAACTTGTTACGTTACTACCTTGATTTTACATCATCCAGTATCAATCCGTGACACCCCTCCATGGTGGGTGTGGTCGAATCCGGGTCAGTTCAGCAGAGATGAACATCGGGGAGCTGAAGTGGCTGGCTTATAGAATGAACAGTAGAGCATACAAGAAGCGGATAGACTCATTCGAACCCTTCCTCAATCAATAACCGCGATGATACACTGAACAATGTGCTCTTTGACCTCTCCCTTGCTGGCGAGGCCAACACCGATGCCATTAGGATGAGCAAGCGGACCATTCACGAGCTAGAATGGCAGATTACAGACCTGCAGAAAGAAATCCAGCACTGGAAAAAAGGGGGCGAATCTCGAATTGTGCGGAAGTAACTTCGCAGAGTCGGACCAGGGTGCTAGTTATAACAAACAATAACTTGAATATTAATCTTCAGCCTCAATTCTATAATCCGGCTCTAGCACTCCAGAAAAGGAATACTCTCGACGAAGAAGGCCATGATGTTCAGGTTCTGGGCATCGGTATAATGCGGCAGTCGACGAGGTAGTTGCTGACGGCAGTGACGAGCGAAGTGACCAGATCAAGCACGCAAATGATGTTCCTGGCAACGGACGGCATATATGGATTTGGATGGTTCGGATGGTGCGGATGGTTCGGATGGTTCGGATGGTTCGGTTTCTTGCTGGAGACACTGATCACTGCTCAGCACCATTCAGCAGTCTTTGACACGGTCTGGATGCGCAAGGTCTGCGATTACCAAGTTCCATTAATCTAAACTGAAGAGAGAGAGAGAGAGAAGAAATCTCCCGGCACCTTTGTGCGCGAGATAGCGACTCTCCTCTCCAATGCCCTACTGCTGTGTTACCATGTTTGTTTGCTTCTCTGATATAATCCACCAGCCACGTCTTCAGCCACAACCAAGGGAACAGGCCGCAGGCCTGGGACCATAACAGTCTTTGTATTTTTCCATTCCACTCACCACGTCGCCATAAAAGCGCGTAACAACTGTCTGATGCAATTCTGGGATCCATCGGTGTTGAAAGGCTCAATACCTTTTCCTGTATGTAATCTAGGTAGTCACTGGGTAGAGGCAATCGGCCACGTTATGGATGGCACTGAAGTCGACTTCCCTTGATTCTCACGAGTGACTCTCCCAAGCGGTATAACGTTAAAATATACAAAGAAAGACGCTGCATCACGCATTATCGTAACAAGCTAAAATACCACTTCCTGTTGTCCCCACATCGTCCATATTCCTGGCGTGCTACTCTGTTATCCATACCCTTTTCCATCCGCACCTATTCCCCCTGACTCCCTTCCCTCGGACCCCTGAAATAATTCCGTACTCTGTCCACAATGCTCTGTGGCCCCTCCCCATGCTGCGACGAACCCCCCGAGCCTCGCCGGCTTGAACTCAGCCTCCGGCCCCCTGACGACCGCGACGGCGTCGCCGGCTGGGAATAATACCGCGGATCGGGCGGTGGGAACTGAAAACCTCCGGGGAGTCCGGACATCTGCGGCATAGTCGAATCCGACGGCCGGCCCCCTCTCACCGAGCTCGAAGGACCGGCAGGCACCGCGGTCGCGGAAGCAGATCGACGTGGCAACGATGCATCGGCGCTGTTTTTTGGCTCGGAGTCACTGGCGATGCCTTGTCTGCAGTGCGGGCAGGTATCGTGCTCTCCCAGCCAGGCCTCGATGCAGGGGATATGGAACCAATGGGTGCACGGCAACTTCGCCACCTCCTGGTCCAAAATCACCTCGTCCATGCAGATGCTGCACTCGGCCTTGCCGCTGTCGCCGAGCATGGATTTGTCGATTTTGACGCGCGGGATGGCGGCGATGGCTTCCGCGGAGGCGGGGCCGGGGGCGGAGCCGGTGGCGTTTTGCTCCATGAGTTGGGAGATGATGCGGTCAAAGGCTTCTTGGGTGTAGACGCCGTCGCCTTGGACGCCGCCGGGGGGGACGCCGAGCATAGTTTGGAGGAGGGTAGCGAGAGGGAAGGGTGGGGGAGGGGGGCCGCGGGATCCGGAGGGAGGGTGGGCCTGGTTCGGAGGACCCCAGGCGCGGCCTTGGGCGCCGAAAAGCATGTCGTTCAGGATACTAATCAGTTGTCAGCGAAGGGAATGGGGTAATAGTTGAGAACGACAACACATACTTCTGGATGGTATCCACGGGCGGACTACCCGGAGGCGACCCATTTCCATCCCGAGGGAACAGTTGGGTTGACGAGGTGAATGTAAACCTTGACCCCTGACCTGGCCCTGACCTGACCTCTACCTGCCCTCCTCGAACATTCATGTTCTCAAGCGGATTTCGCTCGTCTGAAGTTGGGCTTCGCGGGTCTGGAGTTGGGGTCCGTTGTCCGGGTCCGCTTCTGCTGTTAGAACCGGGGCTTCGTGTCTCCTCTCCTGGTTGTGGACCTGCGATACCAGCCATCATTGACGTGAAGTTGTTCAATAGGTCGTGCAGTGCCGGTCGTGGTTGGCCATGGTCGTCTCGTGCTTCCCCGGTCGGTGATAAGGACCTATGTATCGTCCCTGTTACTGTGAACCCGTTAGGCGTTGGTCGGAACTGCAAGTTCTCAATATCATCTTCATCGGGATCGGGTGCTGCCCAGGGATCATGATCGTAGAGTGGGTGGCGCTGTGAGGGTTGAGGTAGATCACCTAAGGTAGGTATGGATTGATCGATTCGCGGATCATGATTAGCTTCAATCTGTCGTGTACAGGTTAGTTTTGGTGCTGAGATTGTGATCCATTTCATGTGGGCACATACAATCTCTGTGAACTCGGAATGACAATGCGGGCACGTCAAGCCATGTTCATCTCGGAACCACTCCTCCTCACACGAATGACAGTAGACAAGCGCTCGATTCTGGGAATCCATCTTGTGATATGTGGGGATATCCAAGATATCAGTCGGAAAAGGCTCAATATCGGTTGCGCTCGGAGAATGGGATGCGCTCGGTCTCGTATACGTCCCGTCGAAGTTGAGTTCAAAGGGAGTTTGTCATCCTTCTCATCGGCCTGAAATATCCGGAAAGCCTTCCAAAGAGTAGGTATGAGCCTTAATATAAAGCGTACGGCGCAATCACGAGAAAAACGAGAGGATGATAAAGCCTGGTGTCGTGATGTTGCTCAAGGCTGTCTAAGATGATGCGGGTTGGAATCGAGAGATCTTGAATGCGACAGGCAGAGGAAGGAGAGGAGAATAGATAGGCTGAAACCTAATTTGAAGATGGTTTGCTGGAATTCTGATAGTGCTGGGGATCGTTTGGTTTGATGTGATATGTGGCTCGACACGTTTTTGGTGATGGCAGATGACGTTTGCGCGGAAGTCGTGGACCCTTTATATCTGATTCATCAGCATTCTTCACCACTAATACCTATCTACCATCTCTCTTATCACTTCGCCTCTTAATTATTCAGGCAAATACCTCTGTATAGGTATCTTTTAATGGTTTTGTCCGTTGATTTCTACTGTCATTCGCGATAGGAAGTGGATTGGGCAGGCATGCCTTGTATCCGCCACTCCGGTCAGGTACGATATGCAATATAAATACTGGTACAGGTATTCTTCAGGGCCATCTTGTCCCTCTTCCTGACTTACAGCGTCATTTGGATCGGTTTACAGTCGTTCAAGTTAAGGCGTCTTTTCTTTTTGGCTGTTTTCTGCCGTTGTTTAGAGTAATTAGAGCGTCTGTCTTCATACCTTCCCTTCATTCCTCACATCATCCACGGTCCCAGTCCACAGGCACTGGCATCGAGTACGTACCCTTCAGCTAGCAAATGAGCAATGGGGTGCCTATTGAAACTTCGGGCCAATGAATGACTCTCGGGTCTCTCTCATGTGTCTGGTTGACCATGGAAATAGGACTCGGGTGGAGAACTCCGATGCTACAATCAACATTCGAAGACAAGTGAAGCGACTTTTGCGGCAGAGAATTCGATTCTTTGCTTGGCTACATTTGTCTAAATATCCATTGCGTCAATCCGAGGGGTATTCTATTAGGATATTGCCTGGTTACTCCCCTCTGTTCATCCAAGTTCTGCATCGTTTGGGCGCTTCCCAGTTCTTCATTGACAGGACTAGGACGACATGGTACACGCTCTATCTAAGCTAGATGGTCTATTGGGGCAGTGATCTCGCGAAGCTGAACGATCTTCATTCTAGTACAATAGCTACTTCTACTAACAGAGAATCAGACACCCTGGGAGTTCAAATTCGTGTATATGCCGACCCTTTCCTAAGCCAACAGCAGCTTAACTTGTTTACAGTTTGCGTTCTACGGTTGCATACACAGCAGAAGCTGACCTGTTGGGCATGAATGGACTTGAGAATCCGACTGTATGCAAGCTTTCGCAGTACCATCTGCAGGTCGTATGCAAGACGTGGGGCCATGCATATAGAACCATCTAGACAAAATCAGGAGGCTGGAGCCTTCTTACATGCTTCACACCCGTATATTCAACACAGTTTCCATGGTATCTCTCTCTTCATTCGAATACAGCTCTCCGATCCAGATAATTCACACTCCGCTCTTCCGCAGCAATGGTAATCAAAGGCTCCAAACAACCGACCTATGTCCTCCTCAACGACACACTGCCGTCCACCGGTTCGCACTCCCAACTACTCGGCCCGTTCGTAGCGAACCCGCTGAGTCCAACCGACGAATACGCCCCCGATGATCATTCCATCATCACTGAGATCTTCAGCTCCCTCTCCCCGAACCTCGAGGCCGCTCGCAGTTCGTCTCCCAGCAATTCAGTGCATCTAAGTCTACCGCCGTGCAAGCACGCCTCGAGCACTTGTTGACGCTGGGCTGCACGGTTTAGCGTCAAGCGGACTGGTATGTTGACACGCCGCGAATTTTGACGCGGCGGTTAACACAGCATCGGCGCGTCTTTCAGTCTCTCATGCGCGACCAGGAGATCAAGGCGGAGGCACTAGACTTGCTCGAGAATAATGGCGGAATCGCGTACATGGCGGTTGTGACGCGATCCTTCACGGATGCCAAGGTGGTGGAGAACGGGGGTGTTCAGAAAGAGTTGGAGGGAAGCGTAGCGGTGCCGTTGGATAAACTAGCTGGCGATGCTTCAGTCCCGCCGCCGGCGGTACCAAACTTGACAATGAGCGGGAAGAAGGAGGAGACGACGGATTAGGGTAGGGAATACGTCGTGGAAGGAGAACGGTTCTTCCAGGCACAGTATAGAATCATTAAGGCAAGAAGGTCTGGGTTCCTTGGGCTGGGTACGGGGTTGGTGACGGTACAGTTTGGTCAGATCGCTGGGGTTGAGGCTGGGAGCAGAACATTCCATGACGGAAGCCCAGTTATATACAGAGATGATCAGGACGAAGAGGACGAAATAGATGGTGATATTGACGAAGATGTCGGTATCTCGGAAGAAGATCTTACAGCGGAAGCACTTGGCATGTCTGGTTCGTTGCTTGTGACGGAGTGACATTTATATTCCTGAAGTAAAGAGCATATCCCCAGGGCTTCTGGGGCCGGTGGTAGTTATTTGTAATGCATATCGTGTGCCCCTGTGCTCTCCTTCATCTGAGACTTCCGCAACTCATCCATCCATATGACCTTGTTGCTGTTCCGGAGTGAGATACAAAAAGATAATCTGCCCAGTAATTTCCAGATATTCATCGAAAGCGAGGCGACCGCGTCCCATCTCAAATCCTAGAGGTTTGCAAAGAAGCTGAATCTGATCCTCAGAACTCAGATTCTCGAAAGGGATCAGAGTTTCTCGTGCTGCGATCGCCCGCACGTAAGCGTCCATGTCGACTTGGGATTGAACCGATTCTCCAGCCTACGTGATGCGGAGCATTGAACGTAAAGCGGAGGAGAGCGCGGCACTGGGCGGCGTCTGGTTGTCGAAAGAGTCGCTGATTTGTTGGAGTCAATTCCAACTGCTCGATCGAGTCCACTTTCTCGGAGTACGCGTTCCGATTTCCCCAGGTTACCATATGCCTGGATCAAAAGCCCACCGGCCTTCTCATATTGCTGCAGGCGTAGATAGGAAAGGCTCCAACGAGAATTGCGTTCGATCAACCCTATCGGAGCAGCTCGAGTCGCCCAATAGCCACCAGAAAGACCTGATTCAAGAGCAGTATACCGGTCAATGTAAGCAGCCGCAGAATGCCAGTCCTTCTCCTTGATGGCCATATCGATCAATTGCTCGTAGTAAATTCCCTCAGCGGGTTTATCACCCCCCCTCTTCATATCTTCCAAGTCCAAGGAGCGCTAAACCGTAAATCAAGAGAGCATGGCATTTGGCAGCGCGAAGCTCCGCATCATCTTTGTCGAAATGCATTCCATATCCATGATCATCGTCGAAATTTTCGGGAATTTATCCGGATTTGTCGCTTGGGATACAATTCGGCGGAGCATCTCAGCCGCCTGATATATGCTTTATTGGTCCAGGGGCGATGATCCAATGATTAAAACATTTCGAACCTTCTCCGATGGAATTCCTGTACGATCAGGATCTCCACAACCATCTCGGAACTTCAGTCTACCAAGGATAATCGGAAATCCAACAAATTGAGATAAAGATGTGGAAACCAACTAGACTTTCCCTGTGGTATTGCGAAAATAAAGTCCAAAATATCATTCTCAACTCGACCGCCATGCAAAACACCAAACGCATTGCTTCACAACCCTGGCTGCATATCTTAGTGTGCAATATTCCGTTCCTTTTCCTGCTGAGGAGCAAGTTCTCTAAAGGAGCGAATCGTTACCGGAGCTATTCCTCCTTAAATCTCCTTTTGCTAGCCCCAAAGTTCCTTGAGGTATTAGCCTGGAAGACTGCTATGGCTTGACTCGTCCAGTGGCGTCTGGTCGGCCCCAACTGGAACTTGGTCAGTCACCCCTTTTCCACCAAGCAACCCCATTGCACGGAACAGCCTCAAGGTCCTAGCTTCTTGCTTATCACATAGCATTACATCGTGCCGTTGTAAATGCTCAGTGATCATCCGGTATGCATCTTTCCCTTCCTTTCTAGGAACTTTCATTTCAATCTCCATCAGATGGTGCGGCAGTGCTTTCACATCGTCGAATACCGCTTTGAATCCTTTGATTCTGAGCTTCCATTTCGGATTTTGGTACGGACCGAAGGGCACAAGGTCCGCCCAAGCAACCCGCTGGAACTGCTCAACGAAAGCGACCTGGTCGTCGCTCCAGAGTGACTTTCGATGCAGAGGTGATCTGCGTTCACAGGTGTAGAAGGTCGAATTGCCGTATTGATCCCAAACACAGTGAGCCTTGTCTCGGATGGCGGTTTCGTCTTCGTCGAATCGAACCTTGACTGAGGAGATCTTCTGTCGTTTGCTGATCATCGTACGTTTGCTCATCTTCGTGCGAAACATGACCCCATTCTCAGTGTACCTGGGCATCTCCGTGTCATAGTAAGTGACCGGATTCTCTTTATATGGTTTGGAGCCTTTGTGCCCTAGCTTTTCAAGCACGATTTTCGGGTGGGGGTCACAGAGTGACCATTGTAGGTGTACACTTTCTTTCGCCTTGGTACATGTAGCAACAGTGACCAAAACCAGGAATAGGAATACACGCAGCATCTTGAATAGCTATAGCGATATTTAGTGCAATAACTAATAAAGAAATGTTTAAATACAACACTCGTTGAAGATGAGGGTTCGTATGAATATATACATCCATCATCTGATGGATGATCAGCACAAGTCGTGCTTGTGACGATAGGATGACGCAAAATTGAGACATTGTGGTACTTCAAAAGGTGTACAGGATAAACTCTTATGATAACATAAAACTTCGACCTGGAGGCTACTTTAACAGTATATCGTAATAAACAAAGAAACGGCAGCCATGTGTCTTTTTTCCTTCACAAGTCAGATAGAAGCGTTCTGCAGACTGGTGAATATATCGACGATGATCCTCGTCGAGTGAATGCTGGAAAAATAAACCGCCCCAGACCACAACTCAGACTCCGTACGGAAACATGTAGTGCATAACACATGTATCCAACTTGAAGGAGACATAAATCACAAACAACGGTGTTCTCATAGCTAGTCGGACGACCTTGAACTTCCTCTGGCAACCTCGCAGAGTCCCAAAGTTACGTCTACTGCAGCAAAAGAGCTGATACATCCCCTTCATCATCCTTGTGAGCTCTTTACTGAACTTCTGGCACTTATCATAGGGTTTTTATTGCGCACTGGTCAGGTTGGCATACGGACTCACGCGATAACAGGCATCATATCGAGATATAAGACAGGCATACGGCTTGAGTCTTAGCCTCGTGTAAAGCTCGTTCTCGTCATTCGTCGCATCACTCTATAAGCTTTGATCAACCAATATGCTACTTCTCACACCCTCTTCGGACACAATTGAGATTGATGGTATCTCGTACTGTTGGGCCTGCGGCTTCCCGCTGTCGTATGTGTCTCCATGCGTCTGTGAGAGATGCAATTTGTTCAATTGACTTGGAGATGTGGAGGGAGAGGGGGAGCAAGGGGGAGAGAGGGCGCGGGGAAGGGAGAACACGGGAAAGAAGAGCGCGATCGACGCGTCAGGGGAACTTCTAAGCGGAACATATGTTACATTAAAAGGCAAAATTCATGGCTCGCTGGGGATGTTATTTGCTGATACGGGCACCATTAAGGAGGAAGAGAGCAATGATACATACTAGAGGTGGCAAACCAAGGAAACTATTCCTCTCAGATGCATATTGATCACATAGCAACATCTTGAAGTGCGGCATCTTACTATTATTCTCTCCCATACTTCGCTTTGCCACTGATTCCGGTGAATGTCCCTTAGAATTCGGCAGCAGAGCGTCGAGCTGGACCGGATCCCTTTTCCATACGCTGGCTTGAGCTACTTTGTCGAATATCTTCTTACATGACCATGGCCCAAATATGATTGGAGCGACATTCTTCGCTTCCTTTACTAGTCGCCATGGATCGATTGGCGTAGTCTAGGCCATCAGATCGAAATTCTCTGATAGGAGCAGCTCATGTAAAACGTCGAAGCGCCGCATTGGAGTCCAAATGTAGCCCCACACTTTCAAACTTCCGCAACTTCCTTTCGAAAACACAGAACTCATACGTTTTTCTGCTCAGGCAGTCCAGGATTGGTCGCCAGCTCGGTTGCGTTGAAGATACCTGCCCATGGCACGGTCGTGGCCCCTCTCCAGTCCAAAACTCCAATGATTTTGTAGTCCTCATCCACCAATATGATTCGATGATCCAAATCCGCATGACATAAAGGAAACGGACCTGTAGGAACCTTATCTCGGATGATGTGCGGGAGGGCGTGCATCAGAACCCAACAGACCGTGATCCACTCTTCCCTAGGGACATGTGTCCCAAAGCCCCTGGCGTTGCCGGTAAGATAGGCCATGTTGATGGGGTTCATGTGCTGCCGATGGCGTGAAAAGTAATCCAACGATGGGCCTAAAGGTGGAGTCCAGGCATTGGACGAGGGAATCCTAGACCGATCAACTTTGACGTTGGGTGAGCCCAGTTCGCGAGCGGGCATCCCAATCATATCGTAATTTATCAGGCTTAACTGACAATAGTAGTCTGCCAGATAGTGTGCGAACTTTGCGCAATGATCTGCTGGCACGATTTCGCAGGCCTGCAGCCAAGTCGCAGAGGTAGTTGAAGTTTGCTTCCACGAGGACTTGCCATATCTGACTATGCAGGCCGCTTCATTTGGGGTTCAGACTGGACACAGGAACCCAAGTCTTGTTCAAAGCTCAGGAGGTGACTATAACTAATTCAGACCGGGGAGTGCAGATCTGAATTGAAAGGGCAGTGGACCGAATCGAAGGTGCTGGTAATATAAGGAGACGCCGGTGAGACTTAGCCATGCCAGCAGACACACCACAGGAACAAATGGAAGCAAACAGTTTGGTTCTTTATATGTATGAGCCAGATGTCTCGGAGATTCTCTTACTGAGTGAGAAGAAAGGACGGTGTTTCCGACCGCCGCAAGGCGCGTGGTAAGACTTCCGAATAGATATAAAAGGCACGTGTTTTAATATCAAGCCAAAGATATTGCACCAGGATTCAATCCCGAGTACTTGGTGGTTCGAAAACATGATAAACACATGATGAAGACAAAACACAATGTCCTTCATGCTATTCTTTTCACAAGCTCTTCAACGGCTGCGTCTTCTGTGGATTGCAGATCAGGTTTGTCTTGATAGTTTGGTAACCCGTAGTGCTGGTACAAGCATGGTGGAGCCTTTGTCAGTTGTTCTTCGTAAGAGAAGTAATCAGGCAATGGCTGTTCCTTCGAATTTTCTTCACAGTTTCATATGCTCGAGATCAAGGCTGGCTTTAGAAGAGCGATCCATGGTTGTATAGAGGATGGTAGACCGAAGCAGAGATTCATATGCACAGAAAAGGAATAAAGAGAAGGTCTAACTGACGTTAGAGTAAGGCAATTTAAGATTCATTTGCAACATGACTCTAGCAGAACGCTGACTCGGATAAAGCAGTGAAGAAGCTCTCTTGACATGACTAACCATTAGAATATATATAACTAACTAGTTATAGGAGAATGAGTATTCCGATACAAGTCATAAACAGGCCTGATCAGGATCTCTACATAAGCAGCTCAGGGAAGAAAGATATGATATGCTCTAGTTAAGTTGTAAGACCGCATTCAAGGACAAAACGCAAGTTAGTGACCTACTGCGTCTCAGCTAAGGTCACTCTTGACGGCTGTAAATCTAGGAATACGAGGCCCAGCCAGAAGTATAGCTATGCAAGCTGCGGCTGGACAGGTATCCTCATGATTGCAGCCGTGAGGGGCCGATGGCGCGAAGAGATGACACGCTCGATAGAATCGGGGCAGTCCGAAAAATCGTCTCCCCAAAGAGGTTGTCGAGAATATTTGAAGACCCTCACGATTTCGAGGACTCCGGAAAACAGTGGCTTAGCTTGAGTCATTAGCCAAGTCTCCATGTCGCTTGACCGAAAGTAGTGGCAACATTCAAATCATCCGCTTTTGATCCGTAAGCCATCCAAATTAACTCGAAGACTTAGGTGAGTTAGGGCAACAATGGTAAGGTCAGCTATTGTGGTGTTCAAAACCATTCTTTCCTTCCATAAGATCATCAGGGGCGACTTCATCCTGTTAATACGATATTCTATTGTTGGTTTTTGAATTGACAAATGAAACGAAGTATGACATCCCGGTCCTTGAATGTACACGTTAAGCAGTCTGATCAATAGGAGATGACTGGGATCATAGCCGCAAGCCGAGCTCCGCGTGTGGGGAAGTCCATATCATACCTTATCTCCAACTTCACGGTCGCGGATTCGCGATGTTTATTAATTAGGCGTGCAAGCTTCGAGAGAGAACTAATTTACAATCCCAAATACAAACCTAATATCAAGATGGCCGAGTGGGAAGTGATTGCAAAGCGCAAACAGCAAGAGCGCGACTCCAAGATCCCCGCGGCCTGGCTGCTGCCGACCAGCCCTGCCGATAATCACAATGTCCTCCAGGTCCCTGGAAAGGCGGGCATATTGACGCCAGCCGAAATCGACATCACCGAGAACTACGATGCCACAGGATTGCGAGATGCCATTGCCGCCGGCAAATTAAAGAGCCTGGATGTTGCGAAAGCGTTCAGCAAACGAGCTGCAATCGCCCAACAGCTGGTTCGTCCCCTTAATGCCGAGCCTTCGGGATGGAAATCATGCTGACGGTGGCAGACCAACTGCTTGACGGAGATTTTCTTTGATGAGGCCCTGAAGCGAGCGGAGGAATTGGATGCCTACTATGCGAAGCACGGCCAGACCGTGGGCCCTCTTCATGGCGTGCCGGTTTCTATCAAGGACTGTTTCAGGGTAAAGGGGGCCGACTCAACCACCGGAATTGCTTCGTTGGCATTCAAACCAGCCGTAACGGAGTCAGCCCTTGTGCAGATCCTGCGAAAGGCTGGTGCAGTCCTGCATTGCAAAACTAATGTGCCCATGACCATGATGGCTCTGGATAGTCACAACAACGTCTGGGGACGAACCATGAACCCTATCAATCGCAAAGTCACAGCGGGTGGCTCATCCGGTGGCGAAGGCGCGCTCGTCGCTATGAGAGGGTCGGCGATGGGAGTCGGAACGGATGTCGGCGGCTCGATTCGTATCCCCGCGATGTGTAATGGCCTATATGGGATCAAGCCAAGCCATCAGCGCATACCTTTCGCGAATCTGCAAGGTTCCACCGCACCCGGCGGAAGCAGGGTCGCCGTCGCAGCAAGCGCAGGCCCTCTTACCACGACATTGCGGGATTGCGAGCTATTCTTCGACGCTATATCTTCCCAAAAGCCGTGGGAAGTTGATCCTGAGGTGATTCCGGCCACCTGGCCATACCAGCAACCTGCGCTATCGAAGCGAGATGCGATTATTGGTATCGTGAAACGAGACGGGTTGATTGAACCGCTCCCTCCTATTGCTCGCTTGATTGATGAAGTCGCGTCGCGTTTGAGGTCGCAGGGTATCACGGTAGTGGAAATGGACATCACGCCTCTGTTCTCCAAATGCCAGTCATTAGCGAACAAGCTGTTCGGAATTGATGGAAACAACTACGCCTTCGATCTTTTGGAATCCAAGGGAGAACCAGTGAGTGCAGATCGTATGAGCTTGACCATTAATCGTTTGCTGACTTTCTAGCTATCACCATGGCTGGCCACTCGGTTGAAGCGAGGAAAAGTCAGGGGGTTGCCTGAAGTCACCGATCTCCATGCGCGTAGGATGGCGCTGGAGGCCGAGTTCCTGAAATACTGGAACGATACCACCACCGGACGCCAGATTGATGCCTTCATCTGCCCCATGGCGCCGCATCCGGTGCCACTCATCGACAGATTCAACGGAGTGAGCTACACTAGCTCCTTCGTCTTGCTCGACGCACCTGCTGGTGTAAGTAGCCCCGCCATCTTCCTGAGTGGTTTCCCGCTCACTCTGCTATTAGAACATCCCTGTGCGTGCATTTGGGCAACATGACCTCGAAGGCGAGGTGCCGAAGACCAAGGCGCTTTCATCTTGGGACGAGAGAAACAGAGAGCTTTGTGAGTCCATTATGTTCGATTTTTGACCAGTATTGACTGTAGCAGGGACCAATGTCGACCGCTCCGTGTATCTGGGCACACCTCTCTGCATCCAGGTCGTCGCACCAAGGCTGCAAGAGAGACGGTTGACGGAGGCTATGAAGGTCATCGATGATGCTCTCAAGGCTTCTGGATCTGACACCAAATCGAAATTGTAAAATCAGCGTAGCATTCTTACCAAACCGATTTAGCTATGGGCAATAATTCATTGGAATTTGTGATAAGGAACCGCATATGTCGTTCAGCTACCCGTCCGAGAGCTCCGCAATGCTGATAGCTTTGTCGTGGCGCGTGAAAACCACACCGGAATATTCTGTTCAGGTCGTCTCCAGAGTACTGCATGCCTATACAGTTAATCGAAACCATCATTGGGTATCATATATGTAAATATGGAATTGAGAACTGTTGTCCAGTTGGCTTCTTGAAAGAAGATCGTCGCATCACGTGCACTCGACAGGGATCCTTCATCTAGAAAGTTCGAGCCACGAATCGCAATTATGGTTGATGTGGCTCCAAGGACAGTTACATGACCACTCAATAATGTGAACGAAAGATTATGAACTCTCTTCCTCGACACTATTAACGTCCGCAGAGTCCATAGGGGGACTCGGTCAGCGACTTGCTCATGCAGACGGAAGACACTCTTTTGATACCCTTTTCGGCTTCACCCTTCAGCTGCGCCTGCAGCGCTCCCTTCGCGCTCTCCATCTATCGTCCGGTCATCGGATGAACAACAAGTCTCAAAATGAGCACCGATTACAATTATGATGAACAGGGCCAATATTTTCCCTACTTCATCCTTACGATTACCGCCCTAATTACCCTTCCGACCACATACTCGGTTCTTGCGCCGAGCAAAGGTATGACAGCGTGAGACCGCGATAATCAGGTGGTGCTAATGTTGATGACAGAGCTTGAAAACACCGCACCTCGAATCCAGTCCGATTTCAAACCCGAACATGCCGATCTTATTGAAGGACAACGGCGAAAGCAGAAGAGGCGGGAGCGAAAGGTGAAGCGGATGATGCTATCTGTCGGAGGATGGCTCCTCATGGCATGGATGGTGTACCTGATGGTGGTGACGACAAGGACGGTACCAAAAATATGGGACCCATATGATGTCCTAGGGATCTCGAGAGTATGTGTTTTGGATCTTTGGTGTGGTTGACCACATGCTGATCGAAAGCAGTCTTTGAACGAGAAAGAGATCAAGAAACACTACCGCAAGCTTTCCCTCACGCAACATCCTGACAAAGTCACACTTGATCCCGAGAGGAATATCACGACCGACTCGGTCAACAACCATTGGGTAGACATTACCAAGGCATATAAAGCACTCACCGATGATGAAATAAGGAACAACTACCTCCAGTACGGCCACCCGGACGGCAAGCAGAGCTTCAGCATCGGAATTGCGCTGCCCAAATTCCTTATTGAAGAGGGCAATGGGAAATACGCGCTTCTCCTGTACGGAGGACTACTAGCCGTATTCTTGCCTTACATCGTTGGACGATGGTGGTATGGGAGCCAGCGAGTCACAAAAGAAGGCGTTCTTGTCACGAGCGCTGGCAATATCTTCCGGGAATACCAGGAGACCTCCGATGAAGCCGCAGTCATTACTACTCTAAGCAGTGGAGAGGAGTTTGATGAGGTGCTGAGCGGTCGTGCGGACAGCGGCTTATCGAAACTCGAGCAGAAAGTGCTCTCAGACGACGAGACATCCCCACTAGCCGGACTTATCAGTGAGGCCAATAAGAACAAACTGAAAGATATGGAAGGCGTCCGACGAAAGGCATTGGGTCTTCTCTGGGCATACCTTGGACGGATTGAGTTGGAGGACGAATCGTTGAACGATGAAAAGTTGGAATGTGCCACCAAAGCAATCGCTTTGAACGAGAGCTACTCATCGATCGCCCTGGCCTATGGAAACATTCAACCTCTCCTCTCATCCTACCGCACTTCGCAATGCTTAATCCAGGCCTTCCCACCAGGCGGGTCGCCTCTCCTTCAGCTCCCTTTCATCACCCCTACCATCGCGAAAGCCATCGAAGGTGAAGACTCGCGGCGCCATCTCCGAGTTACCGACTACATGAACCTTCCAGCCGACATTCGAAAGAAGCGCTCCGTCGGACCCGACTTGCTCACTCCCCAGCAATACCAGTCCGCCGTCGCGCTCGCGTCCCAACTCCCCAACCTGCACGTCGAGAAGGCGTTCTTCAAGGTCGTCGGCGAGAAATACATCGTCCCCAACAGCTTCGTACAGTTCATCATCAAAGCCCGCCTCATTCCTCCCGGATCCACCAAAGTCCCTGACCCGGACCCGAAGGACCTCGAAGAGCCCGACCCGAAAGGCAACAAGACAATCGCCGACGACCCCAACGAAAAGCGCGAACAGCCGCCCCTAGCCCACGCGCCGTACTTCCCCCGCGACAAAGCGCCGCAATGGCACGTGTTCCTCGCCGACGGCAAGCAGGGGAAGCTCGCCGTGCCGCCGTTCACGTTCAATACCTTCAACAAGGCGGTGTACGACGAGGCGGGGAACCCGACGTACGCGGTGCTTACATTGCGGATGCAGTTCGGTGCGCCGCCGCAAGCGGGAAAATATACGTTCGCGTGCTACATCACGTGCGATTCGTATGTTGGGCTGGATACCAAGATCGATGTCACGATGAATGTGGAGGATGCGAGTAAGGCGGAGGCGATTGATATCGTTGATGATGATGCGGAGATTGCGAGAGGTATGTTACTCTGTTTGCTTCCTACGTCGATTGATAGGACTTTGGCTAACGATGTTTGACAGATGAGGCAGAATCTCTCATCGGCGGCGCCAAAGCCGCAGCTGCGAGCGGCCGACTACCCAGCATGGGCGATTCGGACGACGAGAGCGGGACGGATGAGGATGTCGAGACGGAGAGCGAGACGGATACGGAGACGGACACGGATGGGGAGTGATTGACATGGCGGTTTCCAAAAATTCATGGCGTTATATCCGCTTGTTCTCTCGTATCCTCGCACAGTGTAAAGTATATCCTAGTCCATGAGCATCGTGCAGGTGTTTGGTGCCAATATGAGTTCGAGCAAGGACGCGAGGGGCAATATGCTTTAGGTTGGTTATCAAATTCCGATTGACTATTGAGACCGATACCTTGTCGACCATGAGTCTTTTCCAGCCATGAAACCTTTCTGCCTCAACGATCTTGCCACCATTTGTGAATAAATCGACCTCATGGTCAGGAGACAATCAACATGCCTGACTGCCTCATAAGCGACCCTTCACCGACCATGAAGCCACCCGATATGTTCTGAACCCTGAATCCTCGCCTGATCATCAGCAGGCCACTTCAGGGGCAATCACCGCCGCAATTGCGCCTTACTTATTATGCCTTGTATGCCTTTTGCGTGGCAACCAAACCCCTCCTTCCATTAGGATGCAGGTCATCTACATGCTAGTGGGGGTACGGAATACTGCGCCTGGTTGCTCGGCTCCCTGCATGATTCAAGGTAGCCCATTAAGCGCGATACTAGTTTCGCACCAGGGGGCATGTGTTCGAGAAGATATTGCGAAGGTTGGGCTGTGCCGCAGGTCGATGTTGTTTCCTTTGCCGCTTTGCAGTTGTCAACTGCCAGGGCGGAGTGGTGGCTTAGCAGTTAGCATTCCGACCCGTCGAAGTGAGGATCAGCCAATCATATCGTGGTACATTCATCAATGTAAAAAATGCCATATGGCCAATCAATCAATTCCTGGCGTCCACTGGTAATGACTTTGCCCCATATTTCAGCCGTTTACGGCGTAGCGCGTGTGCAGAGATTGGAGTATCTAAAGAAATCAAAGCGAATCGACCAGCACTAGATGGCATCGCCGTAGTGTCTAGAACTGCCTTGTCCTGTGGATCTCAATGCCAATATCAACGTCTCTCTCTGTTATGCTTGAGACGACAGGGACATCCTCAATCAATATTTGAGCTTAGCAGGACATGGCATAGCCTATCTCAAGGCCACCGAAAGGCGATACTGTAGGCAGTGCATTCATATCCGTTGGTGAAATGCATGGAGGATCATGGAGGAGGTCTTGGAGGAGGTCTATAAGAAAGGAGAAACCGTCTCCCCTATGCTATGAATGCTTTCAGATCCTGATATAACTTGATCAAGAAAACAGCCCGTGGAATATCCAATCTAATATTTTAGCCATATCACAAAGCCGAAGGGTGCCTTGCTGGGGTACCTACCGACCTAAACCGAAGAATATACTTCGTCGCTTCCGTTTGCGAGTCAGAAATCGCCCGTTTGCTTTCACTTAAATCGCGTCATCATGTCCTTAACTGTGTTGAATTCACAATGCCATCCCTCAGATTCTCCCTCTCCGCTTATCCACAGATCAAGCACCATGGAGCGCCGACAGAGCATCTTCAAGAACTTGAAAAGCAAGTTCGGGAGCAAGAATTCCAATTCTACCTCACGGCAGGACTCGTTCGAACCAGCATCATCTCCTACAAGTATGGCTGATCGAAATCCACTGCAAAATCTTTCCCCGGTAACTCGTCGACCTAGTGAGTTCCCATGTCCAAACGATACCAACACATCCAATCTAACGCCAATTTAGTCCGTCCTGGCATGAACGCTTTTATCACCCCCTCAAATGAGCCACCGCCAGCATACACCCCCGCCGCGAACTCCCAGCCCAACCCCGCCATCGGCACCTCTGCCGCCGCCTCGGACGACACCTACGCCTTCCTCGGCTCCTTCGACACCGTCTTCCTCATCGACGACTCTGGCTCCATGGCCGGCCGCTCCTGGCGCGAAACCGCCCAGGCCCTCGAGACCATCACACCCATTTGCACCGTGCACGACGCCGACGGGATCGACCTGTACTTCCTTAACCAGGCAGACAGCCCGTACTACCGGCACGTGCAGTCGGTCGCCACGGTGCGGGAGATCTTCAGCACGGTGCGGCCGCGCGGTGGGACGCCGACGGGGCAGCGGCTGAATCAGATCTTGCGGCCATATGTGGCACGGTGTGCGAAGAACGTCGACGCGGTGAAGCCGTTGAACGTGATTGTGATCACGGACGGGGCGCCGAGCGATGATGTGGAGAGCGTGTTGATCAGTGCGGCGAAGAAGTTGGATAAGATGGACGCGCCGGCGTGGCAGGTGGGGGTGCAATTTTTCCAGGTGGGGAGGGAGCCTGGGGCGAAGGAGCATTTGAAGCAGTTAGATGATGAGTTGGCGGAGTTGGCAGGGGAAGATGATCTGAGGGATATGGTGGATACGGTGCCGTTTACGGGGGACAACGATGCGCAGCTGACGGGTGATGGGATACTGAAGGTAAGCACAATCACGACCAAGGAACACGCAGCCGCTAATCTAAAATAAATCAGGTTGTACTCGGCGCTGTAACTCGTCGGCTAGACCGAAAGCGGTCAAAGGACCTGCATCGTAAGTGAGGATAAGATCCATACACCTTGTATCATGAGGGCGTCGAGCTATGAAGCGAAATAAGAACCCCTGATCAGAAGAGATCGAAGGGCTTACATCGTCAATCCTAGCGGATACGCCGGCTGGATCCCTATGGATGGAATAGGGATTGGCGTTTGAGGTTTTCTGTCAGCTCTTGGCTCTGCGCTGCTCCGTTGCTCTGGAACATGTGCTTTTATATCTCCTTTCTCCTTGCGGTTCACGGCTTGCTCGTACAAGACAGCGTCAACTTAGGCTTTGAGTGATTTCATAGGTGTCAAGGAGGCTTGCAGATGAGTTAGTATCGCTAACTACTTAAGATATGGAACACATAGATACCGAAATATGGAACCTATTCTCCGATGCCCTTGAAACACATAATTCCATCTGGCAGTTTGCCTGGGTTGTATCCTTTGTCCAACTTGACCTTGGGTCTCACTAGGACAACAATAATCTAGACCAACTAGATAGGACTGTCTCCAGGGGTTCCGGAAGCAAAAGCAGCATAAACACTATCAAGAAAATCAATTCGGCCCCCATTCCCATTCCCATTCCCCACCCACAATAATAACAATGAAAAAGAACACACCAGCTGCGACTTGATCGTAGGACCTCTGTCCAGCAAAAGGAGAAGGAGCCACCCGGCGAAACCAGGTGACAGGATAATTTTTGAAGCCGAAGCCGTCAAAAGACTTGTGTTGGTCAACTACTTCTCCGAAATACAATTCAAGATTTAAAAATATATAATTATCAAATTTCGTCAAGTGAAAATGCTTTGTTCTGAGCTTCTGGTCGGATCTGCGATCAATCGCTGCGGAGAGATAGATGACTGGTCAAGGATGGCTGGGCTGACTGCTTCATGTCCGTCTGCCTCAGATCATCGCGCTGAGCCTCCCCGCTCGTAAACGTCAGCTAAACATAACAAGTGTGAGCCACTCGTAAGTCTATAGTTAAAGGAGATAATGTACCGGATAATCTGCCCGAGGGCTCTCTTACTTCTCATACCTAAACAACAATACTAACAATAAGAAGCAAGACCACCAACAGTGACTTGATTTTCACTCCCCATCGGCGGAAGGAGAAGTGATCGACCCAACATTGTGCCCCTCTCTCTTCTAACCCGAAGTTTTAATTAAACCACTACTTCGAGAGGAAATAGAACCTTTAAAAATATATACCATAAGCCTGGTCTACAACGTGTCATTTGGTCCGACAAGCATGTCTATCAACCACAGGCTTACATAGCTGTTGATTGCCTGCCTGGCTTGAGTACATATTCCTAAGAGTTTCGCTTTCTGGGGGTGAACAGATCGATGGTACCTCTGGAGTCTGGGGACTTTGGACTCCTAGCGCCCAGGACAGGCTCTTATAGCCCCTAAAATTGGGGAGGTTGAGAACTGAGACTCCACTTACTTTCCCATGACCCGCCCATTTTCGAGGGACTCACTTTTGCCCGTCAGTGGCATAGGAGGATATTCGAAGCGCACCCTTACTTAGGAAGGCCGTGATACATACCTCAGGTGCAGCAGCAAAAGAAGACGTGTACTGCGCTTCCGTGTCGATTACCAGTAGTTAAGACCAGCTTATAAGCTTCCGCATGTATGTATCGCGAACATCGACAAGCTTTCTAAATCTTATAAGATCATGTGAACGTCCGCTTCCTTAACCTGGGCAAGTATATTACTACAAAGAAGTCCGCTAGTTCCGCTTAATCTGAGTTCCCGATCGTGGTGTCAGACTCACAGTCAGAGCCTTGAACTTTGCTCAGACTTTATCAGCTGGGACTCAGCCGGCAACTGTGCTCCCTGGCCAATATGGCGTTCCGCTATACCCAATGAAGCCAGCTTCTTTTTTAGCATTCTCCATTAAATATTGACCAATCATATGCCTTAAGGCCAGAGGGCACCAAGTCTAAGAGATTTCTGCATAGTTTTGTGTGGATGTGTACAGCATCCTATCATGATATAGGTGAGATAACTTCCATCGTTAAGTGAACTCGATACAGAAGGATTCTCGCTAACCTGTTATCAGAAATTGATTCTACGCGTGGACTTCCACATTTCATCAAGTTTTAGGACCAATCCAACCACTACAGTAAAAGAACGCGTTATCTTCCCTTTCGCTATGCCGACTGCGTCCTCCCTCTCGAGCGAGTTATCCTCTATACCGCCAGATGAGATGCATTTATCATCATCGCCGTCTGCCTCGTCCACATCCTCAGATTCGACTCCCCGACCAAAACGTCCTTCCCCAAGACGATCCCCTACCAGATATCGGCAGATTCGGCGTGTTGCAGGGAAAAAACGGCTTCAACCATTTGACAAATTACGCGAAACATTGTACCTGTGGCGAAAGCAGCGGTTCACATTTAAAGAATTTCTCCGCGCCTGGTTACTATCGGATGAGCACCATGGTTCCTTGGGGAGGGCTACAAGGGTTGGATTATTCCGTGAACTCTTAGAAGAGGAGGAAATCCGTGAGGTTCTTGGGCATCACCCCTCAAGCCGCCGTAATTGGCAACCTCTCCTCAAAGAACTTGATGGCTTGACCGAATACAAATACTTTGACACTTTCGATCCTGATACCGCCCACGAATGGGATATCGACCTTGAAGATGTCCGAAAAGTTATCAAGACTAGGGCACCAGAATGGTACAGCTGCTTGGATCTAGTTCTTCGAAACTGTCGCAGTCAAGAACCAGATCAAAGGGAGACTCTTTCAAAGGGGACGATTGGGCAAATGTACACGATGACTGCAGTAGCATGCCGGAGTCGTAAGCGGAACACATCAAGTGTATACGCTAAGAAGCTGGGATTATATATGATCTCTAGTGGGACAAAGCGGCGGGTTGTGGATACAGTTGCTGGTCTCGGGCTTACTGACACTTACCAAAGTATCAATGAGGATATTTCAGATATGGCGCTCAAGGCGAAGGCAGGTTGATTATACCTTAGGTTAGATATTTTCTTCCTACTTCGCTATTAGAATCGTCCCCCAATGCTAGCCAAAATGCCAAAGGCAGTTCTTGTTTATAATAACTTCAACTTCAAAGATACATATTGTGCATGAACAGACGATTGGTTCAACTTATATTGTGCGGAATCTGTCAACATGTCTGATGAAGGTTTATCCCAATCAAGTTTCGATCCCACCCAACGTCTCTCCTTTAAAGATATCTGCAAAGCCGATGGTTTAAAGTATGATAAGAAAAAGCAGAGTGTAAACATTCACTTAGTCTACGAGGCCCTACAACACGTTCATTCTACAAGTATTGACTTGGTTTTCCATTCACAGCCGTCTACTGTCCCTTCTTCTGGTATCCGGAGATCAACCGTCTACACGCGGGTGGGAATACAACAAACATTCATCATCTTCGGGCTGCCCCTTTTGATGAGGGAACAATCCAAGGAATCTACGGAGTTCATGAAGATATTTGGATCCGACAGTTGGGTTTCCAATCCCAACCACCATGCGAAGACTTCACAAACCATCTCTCACTGGTATTTGGAGATCAGAAAGTAGCCCAACATATCCGTACTCTAAAGGAGGCACAGGAGATGGATATTGGGTCCCTCTGAACTATTTCATGTCTTGAATCTAATCCTAACAATCGCCCGTATCCATTTTGATATGAAGCCTCCACTACCGTCGGATACAAAGCCTTTAATACCATCAGATGCAACGCTTCTACCGGATATCATCTACTAGGATCGAAAAGGATGTACTCGAGATTCCCCCCTAAATAAATCTGAAAGGAAAATGTCCTAGAATTTCTCAGGTTTCTAGAGGGGGTTTTGGAGGTTTTTTCCCCAAGCGCTTCGCTTTCGTCCCAAACTCACCCCTGGCTTAGCTAATTAGGTGCCTAAATTACTACATAGGCTATCAATCCCTTGCCAGTGGAGCCCATCTTGCACTTGCTCACTCCAGTGACTTCATTGGACCTTTCCTTTGCGGCGCGCTCTTCCATTGACAGGACAATCCAGCCGCCTACATTTCCTAAAGGCAAGGCACAGCATCAATAGCGACTCTCTCGGCCGTTTAGTAGTAGTCCGGACTACGGACCCAAAACTAGGCTGCTTCAACCTGTCTCTAGGAAGAGGAAGCCGACTACTCTTCCGTATCTCCTTTATGTCGATCTGCTTTCTCTAGCATTTAAATTATAGCGGACGATCTACTGGTGCTAAACGGCTTCGAAGAGTAAGTTGTTGATTGGTTTAGACGTGTCAATCAATCACGGAAGCAATAGGTTCTCCTGCAGAGGGAGTGAGATGCATGTATTGTGGAAGCTGTGGGATACACCGCAAGGTAGATATACCCGAGCTTATGTAAGATAAAGAACAAGGAAAGAAATCTTGTGTGATGACTAAGTAATAACCTCTGATTTCCAACATAAGTCGATAGGCTAGTAGACGTCAAGAAGCGCGAAAGGAGATAACAACTCGTTTAAACTATGAAGTGTTAATGAGAAAATGGCGAGAGTAAGCTCTATGGACATGGTAATGACTAATGAGCACCTGCGGACTAGTTAATAGAATCCTTAAGTTACTAACTACCGATATTGAAAGTATCCTGGAACCCTAGAGTGTTATAGTTCCAGGCCCATGGTCTCCTCCCCTTGAAGTTATAGTCACTTCTTCTTCAGCTTTGCAATATGTACTCTAACTCTGTCTGGCTTGCTTATATTGACCTCTTTCTTCAGCGCTAACATCAACTCAGTTGTCCGCCGCCAATTCGATGCAGGCTTAGGTGTCCACCACCAGCGGTTTTGCTGTTCAACCCCGAGCGGCCTACCCATCACCATCCCATAGCGACGGGGCCAGCAGTGTTCCCGATATCAACAAAGCTCAAAATGTCACCTTTCGTCATCCCGGATACCCTGACGGAGCTAATATCCTGCTCATACTACCCGTGCACGATGGCCCTGGCGGAGGTATTCACCACGACTTTGCGTGGACCGCTTGTGCTGTTGTTGCGAACTGCGCATGGAGGAGTTTCCTGTCCGAGAGGCGAGATGGGCAAAGCGTTGATGTGGGAAAAGACAGCCTCTTGAAGGAGAGTGATTACTACTTTCGATTAACAGATGATGAGGGTCAAAGTGCGTAGTAGACGCGAGCATATGCATCAGGTGCTGATGGCCATCTGTATGGACATTGAGAAGTATCCTATTGTCGTATCCTTCGCCCATTTCAAGTTCCCGCACCGCAACCTTCCGCCATGCTGGACCTCCGAAGGTCTTCGAATTCCTATATCGAACTACCAATCACGTCCGACCAGCCTCTCAGATATACTTCTAGTGCGCGATAGATCCTGTCGAGTTACCGACCACTACGAAGGTACTGAAGACGTGCATCTCATCCCGCTCGTCGAGGAACGTTGGTTCAGATCAAACGAAATGTTGAAATGCACTTCTCGCCCGCTTCCATCGGTCACTTCGGCTGACGACCCTCGCAACTCTCTACTACTGCGCTCCGATCTACACTCTACCTTCGACGCGAAACGCTAGGTCGTGGTCCCGAAGGCAGAAACCTGGGTAGTCCACGTGCTAGATCCTAGCCCATCAAGGCAGTTTTTAAGCTTATACCACAACGTGACGTTGCAGCTGCTCGAGGACGTGTCGGTTGAGTATTTGTTCGCACGATTTGCTTCGACGATCTTGACCCAACTCGCATTTACTGGTTTTGCTGGGCGACGGAATCTAGTTATTGTAGACATGGAAGACCAGTCGAGTAATATCGAGGAGCTCACGGGCGAACAGTGGGCAGGGCTCTTCCCTCTTCGAACGAGGAGCAGGAGCCAGAGTCCTACAAAGAGAGCGGTAGGAAGTAGCAGAAGAGGATCTTAACGAAGAAGAATAGCCCGAGCCCCGGGGTTGAAGGAGAAAGAGGAGTTTGAAGCTTTCTACTCCCACTTGGTCATCTAGGGAGGATGCTTTCACGACGGAAGTCGAAGCAGTATAGGGACAAGTACGGAAGAATTGTCTCTCGAAAAGAAGACGACTTTTACAGCAAGAGCCTAGAACGACTGGAACACCCGGCGAGAGTGTGGATAAGGAGATCTTGGATACATAGCCGAAATAACGGCCAGTGGAATGAGTACTTTGAGTGAACGTGAGTATCTCCCGAAGATGGTAGTAGCACATTCAATCCGAAGATCGAACAGTTAACTTCGCACAGTGAATGACAATATGCCCGCTCATCCGTACTAAATGTCCTATAGAGCTACGTATGATCAACTGTCGTAATAAGAATGAAAATGAACGGAAGGAAGGAGTAAAAATAAAATCTCCTTCGTGCAGCGGCGAGGACCCTTGTCAACCCCCAAAAGGAGGCTCGCTCGGGGGCGTAATTAGTTGACCGAAAAGGTCACCCTCGCCGCATAGGACAGAATAGTGGGATTTGTGAAGTCCCGAGTACCCGGAGAAAGGCTTATACAAACCTAATTAAGCACGTGGACGCACAAATCATCAGTAGCGTATTGGAAGACATTTTCTCCGGAATTACTCCCCAACCTTGCCGATCCTACCACCAAGAGATTAAGAGCACTCTCCAAACAAAATCACCGTCCGGGTAAATACCCCCTTGCATCTCAGCACAAGTCATATATTGTGTGGAAACCCTTCAGGCATTGACCAACAGTGAAAGTGGTCAGTCGGTCCACCATTTCATGTTGCAGGGAGAAGGGTAATATGAGCCCTTTGGTCGTTAAATATCCATCTACGCCCATAAAAACAAGGTAATTCCTCTCCTGTTATAGCGGCGTTCTGGTAGCAGAAGGCGCCTACGTTTTGAAGGAGTAGAGCGTTATCATTTTGTGTCTAACATTCTGCCATAATGCTCACAGTATTGGCCAAGCACGGCTGGAATAAAAGCAAGGAGAAAGTTTGTTATATTGAATTTTAAGTGTTCTTTTAGCTCAATTATTTCCATGCCGAAGTTCTTTTACTATCCATACAGTACTTTTGAGATGTGCGGGCTGATCAAATTTGAAGCCCTGGTCAAAATCTGAACACCCTGCGTATCTATTTATACAAATTGACTAACACTCAGGAGCTCTCGGTACATATCTTCCTGCCTAAGGAATGAGGAACATCATTTAATAGATCATCTTGCAATTCCTGAAGCAACGGCCCTATTGGTTGCGAGAGAAACTAGCGTTAGAACCACCGACCGATTCGCGCACCCAGGAAGCGTTCGAGTAACGTAGCAGCCGAAAGAAAGAATATTGGGAGTTATGGTGGCGGTCAATGTTGAGAAATTTACCTGAGAGAAATGGACCTGAGGAGAGGTTTGAGTTAGAGAGATTGATTTGAGGTAAGGTTGGAGTGCAAGAAGTATAGCGGGGAGGCGGGTGTACGAGAATTCCATAACCGTTTCGCTGCCGATCTCTTACGACTCGAACTTGCTCTCAATAAAGTCCAAGATGTCCTCTATAGCTTACGAGGGCTGCGATGAGATTAAGGGAAGGGATCCGCTTAGGGCAAGTCATCTCGAGAAGTAGTGATTAATCAGTCGAATCAGTTGGATCACTAACTAAAGGTTCCCTACCCTGTTACACATTACGACGGCTACACTACAGCAAAACCAAGCTTATGTCACCTATACTAATTCAATTACGAATTCTGCAGCGGATAAGGTGATACATTTCATTCAAGGATATCACCAACGAGAAAATGCAGCTCGTTATCCCGTTAAATGTCGAGGCTTGAAGAGGGGGTTGCAAACCAAGAGAAAGTTATAACTGAAATAGATCTAAGCGATCACAGGGTAAGAATTGCCATGCTACATCAAGTTCGAATGATCTTATAATAGTATAGTTCCGTCTGTTATGGTCCCAGGCCTGCGGCCTGTTCCCTTGGTTGTGGCTGAAGAGGTGGCTGGTGGATTATGGTATATCAGAGAAGCAAACAAACATGGTAACACAGCATTAGGGCAATGGAGAGGAGAGTCGCTATCTCGCGCACAAAGGAGCCGGGAGATTTCTTCTCTCCCTCTCTCTCTTCAGTTTAGATTAATGGAACTTGGTAATCGCAGACCTTGCGCATCCAGACCGTGTCACCGTCGAAGACTAGAAGGAAATGATTTACGCTGCGATTATCCCTTGGTTGTACCTAAGCTGTTGCCCAATTTAGAAACCGACCATAATTTCTAGCCACTTCTTGCTTTGTTTCTTCGTAATCGGTTCTTCGCAATCGGTTCTTCATCCGAATTTACAGCGGGGATTTCCTGCTGGAGCATTTACTCGAGCAGGCCAGAGTCGTTCAATGGCCCTCCGATATCATCTGCTTTCCGCTTTCCAATTGCCCTCTTAGTCCGAAATTCGGATATTGGTTGAACTCGCTTAGACGATCGTTGATGTTCACGCTATTTTAACCCAACGTTGCACAGACGAGGTGTGTAATGCTTCCCATGCATACGCTACAAGTGATCGCAAAAGGGTTATATTCCATCTTGAATCATTGGCTCGCAATCAGGAACTGGGCATTGACGAACTTGATCGAGGTGGCCCAGAGGTAAATGCTCAGCCTTGAATTGTGCTGTTAGAGTGTGACATTTCGAATATTACAACGGACGCCCAGTCGGATCGCAGAGGACGCATATAGGGCGTTCGGTGCCTCGATGGCCAGCAGGAGTATAGTGTTTGCCGTGCTGACGCTGCAAATGAGTAAAACGGAGATACGCCAGCGCCAACGGTCAAACCGTAGTCAGGAACTGGGCATTTATGTCCTTTGTCTAGGTGACTATGTCGCAAATGTGTGACCAGAAAGTGTCTCATGAGAGACAAATGTTGTGAGAAAGATACAACTCTACCAGTCGGATCGCAAAGGACGCAAATAGACCGAGGACATGGATCTGGAGCGTTTCGGTCATGCCCCTTGCTTTTCTTCAAAAGGCGGGAATAGCTAGCCAGTAACTCAATAAATGGAGCCTGACCTTCTTCATTAACGGGTGCTGCATCAACGAAGATGTCGCTGTTCGAAATCGGCGACTCGATAATAGTGATATGGCCACCTATCGCCCCGTGTATGTTGCACATTGCCAAAGTATTTCTCCCGCTTCTCTCGAATAACGAAGTCGGATAACCGGTCCAGTAAGTGGCGCTGTACCTTCTTATTGTCCTGGAGATCTTTGATATCTCGTCTCTCAAGAAGCTTTTTAAACTGTTCTTCATTCATGTGGCATGGGGCAATAGACGTAGAGAAAGAACTTTTGATGCTTGGAGCGTTGTGGGGAACTTCCATTGCTGCGTGTTTTTGCTTTTGGGACTTTTGGCCATATCTTTTTGACTGGAACAATAAAGAGGAAGGAGATTGAAAGCACCGATCCGGACTTGATCGTCTGACTCCGGACTGGCAAAAAGAGAAGTGTAGTGCACCTAGGGATGTGTAAAGTGCGAAAAGTAAGGACCTTACCGTAAACTAGCCCTAGATTTCTGGAAAGGTTATTTTTTACCTTACATGACGGTATTATGCGCTAGCTTAATATGGTTAGTGTATTTTTTGTATCAATAGCACGCTAGTCGTATATAGTTAGTAACAACGATTCTACCAAGGCCCCAAACTCCAAACCACCGTCATTTCTATCTACGATATCTTCACAAAACGACGTTTAATCTTAATATACAATACATTTCTATAATGCCCTGATCAAAGGCTACAAAGCAATATTTATATCACATGAAAAAGTCTATGTTCTACTCACTTCAAACTGTCGCGTCTTCTTGTCAACTGTCGAGCCGAAAGATGATGCACGTTGCCTTGGGCAACGAGCTGGAATATTTGATGCATTTTCTGCCGCCGCCCATAGCCGTACGAAACCTAACTTATTATTATTATTATTTACATGAGCAGATTGCTCTCGATGAGCTGTATAATTTGATATGGATAAGACAATATCTAGACTAGGTTTTCGTTGGTTACGGGTATGCCATTGCGTTGAGCATGAAAGTGCTCAACTTCTTGAATAAGTTTGTGGCCACTTTATTCATCAACTACAGAACTCAAAATAATTTCACCAAACATCGATCAATTCGTACTTTTTTTACATCAAATTATTCGTCTTGATAAGCTCTACTACTCCATCTATTCAAATGCCCCCTAAAGATCGTCTTGTCTGGAAATATTTCGAGGAGCGCCCTGAGCTTGGCATACCGAAGCAAAAGTATTGTACACTTTGCAATAGATACAGCTGTCAATCGAACACCACCAGAGAACGCACACATCTCGTTACTATTTGCAAGGAAAATATGGAGGCAAAGGAATCAGAGAACAGAGGAAAGGATGAGATACAGAGAAAGAGGCCTCTTTCTCCAAATGAAGATGCTTCGCCTATTGTCAAAATACCCAGGCAAACGACGCTGACAGCAAACGGTATTACCTACCGTACGCAGGGCGAGAGACTGCAGGAGAGAATCGAGGCTCTTCTAACGCGGTTCATCGTGATGTCTGGATCTCCATTTTCACTTGTTGAAAACAGCGATTTCCAGAGTTTTATCAAGATACTCGATCCTGCCTTCAAACTCCCTAATCGCGAACGCCTCAGTGGTGAGCTCCTCGCCGACCTATATCACAAAACATCGCTTCAAGTCCAACACGTTATCGACCATCGACGCGACCATTTCAGCCTCAATTTCTGTCTGGACGAGTCGAATAACCAACAGAACGATCGCGTCTTGAACTTCTCCGTTGTCCATCCCGACTTTGGATCGCTTACACTCCATACAAGACCTGTCGATGCGCAAGCCTCCTTGACTGGGGAATTCTATTACGAATACTTCCGCTCGGTGGTAAAACCGGTGGTGAAAGGAGATTACAAGCGGATCAACAGTATCTCGACGGATACCTGCAAGACAATGAGGAAGTTCTGGAAACTCTGTCAAAATGATGAAGAGCTATCGCATATCATCTGTGTACCTTGTCAATCTCACAGTTTAAACCTCCTCATTGGCGATATCATCAAGATGGACCATTTCCGCGATCATTTCACCACTTTCAAGAATCTCGTCCGCGACCTCTCGTCCTCAAACAAAACCATCGGTGAGATTAAAAAGATACAGCAAGAGAACGGACGGAAATATATCGCTTTTGCTTCAGCGGTAGAGACGCGATGGGGAAGTCATATCGCGATGCTGAAATCGCTGCAGGCGAACAGAGATCCTATACAAGAATTCTTTTTCTCGCGATTACCTCTGCTTACCGGTGATGCGATTAAGAAGCTGAAACCGTACCGCGATGAGATTCTGGCCCCTGGTCTGTGGAATGAGCTTGATCGGACTCTCCACGTCCTTGATCCTATCACCAAGGCTCTGAAAAAGACGGAATCATCTCGATTAGACATTGGGCGTGTCGTAAAGCTCTGGAACGACCTTAGGAAAGAGGTTGAGTCTGCAGGAATCCGGTTTGGTATGGATGCCTTCGCAGCGAAGCTCCTCGCGGTGTTTGATAAGCGATATCAAGACCAGCTGGATGTCTCATTTCACCACCTCGCGTTTTATATCCATCCAGAGTTTAGGAAAGAGCCTCTCCAAGCTGATTCGCTCGATCACATCAAAAGCACGATCCAGGATCTATTTTTTCCAGAGGAGGAAGATGTCCAGGCCTGCCTTGATGAGATTATGCTATTCAAGTCTTCATCGGGCATCTTTGCATCAAATAAGGACCTAGCGAAGCGAGTTGGTGATCCTGAGGGATACTGGAGGTTTGCGGAGGCTCTCCTTCATAGCAGTCGTATCGCTTCTATCGCTGCCCGCATCTTTTCAGCTCCAACGAGCTCAGTTCCATCTGAACGAGCGTTTTCTATTCAGAATCTCACGATGAGTGCGAAGCGCTCACGATTGGATCCAGAGAGATGTAATAAAATGATGTACATCTATATGAATAGGCGATCGATGGACGCGATGAAGCAGGAGCGAAAAGAACGCGGTGTATCGCAGATTGAGATGGAGGATCTCCTCCTCCAAATTGAGGAGGAAATCGGGCTGCGATATCACGCATTTGACGATGTCTAAATAGCTTCATAACTTCCTACTTCAGCGTGTTTTGAGTCTGAGATCTCCATCACTTATGGTTGTCTGTGAACATCATCAACCCGAGGTCGTATTACAAATTTGTATGGTAATGTGGGCCGGTAAAGTAAAAAATCTATAATACCGCCAAGACCCGTAATTACGGGCAATCTATCTTTCATACATCTTACATTACACACCCCTAAGTGCACCCAATGGGCAGCCCACAATCTTTGCTTCAAGGCAACGCTGATTTAGTAGCTACTTCTCCGACATTAATTGCAAGTTTCAAAAATATATAATACTCCAAAGTTCGGAAATGCAATTAAAAATTGACAATAACGACCCTACCGCGACTCGATCCGACCCCGACTCGATCGTGGGGCGTTTCACTAACAAAAAGAGAAGAGGCCCGCCCAATGGACGATCCGTTCAGCTGTTGAGCTACTTCTCTGAACACAAATCGAAATTTCAAGAACATATACTCCGTAACACCAGTCATTAAACTGGTTGCCTAGCCCATGTAACTTCATTCTTCCTTCAGTGGACTGTGGAATAAATCTACTGCGGAGACTAGGAAGGCGATAGATGGTATTGCCGCCGCATGCTTGACTCTTACTATGAATCATTCTATTTCTGGGTTTTGTTATGGAACAGGCCTGCGGCCTGTTCCCTTGGTTGTGGCTGAAGACGTGGCTGGTGGATTATATCAGAGAAGCAAACAAACATGGTAACACAGCATTAGGGCATTGGAGAGGAGAGTCGCTATCTCGCGCACAAAGGTGCCGGGAGATTCCTTATCTCTCTCTCTCTCTCTTCAGTTTAGATTAATGGAACTTGGTAATCGCAGACCTTGCGCATCCAGTCCGTGTCAGGTTTTGGTGGTTTTGGATTGCAAAAGTCGTTACTCAAATTTGGCAGTTTTTTTGCGAGTTGTACGCCAAGCAATGTAACAATATATGCAACCGCCTGATTAAATTCGTCTCATTCAGAGCGGTATCCCTTTTGTCTCAAGGAATTCTTCTGATAGACAGTTACATCAGCGAGTTCTATACCTATTGAAATAAATCCCAAACTTCGTCTTATATCAAGGATTAATCGTAAGAAATCAACAAGAGACTCGCATTACAAAACGCCATGCTGGATCATCCCAGAACACATAACTTCACAACCTCCCCTTTCCCCCTCCAACGCACCCCTCATCGATCCTGATACTACGGCGGATTCCCCCCTTGCACCCGCTGAAAGTCCCTCGGATTATACTGATACCCCCCAACCCTCCCCCCCATCGCCTCCATCTCCTTCGCCCGCGCCCCTCCGTCCCCCTCTTCCCTCGCCTCCCCCACTGCCGGCAATTCCGCCGCGTACCCCTTATGATCCCCAGGTAGCCCCGGCGACCGGAACCCGCTCGTGTCCGACGAATACGACGTCGGGCGCGAGCTGCCCTGGCTGTGTGGGTCCGCCCATTGCGGGTCGGGCGAGCCGTGGGAGTATTCGGAGAGCTGTGCGGAGTGGCGTGGGTGGCCGGGGGAGGGTTTCGGGGTGTCGAGGGAGGCAGGGGAGGGGTGCGGGTAGTCGCCGGGGAGTTCCATGGGTTGGATGACTGGGGGGACGGGTTTATAGTCGGGGTATTGGGCGTAATGCTGGTCTGGGGGGTGTTGGGAGAGGATGTTTTGCTGCGGGCGTTGGTACTGTAGACGCGGCGATTGCAAGGTCGCGGCGGCGATGACTGGCGACATTGGCCCGGCGGTATCGGATCGGTCGGCGGGATTGATGGTTTTCAGTTTCCCGTTCTCCATCATCGCGATCAGCGTGCCCGAGTCGATCAGCTCCGCCTTCTTCACCAGCCGGTCCACCAGCACCTTCGACGCCGCCTTCAGCTGCGCCTTGACGAACGACACCAGCGTGATGTTACACCGGATCTCGATGTCCTCCCGCAGATACAGCCCCTCCGCCGGCGCGCCGATGCCCATCTCGCGCGTCTGCGACGGCTCGCCCGGCTGGGTGCCTGCGATGCGCCAATTGTTGCGTAGGTCGACGCTCATGGGAGCAAGGATGTGGGTTTGCAGGCCCCACGGCATGTCGTGGAAGCACCCCTTGAAGGTGATCTGGCCAGAGCCCATCTTCCCGAGGCCGGGCACGAACTGCACGCGCTCGGCGATCTCGTACCAGGTGGCGTAGAACTCATCGGCTTCGGCATTGCGGGGGGGCTTGGTTGGCTGGTGGCCGGTGACGAGCGGGTTGAGGGTGATGATCTCGCTGTGGGAGTGGAGGATGTCGATGGCGAGTTGGCGGGGAATGTGGGAGGGGATCGGGGTGATGTTGGTGTAGACATCCTTCTTTCGTAGAACCATGGTCGCGGATCGGTTTCGTCGAAGGTGCTGTTGAAACTTGAACCCTGAGCCCCAGACTGTGGAGAAGTGATCCCTTGTTCAGCCTTATCGACTCGTCTGGTAGTTCCCGCAGCGTCGGTCCCGCCAAATGCTATCTCGATGTTTTCAACGCGAAGAAGATCCGTTCTGATTCCAGGGAAAATCGTCGTTCAGCGCAAAGTCAGCTACAAAAAGGCAAAAGATCAGAAACAGGGGATGGCTCAACATTGGATCAATAAGCAATAAGCATAAAATCTAGGTCGCTCCAAGTGCTGACACCACGTGATGTCATTATCAGCTCCAACTGCTAACAAATGTTGGACGGAGATATACGATCCGCGGTGGCATGCCAGTTTCTGCTTGCCTGGTGGAACTAAGGGAACTGCGCCGCCACAAGACGCAAGCACAAGACGCAAGCGCCTGGATCTGCCACCCGAATAACAACGAGCCTCTGATATGGTGATTGGCAGCATATATATGCTAACATCACGCTCGTTAATGCAGTACTGACTAGTACCTAGGGAACAGTGCCCTTCTGAGATACCCAACCGTCACCAGGCAGCAAACCCATGCAGTTTCATATATGAATAGTATATATAGAAGTATTCCACAGGCCAATCTATCATTCCAAATGCCGACCATGAACAGGGGCCAGGAAAGCAAAGGGGGTATCCCATGCCTCGTACATAACTATCCGAGCGAGTGACCTTCAGCTTGTTGATCCACCAAGCCAGATTTCATCCGCAACGTGCTCTCTCGTCCTCTAAAAACCATCTAACCTTAGAAATAAAATTCCATCGTATCTCATCCATGTAATATCCTCGTTCCTTCCCCGGTAATCGCCGCCTCGGGTCATACCTCATAAAACACCTAGATTCTCACCGTCCTTCAAATCATCCGATATCTGCAGTCATCGCTACCCACCGCCACCCCCCCACCGGAACCCCTCAAGCTGCATACACCGGCGCCTTAAACAGCACGCTCCTTCCCCTCACCTGCACCCCCAACCCCACCGCCATTCTCACCCTCTTCTCCTCCTTCCCCTCCGTCCCCAAACTCACCTGACTTCCCCCCTTCTTCTCTGCTGCCGGCGCCACCGGCGCCACCTTCTTACTCCCACTCGACATCAACCCCGCCAACATACTTCTCCTCCCCGCCTTCTCGTCCTTTCCTCCCACCGCCCCCGGGCCCGCGGCATCCTCCGCCGGCTCCTTCGCGTCGCTCGCCGCGCTGTGGAAGCTCGCGCGGTCGTCTTTCTCGCCGTCAGCGGCGGTCGACGCAAGCGGGTTGGTGAGCGTGGGGATGCCGGATTCGGATTTCATGGTGTCGGCGACGACGGGGGTGCCGGGGAGGTAGTAGTCGATGCACACCTCGCGCGACTCACAGGGGAGGTGCAGGAGGATGTTGACGGCGAGTTCAACGATCATGTAGACGCCACCGTTGAGCTCAGGAGGCGAGGGGTCTTGGAGGTATCGTTGGAAGTCCGCGACGAGGCGCTCGTTGAGGGAGTCGATGAGCTGGGCGCGGTGGGCGGCGGCGTTGGGGGAGCGGAGTTGGTCGACCAGGCCTTCGAGCGTGGTGAGGCGCCAGGAGATGATCTTGCTGGAGAGGTTCTCTTCCTCCTCGGCGGATTGGACCTGTCCGACATACCGCCGGATGTTCATCTGGATCTGCTTGAGCTGCGACGAGAGGGCGGGGTCGAGGTCCGGGTGGAAGAGCTTGTCGAACACTTCGTGGCTGATCCACGCGGAGATGTAGGCGCGGCCGACGGCGGTCATTTCTTGCTTGCCGGTGAGGACCGCGTCTTTGTTCACGGAGGAGGTGAGGAAGGAAGGGATCTCGCGCCAGTTTTTTCGGATGTTGAAGGCGAGTTGGGAGACTAGGCCGTCCAGTCGGGAGAAACGCGTCGCGTATTCGGAGTCGTCGAGAGACGTGCGAGAAAGCGACAGCCGTTGGCGGGCGAGGGTGTTTTGGAGGGAGTGGACCTGGGCTTCTTTCTCGAAGTAGTATTTCTTGACCTTTTGGTATTTGTCGCCTATCGGACGGTTAGCACTTCATCCACATACGGTGAGAAGTTTTCACTGCAAGGCGCAATGTCGCATGGGGAAGGAAAACTTACGCAGTTCTTTATGCTCCCTCACGAGCTGATTGAACTGCCCCTCCTCTTCCTCCGACTGACCCGTTGCGCTTCTCGGCGGCGGAGTATTGTTGCGACTCGGATCACCATCCTGCTGCAAAGTCTGCGGCTGTCCTGGTCGATACTGTTGACCCTGCGGGGGGCCACCAGGAGGAGGTGGATACCCTGGCGTCGGTGGCTGCATCTGTCCTTGGTTGAACTGCTGTTGTGCTTGTTGCGGCTGTTGCGGCTGTTGCGGCTGTTGCGGCTGTAGCCCAGGCATCTCCCGACTTTGCTGCAGGGCTCCTTTCGGTAGCTCGCCGGATCGTTGCAATTTTCCTCCCGAAGCGAGCGGCGCCATAGATGTCCCTTGCTGTTGCTGTTGCTGGTGCTGCTGCTGTTGTTGTTGTTGTTGTTGTTGCTGCTGCTGCTGCTGCTGTTGTCCCTGCAGAACGTGTTGGGGCGTTTGCTGGTTGATATCGATTGATGTCCGTTCCTGACTTTGGCCTTGCTCGCCCTGTGGGATATATGGCGAGTAATTCTGCACCAATGGAGACGGGGGGTTCAACTGCTGTTGAGACGACGGGCGACCGGTGTTCAGAAGCAAGTCTTGGTCGGACTGGTTCAGCGACTGCGGTTGCTGGACGATCCTAACGGATTGCGGTGGTTCCCCTTGCGGATGGCTTTGCTGCGACGAAGGGCGTCTTGGCTGCAAGAACTGTAGGTCAGGTTGTTGCTGCGTCTGTGCACGCGCTTGCGGCGGATATTGCTGGTCGCCTTGCTGCTGGTAGTACTGAACGCGAACGTTCGGGTCGGCACCAGGTGGAGGTGGGCCTTGAATGGCAAGGCCTTGCGGTGGTGGTTGGAACGCGTGGTAGACTCCCGGCTGTTGAGGGTTGCCTTGCTGGCCTTGGTAAGGCTGGTAGCCAGGCGGGGCGCCTTGGCGGTTCACGGCTTGATCTGGCTGGCCGAAGCGGTCGGGGCCAGCTCCGCTCTGCGAACTTTGATCGGTGCTGGTTCGCTGGAGTTGGGGGTTCGAGGGATACCCAGACTGTCCTTGCGGGTATGGTTGATTGGGGGATTCCTTCGACGGCACGACGGGAGGGGAGTCACGGACAAGGTAGGGGTCGTAATCGGACTCTTCGTCTACTTCGGTGGAAATGGGGAGGTGTTGGGAGGAAGCAAGGCGAGTGTCCCAATATTGACGGTTGGGGTCTTCTGCTGGCTGGATGCTATATCGGTTTGAAGGAGACCGTTTTTCGCGAAGAGAGACTGTTCGCGAAAGTCCCTTGTTCGGTGCGAGCTGAGACCCGTCTTGTGATTCTCTATGAGAATGACCGAATCCCAATCGACCTAGAAGTCGGTCTTTCTTCGACTCCGGTGCGTGCGAGGTGGGAAGCTTGGTTTGCGGGGTTGCGTATGAATATCGGCGGTCCGCGTTGTAATTTTGGTTCCCCTCCTTGGCAGGGACCGGAGAAGCAACGTCAACCGCTGGTGGGTCAATGGAATGGCTGGGCGCCGGTTTCAGGGTACCGGACCTCGATACCCCGATATGTTGATATCTTTCGTCGGTCGGCGGCTGTTGGAAATACTGGGGCGACCGTTGTTGCTGCCGCTGTGACTGCTGCGAAGGAGGCTGAGAAGAGTGAGGAGGGTCGTGACGCTCTGTGAATCAAATCGTAGTCGATGTCAGCCTGGAGATGCAGCACGGTGAAGTGGGAAGGGAAGCTCTCCGCTCCTCATTCAGGGTCAGGGAAATTCGAGAGGAGGCCCACCTGACGGGACGGATTGCTGCGATTGCTGCGATTGCTGCGATTGCTGCGATTGCTGCGAGTGCGCCGATGGATTCCCCACTGCCGGCTGCGAATGTTTCCTTGAACTGAAGATGGGCATCGCAATATGCGAGGCTGACGGGAATACGGAGGAAGCAGTGGAAGCGGGCGAAGTGGGTGAAGCGTTTGTGTGGAGAGGAGAGCCGCGCAAAGGGGTTCCTGGAATCTGACTGGAAGTTCCAATAAGGAGACAGGAGGGCAGGGTGGGGCTGAAAGGACAAGCTGTTCCTCACAAGTGACAAGTCACAGCAGCTGCTTGGAAGTCTGTCACCGTCCCAGGCTGCTTTTTTCCTCGCTCTGTTGGTACTCGCTGCAGTAGCTGTAATATGGAGGATGCACGCTTAGACGAATGGGCGTCGCTGGATGGCTAAGAATAAAGTCGTCAAGCGGAAACCCGGCGCCCGAGCGCGACCGCGACACTGCAAGAAAAGGTATCGACGCGGACGCGCAACACCTGTCTCCCAGCAAACACGTACGAGCAGAAGGTGCCAGGCGGATGTTTGAGGAGAAATCGAAGAAAAGGCTAGCAGATGTTTAAGGATACGGTTTAGGATACGGGCAGGTCTTGTTCTATCGATTTCGCAGGAACGCCAGCACCTACGCCTCACAACCCGTCTTGCCGTCTTGCAGCTGGTGCACTAGAATTAGGTAGATGAATGACAGACCTTCCCCGGGTCCAGGAGTGAAGACTGAAAAGGCAGCAGGAACCTCTGCCGCCACTCCACTGTAAAGCAGAAAGCTGAGAAACAGCTTGCGTTTAAGGAGGTCTGCCCGCATCAGCAGCACATGGATACGGGACGGTGTAGGAACCGACTGCCACCAGCAGCTAGCCTATCCAATGGTCTGGTCGGGGTTCGGTGCGAGGACGGAGATGTCGGACTATCAGTGCCATGGGAGCCGATGGGAGTTGGGATGAAGCCAGCAGCTCCAGCTCAGGAGTGAGGTTATGCTCCTTAGTACACTAAGTACAGGGCAATCAAGGGGGCACGGCGGGTTACGGACAGAAATCAAGACGGGTTCAGTTAGACCCGTGAGAATCATAATGTTTTGTGACCACCTACCGCATATTCAAGCTGCCAGATATGAGATAGCCGAATGCCTAACCAAAAGAAACCAGCTGGGTGGTTCATGGAGGAGGCTGTGCAAGTAGGCATGCATACTATTCGACTCCACACTGTCCACAGGCATGAGAATTGATACCTACCCGCGCCAACATCTCCGGTCTGCCCGATCCTTTTTTCTGTTACATGGACCATTTTCAGCTTTGGACTATTTCGTCTTGCAGATTCGGTAGTTTACAATTTACCTTCACCATCATGTCATTGACAACCCAATGTGGCTCACGATAAACTCCAATCCGAGGAAATGTTGAGGACCTGAAGCCAGCCACCAGGCGGGGTCCAATGACATGTAATGCTATTTTTAGGATCTCGCGTTCCCTTATCCTCATCGATCCTGAGTCCTGTCAGGCGAGTGTCAGCACTTAAACCTCAATTCTGCAAATGTTGGTTCGTTGTTCTGGTTCCAATATTAATGCCTAGGGAATGTGGATAATATGGCGGGAAGGGGGATTGCGTGACCGCTTTCTCAATATTGCTCTACCACTCCATGTCAGATCAATGCAACTGTCTCAAGTCTCCAACCCAACCTGAACCACGAGGGACTATTCTCAGTTCCATGGGAATCAAGACCAGTTGGCGAATTGAGGCTCTGCAATGCAAACAAGCTGCCATAGTCTCACCCCTGTTAAGTGCACAACAGATGTCTGGTTGGCATTAGGGCTCAGTGTCTTATTGCCTGAGGCAAGTATCCCTCCAACCCTCCTACCGTTCTAGGTAAAATATGAACGGGTACGCTCGGAGTCGAACCCGCGACCACCAGGTAAGCCCCTGAATGCCTTTTATAACTCCTTTCCATGCCTAAGCACCACAGTGCAAAAGAGAAAAAGGTAGGCATAGCGATTCCCAGTAGAAGTGTACAACTATAAGCCCGAGGCCCTAGGTAACCCCCTAGGGTTTTTTCAACATACTCCCGATACTTTCGTCCTGTGGGGAGTGAATCGAGCGGTTATAACCACCACGGCTTAGCCAGATTATTTCCGCTGAAAGGATTTGTTTAAACTGGGTATATAAATTCCATCGGCAATTCACCCCCAACCAATATATCCCCCCCTGTTGACCTCCCAACTCAATGAAAGGGGTTAATACAGCAAGTTTCCATCTCTGGAGAGTCAAAGCCAGGCGAAGAAAGTTAATGGTTGGAAGCATCTTGGAGCCCAGGGGTGACTATGGTCAGCGTTAGGGTCATCACTTCGCCCAACTGGGCGGAACATCCGGAATAAAACCAACTGCTGGCCTGGAAGCGTATTCCCAGGCTCGAAAACTGTTAATCATTACTTTCCTTTCGCATTGCTTGGCCCTTCGAATACAAATCTCAGCCCCTACTCCATTGAATTAGGTGAGCCGAAAATTACGACTCGTCGGCAAGGTAGGCAGAACGTGTCAACGCGGCAGAGGGGTATCACGCAACGCAATTTTACGGGGCGGCAGCTTTGATGGACATAAAAATAGTGGATGTTATCATGTTTGCATCCTTGATGCCCCGATAAGTCCTGTCGCCAGGTCCTTTCCACTCACTTCATCCCATAATTCCACTATCACGTCCCACAGCCTCGATTCAACCACAGGGGAGAGCCTGCGGTAGACGAGGTGATCGACCTCATACGTCGGATATAACGGCGGAGTCGTAAAGCTAGCTTTGCCGTCGCAATCCATCCTAAGTTTGTCCATGATGCAGTAAACGTCCTCGTCATGCGGAACCACTCTCCGAATCGAGGGGCCAGAAACCCCAAGTTCGTTGGCCGTTTTAATCGCTTTCACGGCATCTTCTGCTGAGAGAAGAGGTATAACGGTTAGGTATGAGGTTCATCGATAGTTGGTACACGCGGGCGAATTGATTGACTGAGGGAGAGGCAAAAATGTACCATATCAGCTCATTGTCTTTGATATTGCTGGAGGCTGTCTTCCTCGAAACCAGTTTTGTTGGCCTCGGGCAAGACCTGGTGGGATTCAATAGTGCTGTTCTCTGAGACGCTGGTCATAATGTGAGATGACTAAGAAATTTACTGCTTGTTGGACGGACAAGAAGGCCTTGATAAATGAGTCGGAGAATTATGAAATGTGAGACTAGTATGAACGTTTGGTACGGGTGGATGACTGATTCCCACATATCATATCTGCCTAAAACTGCTAATGGAATGGCCATGCTGAAATGCCCGAAAATTTCGTCTTGGTCACATTTTTTAGTGAATTGACACGGAGTAGAAAGAATTCACACGGGGATGAAGATGGTGGCCAGTGAGTCGACCTTCAATTTCCCAATATGCCACCGATCACCAAGCTCCCTGGAGCCTCAACTCGCTCCTTGCCTCCATCACTCTAGCGACAGCTCACAGCTACACTACTACAATACCGTAGGTAGCCTGTGGGAGTGAAAGAACCAACATAATTCCCGATCCACCATATCTCCGCATAGGCATCCAAGGTTCCAGATTCCGCGATGCCAGGTCCGTACCGAAAGCACTTCATCCCCCTTGAATCCGACCCGGAAGTGTTCACCCGTCTCCTGCATAAGCTGGGCATCTCACCGGACCTCCGATTCCAGGAAATCTATGCGATCGACGAACCTGATCAGCTACCACACCCAGCCTTAGCGCTTGTCTTCATTTTCCCTGCGCCAGCGGCCTACGAGGTTCAAAAAGCAAAGGAGGATTCTGGATCGAGCGAATATGCCGGAGGTGATGACCAGGATGTAATGTGGTTCAAGCAAACAATCCATAACGCGTGTGGATTCTACGCTCTGCTCCATTCCGTCTGCAACGGACCTGCTAAGGCATATATCCGTAAGTTATGGTGGGGATTTGAAAATCCACATAACTAAACCAAACCCAGAGCCAGGAACCCTTTTAGGAAGGCTCATGGATACTTGCCGATCGTTGGGGACGGAAGACCGCATCCGTGTGCTGGAAGATTCTAAAGAGCTTGAGACTATCTATGCAGAGGCTGCTAGAGAAGGGGGCACTCCAGTGCCGGGTGCTGAAGAAGAGGTGGACTCCCATTACATCTGCTTTGTCAAGTCCACCGGAAATTCTCATCTATATGAGCTCGATGGGGACCGAAAGGGTCCAGTCGACAAAGGCTTCGTGGAAGCGGATGATGTGTTGGCCGAAGAAAGCCTAAATGTTGTCAAACAGTATATGCAGGATGCTGGTCTTGGTCACGGTCTCATGGCCCTGGTAAGCGACAGCGCAAGGTGATTAGCAGAAGAGATTCTCGTGAGTCATCTGTCGTCCGGTAGGTGCGGCCTGAAATGAGCATAGTTGCAAAGGATACAAATGATATTCCCCATGCCTTCAACGCCACCCAGACTGTTCGCCGCCTGTTCTGAAAGTTTGAGGACAAGTTCCGGAATCCGCGTCCAGCACCAAGGATATTTAAGCCAAAGCAGAGGATGGCATGAGTGGCATCAGAATCAAACTAAGGCTACCTCCGCGGGCCTGACGTTTGTGGGAATATAAGTACTTTGATGGACCCACTGGTTTGCTGCTCTTCTTCGCTCCTCATTCATCTATCATCCAGACTCTATCCCCTTCGTGGCCCGACAGGCTCCAAATATTTGGGCACCGCAATCCCTATTGGCCATGAAGGGGATATATACATGATTCTATACACACAAGATTCTACACACCCTCATACAAAAATTCTATATACACCACACCTCGACCACTAACCGGCTGCGGAAGCACCTTCGTCGTACGTTCACCAACGGGATCTGCCAACGTTGTGGGACGAAGTAGACAGCGCTTAGAACGAGAGGTGAATATATATTATCTTTTCCAATAGCCAAATGAGTGCTAATCCAGTCGAGTCCCATCATTTTCGTCCACTCGAAATGGGTCAACCCCTCATTTTGGTATATCGTCAGCTTGGGATGCCAACCATTGCTCCTGGCGCTAGAATGAGGAGGCAGACACCCGCGACGAACCGAACTTTTCGATCTGGATTTATATAATGACTATTACCTGCCCGCATAGATGAGTGTATGAATCCTTCAATTCACTCAAGAGATCCCCCGGTGGTTTGCAGAATCACATCATTCACACATCATTCACTGAATCACTGACAGGATATATTGCCTTCCTTCTACCGTTGCTGGCGCTACTGGGTCGCCTCATATGGCGGCCAGAAGGCGGAAAGAGAGATGCGTTATCCGGACCAGAAGGCATTCTCGAATACCCAGCTCCAAAGCATGGGAGTGGCGAAAGACGACCACTCTATCCCTAAGCTTAAGGTGGTGGACCAAAAATCTTATTACATGCATCGGATGTCGTATTTGCTAACAACGGAACACTCCCGGCGGATAAGCGGGAGGTGAATCATCTGTGCGGCAACAAACGCAATCGAGTTTTTCCACGAACCAAAAAATCTACAGACCTGATAGAATCGGATGAGTCAGGGGGCGGAGATTGGTGTGGTGGCCGAAGAAAGGATATATATCGTCAAACGGTATGTGTAGAGGTCTTATTCATGGCCCCATGGCACTGAAAGGAACCCTCGAGGCTCGGCTTGATATTGTGGAGGCGATAGAACGTGTAGAGTAAGGAGTGTAGGCGGTTTGTGAGCAGGTTGACCACCGCCTGCACTGCCTGCTCTACCAGTGCTGACGCCTCCACCATATCAAGTCGAGCCTTGAGAATTTGACCAAGAATTTGGTCGATCAAAACGGCGGGTAGGGATGGAGCGAGGGTACGATCACCATCTAACTTGGTTGTCTATTTCCATCATACCTCCGCTGTGGTGGTTCGAACCCTAGCTGGATTCCGCGGAGCCCTTTTGATCGACCAAATCATCAGCCAAATCCTCGAGGTTCGACTAGCTCAGCTTCCTAGTACAAAACAATCGCACATCTAAGAAGCCGATAACTAGACCGGATTTCAGGGTCGAATGTATCCCAGGGACCACTGTTCGAAAGCTTCAGCTCGGATTGGTAGACACCTAACGTAACCTAGAGTACATTAGTGTTGCATCGGCTGTTTCTTTTGGAGTCAGTTACATGTCACTTGGATCGCAGATATCCACTTTACCTAGCTACTCCCCGATGTAGATAGAGACACCAAGGGGGCTGGTTAAGGAATCTCCCATAATTCCTACGAGTCCATGGAATGGGATACTATCTATCCATCCTCACCCAGGTGTTTGTGTCCAAGCCTGGTAGAATGAGGCACAGGGTATTTCATCTGAAGGGCATCTTGGTCATTGATGTGATACATCGAACAGCGGCCCCAGACACTGAGGGATATTCGCCAACCTTGCAGCTATACGTCCGCGTATTGTATCAGGACATATCGGCAACCAATTAAGTTCATTAGTGCGACTGCGGTCGGTGCTAGAAAGCGTTAGCACAGAATTTTTTTTCTAGGAGCTGGTTCGTCAATGTCTATCGGCACTGAACTGACTGTTTCAACATTCAAGATATCGTGTTTCCCTTGCACAATCATGACGATCAGATTTTGGGCTCAAAGATTACCTCAACGCAGAACATCGTAGGTGTTTGGTTCAGAAGTGTGCGACCACATATCCGGGGCATGATAGTTTTATCGATTATATAAAGAGAGTCGTTGGGATCTTGTAAAGGACTCCGAAGTCGAGGTGCACATTCGATGAGAGGTGAGATTTTCGCATTATTAGACATGTACTAGTAACTGAAGGGGCCGAGGCCGAGGTGGTAATATATTTACCGTGTCTGAATTCTGAATACGATACTATATGTTGGAGTATCGCGTGACTTCCAGGAGACTCCATGATTTCGCCGCTCATTCATTTCATATGCAGTCGCGCCCCTTGTCGACGTCTTCGGATCTTCAATCTTTTGCCTTAGCAAAATGATAGTTCTCACCTTTAGCGGCTCTGTTCGGATCATCCTACTTGGAGGCTCCTGTCTGCCTCAGCGTTAGCAGACGTGTTGTGGTGGCGACCATGGCACTTAGGAGATCTTGAAGCTCACTACTTACCCGAGCCGAGCATGCTTGTTTTGCTCACAGCTCCCAGTTCTTCGTCGCGTTAGGAAACTTCAGGGATCAATCCTTTGTTGGACATCCATGTCGCATGCGTTCAACCATAGAATATTAGTGCTGAAATGCTCACGAGGCAACAATCAATTCCGTACTCTTCCAGTCAGGTGGACACGGCCTGCACATTTGCTTAGTACACGGTTTCGATTAAACCGGCTTAGGCGATCCATGGAAATGTTATAATCGGTCATGCTAGAAGCCTAGGAATCGGTAATATCCACGAATAATACGAAGAGTCTTGCTTCACGCAAAATCCTCAATTCACTTCGTGGCGACTTGTAATACGAGTGAATTACAAGGGGTTGGCTACCCCTGTTCCAACCGACGAACCGGACCCCCTATTTCTATGCTCAGCCTTACCTCTTGATTTTCGATCCGCCTTCGCTCTCCTCAAAGGACCTTAGTTATCGCCTGTCCAATCAACTGCTGACATGCAATCAGTCGATCGCCCCCATCGCCAGCAGAACGCTTCAAATCTCAATGCAGGAACCCGTTATCCAATGGCCGCTTGATCTCGACGGCGAGGACCGTGTTAGTGCAGGTATCACAGCGGTTGTTGCGCGACTTGATGCCGTCGTCAAATTCTAAGACCCGTCAGAATCAAACCTTTGAAAGGAGGAGCTCGTGTATCATCACCTTGGTCGCGGTCACAGCGACATTGTTCGGTATTTTGGTGCCTTGGAAAATGCCATCATCTTGCAGTTTGCGGAGCCAGACGTCAATCAGATTATAACTGGCAAGGCAAACAAATCCAGTGGCGCGTTCTCTCAAGCTTCGTTGGTTTGAACAACTCACCGATGCCATGTTTCATCCACTCGAGAAAGGTGTTCCATGGGGAGATATCCTGCAACAGCATTTTCTTCGACGACAGCTTTGACGTGAAACTCGGTGATTTCGCCGGATCAACCATTGATGACCTTTCTCTACTCATCTGCTACGAGACCAGCTATGAACTTCCCGGCGAAGATATCGCGATAAGAACGAAACTCTTTGCCCTCGGCTCCACGATCTATGATGGTTAGTTATTCTGGCGGCTGCCATCCAAGAGTCGCATAAAACGTATCTCGAATCGTTCTCAGCCCACGATTCTTGTTCCCCTTTCTATTCACTGCTATTTCCCTCCTTCCAATTGTAGGTTGGGTAAGGCGCTGGAAGTTCCTTCGATGATATTTAAGCACTGTACTATGTAGTACTGACCTCGTTAACTTCCTGCCTGCAACTCCTTAAAGCTCCTCGACTATTACCCGTTGGTTGTTCTAAGTACCGGAACCTTACTCGAATGGGTGAAAGTAACGTGGCGATAGAATGATGAGCCTTTTTCACTGTTCTTGCTCCACTTGGTCAACGTTGGCCCGTAATTATGCCTTCTCAGGTTCAGGTTATGTACCGTCTGTGCTTGGCAGCTCATAGGGATAGAGCTACCGGATACATACCCAAGCCTTCCAGCATGGTACCAGTCCGAGGAGTCAACCTTCAGTTCCAAATTCCAACCTCCAGCTGCCCATTTTCAGGGAATCAAGGATTATTGGTTCCTTGTGCCTTGTGGGGACTGGATCGTCCAAAAATAGAGCCCCATCATGCTCCCCGCAGCAAGACTGGAAAGTGGAAAGTGTAATTTGTTATACCGAATACCGGCCACCAGGACTTTATTTTAGAATTTAGACAAGTGCTGTAATGTCTTGCACCGGGAATCCTGGATAGCTGATGGATATTGTACCTTACTTCCCTACCCGAAGGAATCGTCGATATTCATATCCCGTATTTGCCACTTTCGCCTGTCTGCTCATGCTTCTATGCTATGGTGAGCTGGTAACAGGCCACAGCAGCTTCGGTCCGACCAACTTCCCTTGCCGACAAGACCACCTCAAAGTTTTATCGAATCCTGTATTTATAGAGCCTCGTGGTGGGTTTACCAGGTATATACGAGCAACTCCAGCCGATCATTTCCGTACTAAGTATCATGGACGACGATCTTCCACGATCCCGCTCAAATAAGATCGTGTTCCTCACGATGTTACATTTTGCATTCCGAACATTGATACTTCACCGATCCTAGCGTCCTTCTGATCCGACATCCAGGCTTTCGGCCGTCTCTTTCCAATTCCAATCAGGTTATGGAAACTCCATCGTGCCTGTAGAGTGGACGGATCCTGAAACTCCTTCTATCTCCGCTCCGATTTCCGATCTTCGACCCTGTGAACTTCCCTGTGAACGGGTCGGCGAGGGATCTTTCGTTGCTTACCACTTAACTGTCACCAATACATGGGAGCTCGAGTGCATCCGAAATTCCCAATCGAGCATCACGATACATTGGATGGAACGAAAATAACCTCATCCTAGTCACACGCGAACAAACGTTCCGGTTGTCCATGGGGAAGGGCGCTCCACTGCTATTTTTACTGATCCTCTGGCGACATAAATGCCCTCAAGCGTCCGCTTTGCAATTTGGACAGCAGCAAAACACTCAAATTTGTCCATTTCAATCAAAGAGTCTACATTCTAATAGCGCCTCGCTGCTCCTTCGTCAATTCCTCCACTTTCTCTCCTATTTTTATTAAACGTCCATCCAATTCCTTCTCCTACCAAGTCACCAAAATGCAATTCCTCACCCCCCTCACCCTCCTCTTCCTCACCCCCCTTCTCCTCGCTTCCCCCACCCCCCGCTCCCCTATCTCCGCCTACGAAGTCACCAACATGGGCCTCTTCCACGGCTCCGGGCGTCCCGGCAACGTGAACAACTACGTCGTGAACATCCGGATGCACGACCTCGACCCGGCCGCGAGCGACGTCTACACGAATTGCACGGCGACGTGGCCGATGGCTGAGCCAAACACGTGGCCTCACGAATATGTGGACTGCGCGGACGACGACGGGAATGCGAGCTTCCAGTGGAAGTTTGGGAGGTTTTCGAGCCTGTCAGACTTCTTGTTCGAGGCGAAGCATACGTATGAGGATCCGAGGTGAGTTGCGAATTGAATTCTTTTGCTGGTGCATGTCTATTTGTACCGTTCGGCGAGGGCAGTGGCTAATGAACTTGTTTCTGACAGTGTCGGATATCCGAATATCGTTACGACCTGGGCGCACGCGAATGTGACTGCCGGGCCAAACGCTGACCTCACATGTGTCGGTGGTGCATCAGGAGTCTTTTCGTGCGGATTGCGGGACAGGATCCCTCTTCGTGTTGATGTCTATCAGGCGATTGCGTGAAGCGGGAAGCGTTGATCGGAATTCTGAAAAGTGCATGTACAGCGATCCGCTAGACAGATAGTTCAATGTATGAATCAAATCTGATAATATATGTTCGTACAGTGGTGCATCTACCAATGGAGTCGTCCGGAAATCCATTCGCCGGCATTGGCTTTTATATTCACGTGAATTACACTTCGAGAGTATGTGGCCAGGCATTTACGACTGGTGGATACCATGCACTGCATATGAATCCCTCTTCCAAGCCAAAACTGCATTGCCCGTATTCCCTCATAACGCCATAGTGTCTTTCCTTCGAGGCATGTATACCCAGCCGTTATCAGTACCAAGCACATCCATCTCCAACCCACCCAACCCTGATGGCACCCTCATAGCTTACTCCCCACCAAACTCATATACACGCCCCACGCCAACCCCACCGCGCTCAAAAACACAATCCGCTTCTCCACTGGCACGCAACTGAAGCTAATGATGCTCGCAATCGGCCACACGCGATATCCCGCCACGATAATCGGCACCGTCTCGCTCCACGCCATCCCGTAGATCTTCTCCGTCGTATATCCCTTCATGATCCCCATGAGCACCAGGAACAACACCGTATTGACGACCGCCCCCAGCGTGATGCAGTCGATAAACCACTTCGTCATCGTATTCCGCAGGTTCAGCTTCCGTTCCCCTGCGTCGACAGAGCTCGGAGAGGTACGCCGGTGCGGGGAGTGCGGTCGCTTGTCGCCCAGTTCGAGGTCTTTCTCTTTCTCGCGGTTGATAGCCGGGGAGTGGTTTCGGCCACCGACGCCGGGTTTCTCAGATTCGGTGCCGCTGGATCGGCGAGAGAAGAGGGAGGAGAAGGGCCGGGAGGGGGCGTAGGCGGGGAAGGTGCGTTCGAGCCATTGTTGCCAGAGGTAGTTGGGGGGCGCACAGACGATTTGGAGGGCGGAGAATCGGAGGAGCTCGATGGGGGAGAAGCCGTTGGGTTTCTGATCGAGTGGGGTGGTTAGCGGTGGGGGTGCATTGGGTCTTGAGGATGGGAAGGGGAGCCATACGTCACCCTGGTATAGCTGGATGGACTGTGCTAAGGCATTGGAGAGAGATGCAAGTGTGGTCGCTTGGATGGTCGCGGTGACGATGGGAGAAGGCATAATACGGTTGTCCGCATCAATGGTGGGAGAGGGGTTCGTTTCAATGATCAGACGAGCGTCTCCTTGGGTTCAATCAGGGGGCGATGCGCGGATATCAAGGAGGATACGGGGGAGCATCGATACCACATCAATGAGACTGGAGTCTTAGTGAATACGTGCAGTGCTCCTTCCAAGTGTTCTTCTCTCTGTAGAGCGTAACACGAAACTTCAAATTGATTGCGGGCCCAGCCAGGGTTCCCCAAGCCTTCGCGTTCCTTCAGCTCTTCCAGATCATTTCCTCTTTGGAAGGGTCGAAGTGTTTCAGGAGGAAGCACGTGTGCACGTGACCAGATTTGCCCTTTTCTTGGAGAGCAATCTCGATGTTCGGTAACCTCCAAGCAGGCTCGAGCCGAATGTCAAAGTCACTGAGTCGTCAATTTAGTCTACTCCAGATGGATTGGAATAGCGAGTACATAATTACATGATAAGAGCTAAAGGACGTAACATGGCAGAAAGATCAGACGAATGCGAATCTTGTAACCGCCATCAGTTGATTCAATGTTCTGTCAATGAATTTCAACTTTCAACTCTTACACTCACGCCTCCCCCACTCACACACATCATCATCAAAATCCGCGGCCCACCCCCATCAACAGCATCACAGATGACAACAAGAAAATGGATTCCAATAATCCATACCATTCGAGTTCCCAGAGTCCAGGAGACTGCGGACATCCGTCCGTGCCTCAGTTCAAGATACCCACCGTGAGCGGCATGGGTAAGTATATGGATACCGATCAGTCTACTGATTAAAGGTCCCAGAAACTAAAGCTGCAGACAATGCAGAGTCAAGGTTACTCCGAGTCCCAAGAGGACACCGGCCTTCGGCATTTCTACTGGCACCCTGATTTCCCAGAGGTAAACAAACAGAATCAGGTAAAACCACGAATCATAACTCAATGTATTCGAGGTTCAAACTGGCACAGACCTTAGGAGATGACTTAGAGGATGCTTATTCGCCTCTGATGCGGAAGAGATGACTATATAGCTTGGCATGAGTGTACAAACCGTTGTACACATTGCGGTCTTACTTCATTTGAGCCCGGCGGACATCGTGGTTTTTCTAAATGTTGTATCGAGAGGCCGCAAAGCTATGGGATAGATTCAATCCGATAGGTGTAGCGCTCCCGGCGGACTGTTGGGATAGAATGTCCTTTGAGGCTCGGGAGGTAGTCGAATTTTCATGGCATCTTCATTAGGTTCACCTAACTATCTAAACATTCCCCGCTTTCTCCAAGCAGCCAGGTGTATATTCTTCAAGATTGTGGTAATAAGGATGTCCAAGGCAAGGCGGCCACAGTTGCTGATGCGGCCACGTACAAGCGTGACTGAGAGCTGCAAAAGTATAAAGCTATCACCAGTTTTACAGAGAAAGAATGCGCCGCCATGCGGCTGGAACTTAGACAGATGCAGACAAAGCTTCTCGCAAGTTGGAAAGAAGTTGATGACTCCTTGAACCCTCAGTGTAATAGAGGTTTGGAGAGAAAGAAAGACTACTCCTTAAACACTCAGCTGACATAGAACTACAAATACAACGGATTAGAGTACTCCGTTATACAGACTTGCAAGCTTCACGAAGACAAATCCGCTTTCCATTGCAATCCAAGCTTTTGAAGGATCCTTTTCCGCCTAGAGAACTTTTCCCCTCGGATGCTGGTTAGACCGCTCTTCATAGGAAGGATTTCTCAGATTAATTCACGACTTCGCACGTGTAATTTCAAGCGCACGTTGAAAAGCTAGTAGCTGCTGGACCATCGTTTCGTGGCCTCGAGTCGCAGCTGCTCGCAATGCCGTGCCGAAGTGGCCTGACTGCGTCCTTGATCAAATGTTGACAACCACAAAGCGACAAGACATAATTACTATAAAGAAGTCCCGCCTCCATGCTATTTTCTAGCCACGGATACTCCGCACCACCGCCAGTGGTATGGAAAAATATTTTCCACCACATAAACCAATTGTGTTGCTTTCGAAGCCACTGTACAATAGCCTCTCGCATGACACCTTCGGATAGTGCCTTCTCTGCATGGTCGAGTACATATATGGCTCACTGCATACCCTAGAAAAGAATAATCAATATCCATCTCCTCCATTTTCTTCTCGCTCGTCGGTGCCATAATACTAACCTGCTCGATAGCTGACCGGCAAGAGGCGCACAGCTGGCCATGGCTGCAACTGATAGGCTCTGGGACCAGCGTTGGGTCCAGCTTCTGTAGCCTTTGATTTCGTAGTAGGAAGTCATTGGCCGACAGATGGATGAATTGCACAGACGCCTTATTACCTTTTCGAACCTCGAGCAGGCCTCGGGACGAGGAGGTGATGCGTCGTCGGATAGTGTTGTTATTGAATTTGGATCGATTCCATCGCCCTCTGCTGTCGTTCACCACAGCTTAAAAGAGCTCTTCAGGCTTCAGCAGCCGCTGAGAGAACAGCACCCATTGAAGCATGGGAATTGTCTCTGCCTTGTCTTCGCCGTCTCTTCTCAAGAGGTTGTTGAACTCCTCCTCGAGATCGTTCGGTACCTCCTCTAATGTCTTACGCATGGCCTCAATACGACCCTCATCATAGGCTTTGTTAAGCAGCGAAACCACAATGACAACCCACATGATAATCCCGTTTGCTCTTCTTAGAATCTCATCCTCGATATCGTTCATATCGTCCAAATCTTCCATATCATTGTCCTTTTTGCTCAATCTCTCCTTGACATATCTTGTTATGTCTTTTTGATGATATTCACTCTTCTCTACCGTCAAACTCAAGATTTTTCTTCATTCTAACACTCGGATAGTGACGACTCGAGAGACAAATTCTCAGATTCGCACCAAACGTAATAGCGTAGATGCTCAGCGACTCGAGAAAACCAACTACGTCACGCACATCTGCCTCGTTGCACTCGTCTAGCGCGTCAACGAGAAGCACGAAAGGCTCCGCTTTCTGCTGCTCGATTACTAAGACTATGAACTCCTTCAACTCTGATTGTCGCCACTCCAAAACTCTTTCTTGGTGAATTCTGGAGGGTCAAAGGGAGGAAGGCGGTTTCGCTAGTGACAGTAACCCGTCCATTCTCCTCTCCTTTCTTTTCCAGTTGACAGGGTGTGTGATATCGTGTTACAGTCCAGTGGATGTGGTTGTTCATGTCTTTCAAAGTCGGGACCGAGATAAAACCATTAATTACGGAAGCCGTGGTGTAACGAAGCCTGCATTGGTGTGAGCCGCAATCGCCAGTCTGTCATAGTTCCGGTCGACCTACTTTAGGGGTGAAAGCACTGTTCATCGACCATCTGGATACATGAGTATGATCATGGAGAGGCCGCTCCATTTTTAGCAATTGGACCAAAGCCGCTCATCGGAACCAATATACCTTATGAGCAGAGTTGGCTCCAGCGCCAGGAGGAGCCCAAATCAGAGAGCAGACAGGCAAAACTTTGTGAAAAGGCCGAATAGGACTAGGGATGGAAGCTATGCGATATAAGAGGTGCAAAAGAACTTTCTATATGTGAACCGCCGTCCCGAGACCCAACACCTCGCCTCCCGGGTTCCTGACCGAGACTGAGTCGTCTCCAGACACCATGCTAACGATACTCTGATGCAGATGTACATAGCCTACATTCGGCGACTATATATCAAGAGATCTACAGAGAAACGATGACCACTGGTCAGATCGACCAGTCGTATAGCGACAGATCTCAGATTAAGAGGATGAATAACCTGAGGAGCTCACTAGACGTCATCTGGTGCTATATTGAACGACGAGCAAGGTGATGTGAATGACCCGGTGGATTAATTGCTAGATGAATGGGAGGAGTTTGTCCACCATTCACAGAGGAAGGATGCTGGAAGTGGTCTCGGACGATAGCTTCCCGAGCTCCACTGCTACATATATGTTCAAGGAGGATATCGTGAGGTGCTGCATGTACACCCAAGAGCTGATCTTCAAGGGGAAGTGGGATGTATGGGGGGCTCCTAGACGTACACCACTTCTCCATGATATCCACCAATTCTCTTCCTAGGAAACGACTCACATCACAAAGAGGGGTGCGGAGAAGAATTAGAGTAAAGAAAGAGACATTTAATTGGGCCATGTATGAGTAGCGAAGGCTCCTAGCGGATGCTAAAACACGAACTGTGGTTATTCGAGACATGTATGAATACAGTCGCCCTCCCATACAGCAGTCTATGCCACCCATTTACTCGTCTATCTAAGAGTGATAGTGTATGCATCATGCAAGTAATGCAGTATCCCATCCAATGCCTAGCTTGCCGCAGACAATGCCACGACTCCAAGCGATGCCACGCAAATAACGAACGCCTTCCAGAATGCAATCATAATTCATTCGCCCCCCTCGCTGATCCCCCGCACCCATCCTGCACATCCCATCAGCCCACCGACGCCAACTGACTCCTCTTCAACGCCAACGCCAACTCTTCCACACAAAACGGCGCCTCCCGCTGCGGCGTCCGCAAGATCCTCCGTGCCTCCATTTCCTCCTCCTGCGTCAACGTCGTCGGTGTACTTCGGCTATCAAGACTGTCTTCCGCCACCAACGACGGCGTCTTGATCCCGTCGCTCCGCCCCCCTTCCATCCCATCAATCACGCTATCTCCCGGAGTCTCCCGCGGCTTCCCTTCACACCGCGTCAGGCTCGGGAGCTGTTGTTGCGGGTCACCGTCCACTGCCGTAACCGCCACCGCCCCTTCCCGCGCCTCGACATCCAGCTCCTCGCACACCGGCTCATCGACCACGATCTCCGCCAGCGGCCGCGCTTTCTGGAAGCTCTTCCGCGGGATCCCGACCAGCACCGGCGTGTCCTCCTGCCGACTGCCCCGCCGACTGCTCGCGCAACTGTGCCCCGGCGAATATTCACTTAGCACGCTCCTCCTCCGCCAGCTGGTGGCCCAATCGTAGTTCTCGAGCTGCTCGCGGTGGGCCTTGGCGACGGGGCGGCGGTATTTGGGGAGGGGGAGGGATTCATCGGGGCGGTAGAGGACGTGGTTGGGGTCCGGATCGTTGGGGTTGGCGGGGGTGGAGGGGAGGGAGGATTTGCGTTTGGATTTGGCGCGGAGTTTGATGATGGGGTTGCGGGAGGGTTTAGTCGTGGTGGTTGTTGTGGCGGATTTGGGGAGAGTGGTGGTGGAGGAGTCGCGGGAGACGTAACGTTTGAGGCGGTTGCGGAGGGACATTGTGAGGAGACGGAGGGATGTGATAGCGAATGTTGGAGAGGAGGGGATGGAAGCGATTGATGGCTCTCTGGAAGTAGACGTTACGGATCCATAAGGTCGAATATGTATAGTTCGTGAAAGTGTTTTGTGTTGTCTTATCGTCGTGGAGTGACGGAAGGGAGACTGTGGCCGGGATATCGCGTGGAAGTGACGTTGGAGAGCAATTCGGTCGAAAAGGAGATAATCGGCAGTGTTGAACCGTAGTGGTGATAACGAGGGACGACCTCAACTAACACCATGACATATTCACATCGTACTGTGTCGAAGAGCAGAAAGAAGGATCAAGTGATACCAAGAGAGGTGGAGCGTCGGCATCGTAATAAGGTGAAGGGACGGAGTCCATCCGCCCCCGAAACCCATTTCGCAATCTGACGTCCACATCTCCCATCAGCCATCATCCACCAAATCTGCCGCCAACCAGACCCAGTCCCACGTCGATGGAGCGCCATCCCCCTAGGGCCCAAGCACCTCGAGGCATCTCACAACTCGGATTCCTCCGCGCCCACCCGCAAGACCATTCGCACCCTAAAACCACACACAAACCGACACCCTCGGGACCGGGTTGGATTCCGCGCCACGCCGCCTCACTGGGGCCCGCGAAAGATCCAGATTCCCGAATCGCATTTCTGGGTTTTGATTCTGGGTTTTGATTCTGGGTTCTGAGTTTTGTCGCCTTCCCAGTCTGGCAGCGTGGAGAATCGATCGACCTTTTGGAATGGCATGCACCGCCCCGGGTGATTGGTCGGCTCGCTAATCGCGGACGGGGGCTTCGGGGTGGCTTCGGCGACTGCGACCTACAGGGCGGAGGCCGGAGAATCTGGCTGGATGGGGCTCGGATAAGCCGGTCGACAGGGGTTAGAGGGGCGAATCCAATGGGTTGGGCGGTGATTCGGGGATCAGCTTCCAATGACGAATGGTCTTCGATACAGGACAGAGTTGCGTGCATGATTGCGTGGGGTGCGCCTTGCGAGGGGTGGGCTGTTACATTCCTGTTCAGGGCTAGGGAAGCCAATTCGTATTTCTTGGTTCGGTGAGCTTATATTGAACGCCTCTTGGAGTTGAGCTTCCTTATTGGGTCTGCTACTGTAGGCTCTATTCCGTAGTTGCATCGTTAAATTATTGTGCAGCTGTCGGCCTCTCGAAACTCAAAGCTAGTTGAGCACGTTGAGGGCTTGAGCAAGGCACACAGGAGATTGCCACCTGGTGATCGCTCTAGGCAGGAGGTCTCAGTCTCAGGCATCGATTCATTCGTTTCTGCGGTTCTGCGCCTGTTTCGTGCATGTTGTTTCCGTCAACATCCGGGACTGGGTTTGATTCGCTACCATGGTATGACCAGGTACTCGGAGATTGATTGGAGTTGAGGGCTTAACTCCGGGTCAATCTAGAACCTTAGTTCACCGATTCCTTGACACCAGGAATGATGCCACTGTCATTTTCTCGACCCTTCGGCATAGCTAGGTGGTTTCACTTCCATGAGACAGCATATGATGAGCGAGGGACCAAAGTTTCAACTCCAAAGGTTGGTGTACGTGCAAACGGGTCAGAGTGGTTGGAGTCAAGCTACCTACACATATCCTGCTCCTGGCGAGAGGTAGTAGTTCATGGCAGAAGGGTTGGATATTCAGACGACTTGCACTCGTTCGCAATCGACTTCTCTATATAATTCCTACTATGCTTTGGTATATATGGCACTCCATAGGCCTGCCGTTCTTCTCTCTTCCGCTTCTTCAAAGTCCAATCTTCTTTCGGTACGAGTACTGGCTTCTGGCGTCCCACGTCTTATCTTTGTGTTAATTATCCGCTTATATTTTTGGAGTTTGTTCTTGAGCACGACCACCATGCTCCTACTCTTGACAATGAATTGATACAATGATAAGCCGCTGGAGGGTTGAGATTTTCCAAATCACTAGACAGAAAAGCTCGAACTATGTACTGCCAGTCAAGAATTTTGCTATCGCTTTACATGGCACCCTCACGTCCTCAACAGCAAGATAAAATTCAAGGATGCGATACATTTACGGCAAATAACATCTTCAACGTCTGGGCTACTAAGCCGAACATTCTCCAGTGTGACCTCTCCGCTGGAATTCCCGCTCGCATCAAACGGGAAAGAGATACGATAGGTACCCATGACGATGTCATCACCTCGGCCGCATTCAGATCAAAGAGTAGCACCTTTATTTGAAGCGGTCGCGTTAAACCTACCAGCATCGTCAAGCTCCTTGCCGCTGATCAATGTCCGGAAAATTGCCATCTTTTCAAGCTCGTTAGAAACGATTCGTCGGAGTCCACTGAACCGCGAAAGAATCTGCACCTGGTTTCCACCACTAGCGAACAAATACGTCGGGCTCAAATTCGCAACCGCGCTGTCCAACCAACTACGTCCACGAAACGTCATCGTGGCCGGCGACCATTGATCCAACAGATCATATTTCACCTGAAGGTAGACTTGGCACAGCGTGGTTCGGTCTCCACGATATGTGGTCGGACCGACGGCTTCTTGGAATGCGTCGAAGAATAGATCCGTCGAATTGCCGTAAAGTTGAGGGTTCCGGCGGAGCAGGCGCGGTCGCTGTGGAAACGGCCGGTAAACGTTAATGGTATAGAAGGGAGGGTTTGCTCCGAGATATATGACAAGGTACGGAAGATGACGAGAAGCTTTAGGACGGTTGACTGGGTCCAGGCCATGACGGTGGAAAGGGGGCGAGTGTTGGTAGAAGAGAAACCAGTCCTGTGTCGGAAAGCTAGATCCAAGGTGCCTTCTGGCTAGGTGGTGTACTATATAATACATCTATTGAAAAGATATGAAGCTATCGCAGGACAGCCTAATCTAAGTTCATATACAGCGGTCAGGTAATCAATTCAATACGAAGCTTTTGTCTGAACATCAAGCACCGGATGCTTGCCCGTAGTTCGGGGTCAACTAGGACCATCGCTTGATGCATCTTCGTTCTACTGTGTCATAGTATAATTGAATAATTCTGAATATGAGTACAATGTTCCGGCTCATTCACCCAATGCTTGCATGCCATGAGCCGATCGAGAAATAAAAACGCGGAGAAAATGGGTGACGTTAGTATTTTCGCATGGAAGAAGGTGGGGCCGTTACAATCCCTGTAGCGATCCTGCCCGATCAGGAAATGGTGAGGTCATACAAGTTACCACCAAACTTCGTACCAAACTTTCCACCGTTGACTCCAGAACTTCCTTCTTTTCCTGGTCTGCTCAGCCATTTCCTGTAATCGCAATACCATCTGCTCCCATTACCGCCGCATATTTGTCCCACTGGACACCGCGAGGGTTGAAAGCGAAGAGAAATTCGGCGCCTGGATTGGCACAGAGGGGTGGATTTGCCAGTCAATCGGGAAGTATGGTCTCTCCGACCGAGGAACGAAAGATGGAGAAATTCAGAGAGCTCGTTATGTTTGTCTATCATATCCTGCTCCCCAGAAACTACCAACTGACCCTCCGAATAGGCCTCCGTCTGCTGCTACTCTTCAGCGCTATAGCGCAGGGCAGAAGAATCGCAGGGCCTCTGGGGCAGGGAATCCGAGTAGCACTCCTCACTCCATAGCGCCCGGGAATAACACGACCGAAAGTCCCAGAAGCGTACAACCAGACCCCCCATCAAACCTCTTGGTACCAGGGACAGATAATAGCTCACTGGATTCTGGGAGCAACGCGCCGACTATAGCGAGCATCAAGTCTGGCCATATCGGAAAAGCACCACGGAAAGAACATTTCATTGGCACTTCAACACCTATAGATACCAGCGCTGCGGATTCGGCTGCTGCTGGGGCTTCTGGAGCTAATGCATTTTCGCAAGATCACAGTTCATACGTGGCGGAACCGGCAACTGGCAAGCAACCTCCGACGGCACAGGCCCTTCCAGCGGTGAGAGATCTCCCTGGATCATCAATGGCGGCCCTCGCACCTGCACCGACTGAGGCTCTGGGTTCTTGCCCTCATAACACTCTGAGCGACGAGTCTCCTGGCCTTGGAGCAGGAGGAGCGGTTGGTGCAGGCGCGTATTCCAGAGGAGGATCCGGAACTACGGGCCCTACTTCACCCACGGGAAGCGATGAACTTTCGCGTGGGAGCAGTCATGGGAGCAGCTATTCAGGCCATAGGAGCCCTTACAGTGCTAAATCACTGGATCCACGAGTTGACGGAATTCTGAGCGGGAAACGAGGAGTCAAGCATGCTGGTGGAATAACCAGGAAACCAGTGCCTCAGAGGGGTTCAACGCCAGGCCAGAGGGCCACGCAACTGGATACTCAGAGAGCAATTAGTGGGACTTCAGTGTCAGGCCCCTTTGCAGAATCTCGAGCGGCTATCCCTGCTGGAGCGATAGGTACAACGGGGGTAGCTGCTACGATGCTTGGACGGAACGAGGAAGTTCCCACGATGGAGACGATCGGACAGCCACAACCTCCAGGGTCATATCCGATATCTGGGCCGGTTGCTCATGAGCAGGGCTATGCACCAGATAGTGCAGTGGCGGCTAACCAAGTCAGTGAACCATCATCCCAGCCGATCCCAGAGCCGCAATCGACAGTCCAGGATATCCCAACCCAAGTTACTTCACTCACTACGGAAAGGCCTCAAGGTGACGCTGAGAAGGGGACAGAGTTTGTCTCACCATATGTATCGAACCGGCCAGCGTTAGGGGATGAGCAGAGCGAGAAGGGTCCGGGGGGTCACAAAGATCAATCAAAGCATGGCAATACAGTGGCTGCTAAAGTTGGTACCACTGGACTAGGAGTTGTTATTACTCATCAGCACGGAGAGCACGAACAAATTCTCGCACATCAACCAGAAAATGCAGACATATCGCCTGGGGACCGAGTCATTGGAGACATCTCGCCAAGGAGAAGCATGCTCGAGAAGAAGGACAGTAAGCATGCGCGGAAGGCAAGCACTGAATCGGGAAAGGAAAAGAAGGGCCTCATCCACCGATTGACGCATCGTCGTAAGAGCAAGAAACACAGCTATGATGAGGCAGTCGAGCCTGTAGGAGAGAACCCAGGAAATCATGATTCTGCTTCAGCTGCGGTCCGTATTCCTGACCGCACCTCTTCTCAGAATCGTGCCCAGCAGGAACCCGAAGACCCCCCCCCTGCAATGAAGGATGAGAAATTGGACGACGAGAAGGACCACCACTATGGCGCCGTCGCGGCCACAGGCGCTGCTGCAGTCGGATCCGGTGCTCTCACTTCTGAGGTACTGGGGAACCAGAAGGACTCAGAACTTCGCCACGAACCTATTACTCGAGAGAGTTCCTCCTCGGGACCGCGAGAAAGCAAAATCTATGCACCAGGAGACAGTACCACCTACGGGCCAAACAGTGCCACTGGCTTTGCCGATGCACCCCGAGAGCCTAGCCGCTATGGAACGGGTAACATGGGCTACGATTACACGGAAGGACAGGGCATGGACAGCACTGGCAGCTATGGATACGGTGCTATGGCAGCAGCAGGAGGATTCGGAGCAACACCCGCGCTGGACGCCTCTCATCACCAGTATCCGACTGATGCGACGAGCAGCGTATATAGCCACCAGCAGCCTCAAACCCCAGAATTCATTTCCGGCAGTGCTGCTCCTGACTACACACAACTAGCAGACCCTCCAGGGGCCAATTACCCCTATCCCGGCATCCTCCCCTCCGACCACGACCCAGTCGTCCGCCGCGCCGACCCCCGTTTTGTCGCCGCCGGCTTCACCCAACCCGCCTTCCCACGCCCTCAAGCCGACCAATCCACCAAATACCCCACCGGCGGGCCTCCCGACTACCCCCATAAACCCCATAGCTACGACCACGCCGCTCCTCGCCATTTGACGAACCGGCACTTCGAGGAGCTCGGGCTCAGCCACCATGGTCCCCGACCTGACGCGGCAGATACATCCAACTATAAACCCGCCATCTCAGGCGCTGGCGGTGCGAGCATCGGCGCTGTGGACGTAGAGGCTGTCTACGCTGGACGTCACACGCCGCCAAAACAGAGCGAACTTTATGCGCCCCGTGACGGGACTAGTGACGTGCAGCCAAGGGAAGTCGGGTTCGGCTCCGCTGGCGGAAAAGGGCTAGTCGGCGCGTCTGATATGCCGGAGATGAAGGATAGCGCCGCTGTGAAGGCGATGGATATGGGTGAGCGGGGGAGTGTGAGGAAATCCGAGGAGATGGGCGTGGCGATTAGGAGGGTTAGTGTTGGGAGTGGGGGCAGTGGGGGTAGTGGAGGTAGTGGGAATGGGAATGGGAATGGGAATGGGAATGGGAAGTTGAAGGTGCATCCGAGTTTGAAGGGGCGGAATCGGCTGCATAAGGCGCCGAAGAAGGGGAAGAAGGTAGGGGCGTGAAAGGAGGAGTGTGGGATGGTGGCTCTAGCTGGTTGCGTGGTGTTTCGGATGCGAGTTTCGAGTGCGAGAGAACCACGGTTGTATGATATTGTTCTGGTCTTAATGCCATATATGATTATAAGCCCATGAATTATACGGACATTCCTATTCATAAGCTCACCCTTCTTATTCGGCAGCTTGGAGTGCCATCATGAAGCTATGAGATGAGGAGCTTCGTACTTGGGAATAATCGTCTCGTCCAAGAGGATGACCGTATCTCTTGACCGTCGCCGCGTCCATTCTCGTCAAGCAAGCTGCGCCGAATTCCTGAGCTTCGCTTCCGAACAGGTTTGCGCTTCTGCTTTCTGCGCATCGGAAAACTGAGCCTCCATCCTTTTCATAACCCAACAACCTCATCCATTCCATGATCCGATCGTAGAATCAAGCGCTTCGCACCCATCTCACATCCCCAAGCGCAATCCAGGCGACATAACCCCATCACCCGTCTCCCTCACTCCTCCTCCGCGTTCAAAAAAGGATTCTGAATCTCCTGACTCCCATCGAGCGGCGAGATGGCGGTTAGCAACGTCCCTCTTGCGACGACCAGGCCGAGTGGGCGGGTGGATTCGTTGCCTTCTTCGTCTGTTCGACGTGTTAGTACCGAGATGGGGGAGGGAGGAGTAAAGATAGGACATACCGCGGACGGTCTCTTTGACTTCGTCGAGGACGAGGTTCATGAGCTGGTCAAAGCCTTTGAGGAGGCCGATGACTGGGGATTCCGTTAGCTATTTCTGCTCCTCACCGCCGCATCCAGCGAATCCAAAAATGAAGAAAACCCCGTCACCACCTCCAATCCTCCTCGTCATCTCCACCCCAACCTCCATAAAAACAATCCGTAGAAAAAAAAAAACCAAAGAAAAGCCTATCCAACCCACCTTCCCTGCCCCCATTAAACTTCACCCGAATCTCCTTATCCATATACCGCCCGAGATCTAAAATATTCTCCTTCTTCCTCTCCCTCCCCTCCTCCCCTCCTTCCCTCCCCGCCCTCCCCTCCCCGCCCTCTCGATCGCCGCGTCCCCGTCCCCCGCCACGACCGCCCCGGCCACCGCGTCCTCCGCGAGGGCCGCCTCGGGCGCGGAAGGCGCCGCGTTCGGACATGGTTTGATGCGTGATTGAAGTGAAGAAAGAGGGTTGGTGATGCGGTGTATGGTGTGGGGATAGGTTGCGATATGGATTTGATTTGCGGTTGCGGTTTGTTGATATTGGTGGAGGCACGTGGTGATCTAGGTTGAGGTTGATGGACGGGCGGAGATGGAGGAAGTTTGATTTTCCGGTAGGTGGGGGTGGAGTGGGGTGGAGCTAGGTGCATGAGTGTCACGTGCACGCCCCTTTAATGACCTCTGACCTCAACTGAGAGCGAACCATGGACGACACAGATCTCACTCTGATTCTTCATTCTACACTCATGCCTCGCAAGAAATCTTCCATCTTCCACGCCCATCTTCTTGATCTGTAGCGCTCAAATGAAATCTTCCAGGAGTGTGGATAATAAATCGTAATAAGTTGCCCTTTCTTCGCGCATATGCTTCACGATCTGTTGATTTGGCGTATCCACCTGCGATGCTGTTCAGTACTTCTCTAATGACGATGCCTAGATGCCGCATGCTCTCCCAACCCGGAAGACTACACGAAAAGGTAAGAAAAAACAAAGATTGTGCCATGTCCAGTACAGTACATTGTGCGACGTATGCCGAGAAATGATTGCTCAGCGGCGAAAGCGCTGGGAATTGTTGCGCGGTCATCTGCGCTTCGAAAGAGCTTCGAATGAGACGGAGAGTCATCAGGTTCAGCATGGCAGCAAGTGTCGGCACAATGCTGTGGCTCGAACCCTAGTCGTTTCAGAGTCGAAATGTTTTCTGCGACGCGCATTGAATTAATTTTGCACTACTTAAACCGAAATCTTAGGTATTCTGGTGTATGAATCGCCGGGTCACTATGGTGTGTTGGGGGTTGGTGGACCTCGTCATGCCCTCTAGTCAAGAGCTCCCGGTTCGATTCGGTCACAGTCAACTATGAGTCGAGGTTTCAGAAGCCTCTTGACGATGACGGTTCTGTTGGTGCAAAAACCTGCTTTCACCATGCCGCGGGTTTTTGTAGCGCTTGCCCTTACGTGTAGAGTAGTCGTAAGGGGGCGTGAGCTTTTTGCAATTTCCTTCTAGGAATCTAGAAGTCCGAGAGGATGGATGTTTTAGATGTTGAGTCTCCGGTCGCCCCTTCCCTTCGGTCAGTTGGCACTTAGGGGGGTCTTTGTTCGTTTGATGATCAACTTCTCCTTCTCAGCCGTGAGGATAGATGCTTTAAAGCAAAAGGGTTAATAGATATTGTTCCAATACAATACTATACGGCGTATAGAAGATATCATATGGATGGAACATCTTCTGAGCATTGACAAGCTATTCCGTAGGGCCTGCCTCCACAGCATACTCTACTAATCGATTGGCTCTGAGGGTTGAGGTGCTTAGGAAAGCGAATAGAAGCTCGGCTTGTCTTGTAAGAGAAAATTAAAAGTGCGCTGATCCTACGTGGATAGAAGCTGTCTGTCACGGTGCTATTTTGGAGGACCATGGATATGGATCACTATCGTAAAACAGCTTGTATTTGACGAAACGAAAGATGAAGAAGGAGAATGGGAAACCAGAACAGAGAGAGATATAATATACACAAAGCGGGATTGTGAATCACCACGTGATAGCCCCTAACACATCGGAGGCATCACATCACATCGTATCGTGAGGCATCCGTATCAGGCCATAAGTCAACAATACATTAACGCCTCAAAGCACGAAAAGTACGACCGTGACACTGTCAATCATTAGTTTAGCGTCCTTACTATCCCTTAGATCTTATATCGCATACACATTAATTAGATATGATGCCAGCAAGTCGATCAAATCTTATCTCGTCAGACATTTCCCTTTGGAGCGTTGATCGATTGCCATCGTTCCGCTCTCCTTTCAAGCGTCGCTCCAATCTCGGGTACATCCTGGCTGAAATACAACATGTAGCCTACCGCGGTTCGAGTAGATGATACAGAACCACCCGCTGGCGTGGAAGCGAAACATCAAGCAGTCGAAGTGACGGTGACAAGCTTTCGGGTACCCTGCTTAGCGTGGCATGGCGAAAGCTTGCGCAGCCTCTGGCGGGGATGTTTCAAAGATAGTGGGGCCAATCTGTCTCGATTGCACGGGTCGGGCTAGTTTGATGAACGAGAGCTCGGTCGAGGATGGTCCGGTGGCATGGGGAGGTGGTGAGGGTTCGTTTCCGGATATAACGGGTGAAGGGAATGAAGTGCAGGGGAGTCTAGTTCCGGGATAGTGGTGTTGCAACGAGAAGATTGGTGCAACTCGCAGGAATATATTATTAACCTGCTCCGAGATGAGGTGGAGGATGAGGATCCGATAGTGCTTAGTTCGGAATCCTCCTACAGGATACTTCGAATCAGGCCGTGAATGTTCACGTTGCCTTTGTCTCGGGTAGGGATGCATGAATCACCTCAGTGATACCGCCACTCCGCTCGGGCAGGCATCCATATGAATCAAGGAAAAATATCAATATCAAGTAATGCAGCTAATAGCATACCATGTAGTGCTGTGCCGTATCAGAAACACCAGTGGGCGTCGTCATCAATATTTAATAGGATTGGTGCCGTCCCGCCCCGCAGATGAGGCTTGCCATGGGTTGGGGGGCGGGATCTGAGCTCATGAGCTGAATGTCAGCGAGGCTGCGCCGCTGCGGCAGCTCGGACTCCACAGATGCCGTTTGTTCCGCCCCCCTCTTCGCCTACGATACACCAGACTCGCGATGGACTTTGTCAGTGAGTTGTTTTCCCCGGTGGGGTGTCAGATGCAGGTTGGCCTTACCCTTATAGATGGAGAGGGGTCGCGTCGTGGAATGCGCTCGTGACGATATGATCAACACACCGCCAACTGTCATTGTATACGTGTGGAGAGAGCACTTCGGACTTAATCGGCCACTTCGGATGAAGGGAAATACCATCAATACTATGCATCCCACCATTATCAGTCATCGCATCACCACATCCACGCGTTAGTTAGATTAGTAAGGACTGCGGAGGCGTCAGCGCAATGGTGTGGGAGAACCGGGGAAAGAGGAGAACGACGGCGAAGCAGCTGCAGGCCATCCCAATGATCCCGCTCCCGGTCGGGAAAGCACGAACGGAAGCGTAACCTGATTCCAGACTAGCGCGCCTTCCATCCCGCTCAGCGTCGTGGTTTCCGAAAAAGCCGCGGCGGATCCGTATGTCGTCCGCTCTCCCCTTCTGAGTCTCATTCTCCGGCTCCCCCCGTCTTCCCCCCCGTCCGCACCCAATTTCCCTTTTCCCTTCGGTTTTCCTCTCCTCACCACCTCTCCTCACCCTTTCTCCGCCCTCCGACTCGACCGTCACGATACCCTTTCCTTTCTTTCGCTTGGTTTTCGAACGATTCTACGCGTAACTCCTGAGGATTCTTCCATTCGATGAGTTAACCTTCCCATCTGGCGCAAAAATTCGCGATTATGGACATTCCTCCGACTTCCGCACCTCCCGCCGACCTTCCCCCGCCGTCGCATTCAACACCCTCCCAACCTGCGACTTCCGACCTCAAGCGCAAACGCAGTCCATCCGACGGCATACATGCGTCTGCCTCTCACTCCGGCCCCCCTCCCGCGAAGCGAACCACGAATACTCTGCAGATCAATTACCTCGCCCGCCAATTCGAAGATGATCTCCCGCTCGTCTCCACCGACGACACCATGCCCGCCATCCTGCATCTGCTGGGCGAATATCAAGGTGTCCTCGACCGCCACGAGTCTATGGGCGGGAACCTCGGGGCCCGTCCGCTCGGCCCGATCCTCATCAAGCGCTTCGAGCGACTCTTCGACGGTCCGCCGAGGGTGATCAAAGCGCATGGGAAAGACGGCGGGGCCGCCGGGGTGACGTGGTTGGATGTGGTGGAGTTTGCGCGGAACAAGCCCGAGCAGTTCACGCTGGGGCAGATGAGCGAGGGAGTGCGGGTATGTCAGTTCTACACGAAGCAATGTCGCGTGCAGGTTAGCGAGGAGGATTGGGTGTTGATCAATAGCGGGATTCCACAGAAGATGATCCCGCCGCAGCCGATCATGGAGGATGAGGAAAAGGAGCTAGGGACGTTGGAGATCTTGGAGAAGAGTTTGGCGAGTATTTTCCATTTGGCGGATCAAGGTGAGTTTCTTTCTTCTCCTGACGACCTGGAGGATCTGCCAGAGCGTGTTTGCCGGTCGCAAACATATATGCAGAGCCCTTTGGCCTTGAATAGCTATAGCTGGCGATCACTCCACGCGATGAATCTTGCGCAAATGCTAACTTCGTCTCCAGTCGCCGCACGCTCTCGCCAACTCAACCACAAGCTCAAAGGACGTAAACAAGCCATCCTCGACCGACGCGCAACCTCTCCCTCGGTCTCCATCCGCTCCTCCTCACCGTCCGCTCTCGCCTACCTTAACGGTATTGCCAGTACTTCTACCGCTCTTACCACTACTGGGCCATCTGGCTTCACCGCTGTCAACGCGACTCCTCACCCAAGCTCGTCCACCAATGGCGACAAGCCTCATCAAGCGTCCGGCGCATCCAGCGCCACCACCCGCGCGGAGCTTCTCTCGAAATTCCACACTCTCGCCGACCGACGCGCAAGCAGTGGCAGCGTCAACGGTGATCTGCGATTCAACACCCCTCGGGCTAGCACCGGCGGTGCCTTGAACTCCCCCGGCTACCCCACTGCCAACTTTACCTCCGCACCAACACATTCCCAAGCGCACCCCTCCGGCACCATCTATGCGCACTCCCCCAACTTCCCTCCCCCTCGCGCCCCCGACTCCGCCACCGCAACCCCGACCGCCCCTCGGCCCGCCCGCCTCCGCCAACCTCCCAACGACGACGACGCGCAACCCTACCGCGCCCCTATGGTCGCGAAGATGGAAGCCCTCGCGAAGGGCGACCGGGTCATCCCACCATGCGATCGCTGCCGCCGCCTCCACATGGACTGCATCAAGAACCTCACCGCCTGCCTCGGCTGCACGCGCAAGCACGCGAAGTGCAGCTGGTGGGAAGTCAAAGCCGGCGAGATGGACAACGACAACGACGGCGACGACGGATTGGCTGTGTCGGGTGCGGGGGTGCAGCCGCAGTCGCAGTCGCGTGGCGGGAGCGCGGGCGAGACGGGCGGGGATGGACCGGCGGTGGACCAGCTCGCAGAGGCGGCATATGCGGCGCGCGAACACCAACAACCACCTCAACACCATCTCCCGACTAACCCTGCCGACGACCCCGCTGCCAGCGTCGCCCCTCCGACCGACGACGGCGCAGCGGCGCTCAGCACGCTAGGGCAGCTAGGGATGGGCGCGCTAGAGCGGTACGCGGCGGCTGGGGAATTGGAGATGCAGCCGGTGCATGTGGAGAGTCATGGCGTGGCAATTGGTGCGGATGAGGGGAGGGAGGGGGTGGATGGGATTCAGGATGAGAGGAGGGGGTTTGGCGAGGTGGAAATGCGGGATGTGAGGGATGGTGGGGAGGAGATAGGGAAGGTGGATGTATAGGTATGAGGACGCGTAGTTTGTTGGTTGGGTGCGCACGTGGTCTGTTTCTGGATTATCTTATCAGCAACGGAGGCGTGGGATGGTTACTGTACGGTATGTACTGCAGAGGACGGGTCTGACATGATACAATGTCTCTAAGCCCAGGACGATTATTTGGTGGAACTGTATTCTTCTCCTATCGGTCGATACCGGTAGGAGGCGCGTTTCTCGTCGCTGTACTGTCATAATTGTCTGGATACCTATGTACGAATTATAGAAGCAGTGGGATAATATCAGTTTGTCTAAGTACCAATCCTTCCACACCTATAACCACTGCCCCCAGTCCTATCACGCCGGTCCCATCCTCGATGCGATGCATCCACTTCGCAAACACATCTGATAAAAATAACGTTCGAACCCCTCCATCGCCCATCGCCACTCCTCCCAAGTCCCAACACCACGATACCCAGAGCCTCGGCACCGATTGCCTATCAAGAACACGAGCGTCCCCGTCTACAACACGATCTTGGCGACTTTAATCTGGGATCGTCCCTGGCTCCGCCCCCAATTATAGTGTCCTTTCGTGCCCAGACGGATGGGCTTCACTATTGCTTGGATGGTGATGCGCATATTCCTTAGATTGGAGATGTGTATTTGGAGAAATCAGTCTTGCGTATAGGTGGAGGTATTGTCGCGCTGGAGACTGCGGTGGGTGACGTGTGTGTAACTGTGTATAAGGATAGGAGCTAGATATAAAGTAGGTGGATCGGTCGTTGGTTTAGCCTATTTGGTGGGCTCTGGATCTTCATCTGGCTAGTCAATGTCCCTGCATACACGTACCTGACTTAGCTCCACCGTTCAGTGCCATCTCGTCAGGATGTATTCACACAGATTAGTCGTTTTAGGCGTCCTGGCTACATCGATCTACTCCGTCCAGAGCTGGTGTCAGGCCGACAATGGCCAACGCGGCATCTGCATGCCCACCAGCCCCTGCGCGAGAAAAAATGGCATCTCCGAGCCCGGCCACTGTCCCGGCCCCATTGATTACCAGGTACCTCATCCCTCTCCTCCCTCTACTCCCCAATTAACTCCCCCCTCCCCCCAGTGCTGCACCTTCGGCACCTGCACCGCCGCCGGCATCCCCGGCTGGTACCAACCCCACTCCGCCTGCTCCGGCACCTCCCACGCGGTCCTCCCGCACGCGCACCAGTCCGACGTGTTCTCCTGCACGTACGGAACCTGCGACTCGAAAGGCGGTACCTGCCAGCCGGTGGACACGTGCGATGGGACGAGCTACGCAGAGGATCTGTGTCCGGGCCCAAACGCGATTCAGTGCTGCGTGGCGAAGAAGAAGAAGAAGCCGACGCGGCCAGAGTGCGATGGGAGTTGTATAGTGAGGCCGGTAAGGGCGGATGCGGCGGTAGTGGGTTTGGTTAAGGGGAAGTAGAGGAGGAGGGATCACCCTTGTACGTGGATGTTCGGGGTCTGTAAAGGCAGGGCTAACTGTGGTAGATGAGGTTGTTGAAGGGAATGGGGAATGGACGGTCGGATGGGGCCATCGGTGCTCAGAGCCAAAATGCGCTGAGATTTCCGGGTGTCCGGTCCCCGATTCCACAATCGAGGCGCTATTCAACAGTGACCTCCACGTATGCCACCCGCCAGCACCCATCGCCATCCTACTAACCCCTTTCTAGGAAGCCGAGCGCTGCGTCACCATGAACACCCTCGCCTGCGTCTCCCTCACCCACTCCCAATACGGCGCCCTCGTCTCCGTCGCCTTTAAACACCGGCTGCCCGCAATTCACAGCGTTCGGCCTCCTGAAAACGCTGAATGGCTGCACCGGCGCCGACGCCGTCACGGCTGGGCTGTTCTATAATCTGAAAGCCAACGACGCGGACGCGCAGGCGGGCGTGCGGGCGCGGCGGGAGGAGGAGTGGGGGCATTATCGGGCGAATGCGAATACGGCGAGGGCGATTCCGACGGAGCATACGCTTCCTGATGGACGAGATGTGATCCGGAGAAGGGGAAGAGGTTGGTGGGATTCGGTGGGAGGGCCGTGCCGGTTTGTTGATGGTACTTCGCGATAAAGGATCGGTTATGATGGCGTGATAATGTAGGTTGACTTTGAATAGGAAATTCTGGGGATCAGGTGGTGTTTTTTGACTGGGGGAGACGTTGATGAGTGGAAATTGACGGATATCAACCCAAACAGCGATGAACCGCTTGCCTTAACTTTTCTGACTCGTTAGGCATAGAGTAGAGGGACGTATACGCGCTAGAGTAGGGGAGACAGTCTTTAAAACACTTCTCCCGCAAGCTGTGCCCGTGTTCAAATTTGTCAGTTGCATACTCCGTGCTGCTATAGAGAGAACGATAGAAAGTCCAAGTAACTTGCTGTGTTGAAGATAAGGAAGCTGGGTGGTAGAAATAGAGAACTTGAAATAGGTAGTTATAAAAAAGGGGTCCACAAAGAACCTGACGCGACCGGCACGCGAACCAACACCAACCCCATAAGTCATGAATGCTATCGAACAGAAACGATTAAAGGACGATAAGGAATTACCATCCTCAAACAGGCGAGCCGCTATTAACAGCCCGATGGATAGCAGAAATCCGCCGATTCCAATACCATCCATTGTCGGCCCCGATATTCCACGCTCCAGCCCGGGTTCCTCGATGCCGCTCTTCGAGATTTGAGGGAAACCGATTCCTCTTTGGTGCAGTGTATCTAGAAACAACTCCTCGAAGAGAACGGAAGATGTGGTGGATATGATATTAAGGATAAAGTCCTCCCCGGAGAGCCGATCTGGCCTTTTGCGTATCGCAATGCGGCTGGCTGGCAGATAGCAAACAGATGCCAGGGTTGTCTTGTCAGAGATCAGTCTTTCAGGATATCTCTATTTTTCGGGATCCGCCGGTCTCTCTACCGAGCCCCCATTTCTTAGTTCTACTTAGGTGGTCTAGCCCCCATGGTTCCCCCATAGTTCCCCTGTGGTTCCCCTGTGGTTCCCCCGTGGTTCCCGCGTGGAGGAGCATACCATACCCCACTATATCACCAACGCTTCTTTCTTTGCTTCTTCGCTCGTTTTGAGGAAACCAAGGTCCCCACGACCATCAATTGTATACAGAACATAAAAGATGAGCGTATTCTTGTAGTTTGTACGCTCATTAAGGATCAAGATCAATCAACACTTTCAATTCTTGGTAATCAAGTGCTCTCCTGCTGAAGTCGCATCTCCAGATCACCGATCAAAGGAACAGCTATTTTCTGTCATGTTTGCCTCCACTGTTATCAAGGAATCTTGGCTTCGGAATGTTTGCTCGCAGATAAGGCCGGAAAGCAACTGCATGTCAAGGCGGGCAAGTTACGCAGTTCTCATGGTCGTCTTTTTAATTAAATTCAGGCGATATTATAATCCCTGAATTCAAGAAGTCACGATGAATTCAAGTCTGCGGTTCTCATTCGTTTCCAACATCGTATTCGTTTGTCTCCTATCAGTTGTTCATGGAGTCTCCAATGCAAGTGGTCACGATGCGTCCTTCCTCCAGGGCGGCTTCGACCAGATGCCATATGAGTACTATTTCCCCAATTCGGAGTTAGAAGACACGCCAGGTCTCTTCCCAATGCCGAAATGCTACGGATTTACTCTAGAAGAGGCTTCAATAGACGATCTCCAGCGGGCAATGGCTCGTGGCTTCTTAAACTCTGTTCAGCTTGTGCAATGTTGCTTGAGTCGAGACATCCAAACCGATGAGTACATCAAGTAAGATCTCTCATTAAAATCCCCGTGCCACTCGATGCTCCACCTACCTTGTGGATGAAGTTGTTTAATATCCCTTGTCTCGAAGTACGTCTAACTGCTATAAAAGTTCGGTGCTGGAACGGAATCCCGATGTATTCCAGATCGCGGCTTCACTTGATCTGGAGCGTCGCATGGGCAAAGTCCGCTCACCACTCCATGGGATACCATTCCTTGTCAAAGAAAACATTGCCACGAAGGATAAAATGCAAACCACTGCCGGCAGCCATGCACTCCTTGGATCGATTGTGCCCCGAGATGCACACGTCGTCCGTCTACTCAGGGAGGCTGGAGCTGTCCTTCTAGGGAAGGCAACCTTGAGTGAGTGGGCGGATATGCGCAGCAACAACTATTCCGAGGGTTACTCTGCCCGAGGTGGGCAAGCCAGAAGCCCTTACAATTTAACCCTGAACCCTGGTGGATCAAGCAGTGGTAGTGCAGCGGCAGTTGCAGCTAATGTCGTCCCCTTTTCGCTTGGAACCGAGACGGATGGGAGTGTGATCAGTCCTGCTGAGCGGAATGCAGTAGTCGGGATCAAACCCACCGTTGGACTAACGTCTCGAGCCGGGTGAGTTGAAGGGGGCGTCTTCCAGTTTCGAATTCTAACATGTGATAGAGTCATCCCAGAATCAATTCATCAAGACACGGTGGGAACGTTTGGAAAGACCGTGAGGGATGCGACATATGCATTTGACGCCATATTCGGACCGGATTCAATGGACAATTACACCGCTGCTCAAGTTGGTAATACGCCAAAAAGAGGATACGCAAGCTTTCTAGCCGATAAATCAGCTCTGAAAGGAGCAAAGTTTGGACTTCCTTGGAACAGCTTCTGGGTGTATGCCGACGAGGAGCAGCAATCCATCCTTCTTCAACTGATTGATATGATCAAGCAGCAGGCGCCACGGTGATAAATGGGACGGAGCTGCCAAACTACGAGACGATCGTGTCCCCCAACGGCTGGGACTGGGATTACGGCACGACACGCGGACGATCTAATGAGTCGGAGTACACGGTGGTCAAAGTGGACTTCTACAACAACATCAAATCGTACCTTTCCGAGCTTAAAAACACAAACATTCGTTCGCTGGAGGATATCGTCGCGTACAATTACGCCAACGACGGCACCGAGGGCGGAAACCCATGGCCATTTGGCAACCCCGCCTTCTACTCCGGCCAAGATGGATTCCTCGCATCTCTCGAGACCAAAGGACGTATGGACGAGACATACTATCAAGCCCTCGAATTCTGCCAACGCAGCACACGCGAAGATGGAATCGACGCTGCCTTGGCCCAAGGCCCAGATGGCAGTCAACTTGACGCATTGCTCGTCCCACCGGACGTGGGTCAGACATACCAGATCGCAGCGCAGGCGGGATATCCCATGATCACGGTTCCTGCATCGGTACAGTCGTCAACTGGGATGCCGTTCGGGCTTGCACTCATGCAAACGGCATGGGGAGAGTCGAAGTTGATTCGGTATGCCAGTGCGATTGAAAATCTGCAACGAACGTCTGGAACGCCGTATAAAAGAACGCTGCCAGGTTGGTATGGTTATCTCAGGAAGAATATTCCGGTGCTTAACTTGTAAGGAGTAGCTAGGTAATAGCATGTACACCCGGAGAGGCTTGATCCGCCTGTGAGTATCAAAAGATATTTAGTAGGGGATATAATAGTGAAGAGCAGGTGGGCTTTGGAATATTAGATCACCACCCTTTTCACAAAAATCTCTCAGTCATCAATTCAACAATCGCCTCCTTTTTTGACTTCTGAGTAACAATACATTAAATTAGTTGTGCTCCAGATGCAGTCCTATCAGTGAGCTTCGTGAGACACTAGCGAATAGCACACGGGATAACTAGTTGAACGTTATTCCGATTACAACTTCTATAACCTGTCAACTTCACAACATTCCTTCAGTAAGACACACTTTTGCGTAGTGATTTAATCGTAGCCGAATCTTTGACAAACCGTAATGGACGTGTTAGGAAGAGGGATCAACAACTCCATGATTAGGTTGCTCTGTATCCCCATGATAGGTTCTTCGCCGCGCATCGGCCAGCAATCAAACATTTCCTTTCTTCGGCATCACAACAGTTGGTTCATTGAGTCTTTTTGCGGTCTCTCTTTTGGTCAAACCTCTCAATTCCTGCCTCAAGGCAGACCCCCGATTCGTCATCCGGTCAAATAATGTTACTGTGCCATGTTGCGTCAGAGAAGTCGGCGAGATCAACCCGAAACGAGCCCCTGCCAGTAGTCAAGCCTTCTCGGCTCTCGCTCCTCAGTAGCTCGATCTTCAGCGCCACTCCCCTAGTGTTGCACCGCGTATCCACTTGCCAGAACTCTAATCCAAGAATCAGCGGGTCGCCTTGAGCCTCACTTTCATAACCCGGTCTCGGGCTACGAGATTTGGCCTGTTGGCATCATGTCCACAACTATTTGTCCGGGCTCATCATATCGCGGGGCGGTAGTACTAAACCGAAACCGAGTATTTTGTATTCGATAAGAGGCTAACCTAACGACTTTAGATATCAGTACCCTGATGATGCAGGTGTCAGTACCACAATTTTGCGTCATCGTTCCAGAAGGCACGCGTGCATGGGGCTCCCGCCTCACAGGCACCAAGGCGTTCTGCATCTCAGCGATGACGAGTCGTCATCCATGAGCTGGACGACAGCAATTCGGGTTTGCGTTGACCGCGGGGGAGCAGTTGCGGTGGTGCCCAAGCGTGTTCTGCTGTGAATGGAGCAGATGCGACAAGTGGTGCCCAAGTGCGTTCTGTTGCGAAATGCACTTGGCGTTGACGTCGGGCACAACTTATGGAAGGCCTCGCTGTGGCTGTGCAGGGAAAAAGAAATTTTCTACATGAATGTCACATCCAGGCGACAACAGAGCGACTTGGACTGGATTGATTCAAAAACATCGTACGATCGGAAGCGCGTTGAATCTCCATATCGGTGGCTGCAGAGGTTCCACGCACAGCCTCCTCAGTCCTCACCGGTTTGGTGGTTGAGTTTTGGCTCCTGGGATACATGACGAACCAGCGTGCAAATCAGGGGGGCTGCTAGAAGCATCCATGTCCAACATTTGCAACGCTCTGGTGTGTCCCCTTGGTCGTTGGATATTTCAATCCTGCTCCTCCTGTTGGCTGAGCCTCCTGCATTCACGGCAAGATATCCCCTGGAGCTGAACTTCAGGCTTCAGTAGTTTGGTGAAACAACCTGGAAATTTTTTCACAATATCCAGCCAAATCGTTATTCATAGGTCCCACCTGTCCGCTTGCAGCTTTTTGTCTCACGAAAATTTGCGTGTTACTACTAAGGGAGATCCCGTATACCATGGAATTCCTGGTATCTTCTATCACGGCTGAAAATGGTGTGGATGATGCTCCACAATCCCCGCTTCTGTTGGGGGTGTGTCTTATTGCGGGACGGGACGAAAAGTATCCAACCTTAGCCACATGGTCGAACTATGCGGAGATGTGTACATTACGGCATATGCACTCCAAGAATACCCCCTAGACAACCTTATGAGTAGCCTTATTGGTAAGGTCCTCGGAGCTATTGGCACTAATACATTCCAGAATCCAGTTGTCTCCGGAAGTACGTGTCTGCGAATCCAATTTTGGATAGCAGGGAGTTTTGCGTGTTGGATACTCCAACTACTGCTCCATTGTCCAAATCGCCTTGTATCCGCAAGTTCCGCGCTGGGCTACTTGTGAGGCGCCGCGAACCCGCGAACCTGCTGGGCTAGCACTGACCTCATTTCGACTGGCCTTCCGGCTTCTATCTTCTCCCAAAAGTAGCCACCATGTTCGCTGATCTGCATTCGAGCAATACTTTGTGATCAAGGGCTCTAGGAATCGCATCGCGAACCATTGGTCCTCGTGCAAATACTCCCCAACGGAGAATATCCCGTATTATGTACGCAATAAAAGGCAGCCGAGCGGAGGAGTGGCGGAGTAGATCCATTGGGCGTTAGTCTGTTATCAATCTGTTGCCTTCTTTGGAAAGATAGATATAAGGTAAGACGACCCACAACATGGAATTCCCGCTGGAGGCAGTCCTACGTATCAACTGTCTCCAGACTCCAAGGCCCGCCTCTTTGGCATACATTACAGTCTACAGGACGCACTGGCCTCTTCACTCTGTCCCACCAAGTGTGTACGTAGGAGGCGCTTGGTCTAGAACCCATCTCCTCCATGTGGTGGTCACCATTTCAAATTCCCTTTAGCATATCCGCGAAGCTCAGCCTGAAGCCTTCCACTATCCCTTTCTAAGTTGCGGAGGTATCGCTGTTCGGGCATGCAATAATCACTGACTTTGATGGGTTTTAAATCCTTCATTAAACGTTAGAGCCTTGCGTTTACTTTTATTATCCCTCTTCTTCTTACCACGCTGAATTAACAATATGGCGAACATCAGCCCCGCCGTCAATGGTACCACGAGCAATTCCAACCTTCCGAATAGTGTCCTTGAACCATCAGTCGATGAAGAAAGGCCCGAGAATGCCACGTCTATGGGGAATCAATCCAACCAGCCGGAGGAAGAATTCGTGCCCCTACCACTGAGACCATCAAGAACTTTGTCTTTCCGAAGCCAGATCCCATGGCACGTTTTCCCGGATGGACTCACCATCACCGTTCCGCTGCATGGTTCGTCAATTAACTTTCGCACTGATCACACTGGGCTGACCCTGATGTAGGAAGTTGTCCTGCGTGTCACCACCTTCACGATCAATCCGCAGTGGCTTTAACCCTCAATAGGATGGGCTCCACCAGGACCACTGTCACCTGCACGAACTGCGGTCACAAGTGGTTTGGCATTGGCGGCAACTCCAGGACCATGTCCTTTGTCTCGGAAGAGACGATCCTTGACCCACAGGACTTGCGACGACTGCAGAGGGACAGGTATTGCCATGACACACCTCAAAGCCCACCCGCCACGGCACCTCGTGGCATGGCGCTTGACACTCACGAATCCCGTACAAGTCCAGTTTCCCAGAGACTAGGACTTGGTGGATCTGGAATACGGTCCCGGGCAAGCTCGATACTTGGACGCATCTCGAGCCACAGATCGAAGGACGGTACTCGGAATCCAAGTCCAGTCGAAGCCTCACCCCAAGCCCTGCATGAAAAACCCCTTGACGACTCATCCAGGGGTATTTCTGCCGAAACTCCCGTGGCTCTAGCCCCCGAGACTGGTCTTCGGGTGTACGGAAGTCATGAACCTAGCCAACAAAGGGCAAAGAGGCAACATAAACATATGAAAGTCATCCATAGACTCAAGAAGATGGTGAAGAAGCTCAAGTGGCCGAGGCGGTCGAAAGGCCGTTCTGAACCTCTGCCTCTGGAAGTCGATGAACCGCTTCCGCATTCCACCTCTTCTTCTGCTGCAAACCCTCCAGCCGAACAGCCTTTAACATCGCCAGATGCCCGAACACCATCGCAAGAAGTTGAACACGAAGCTCACCTCCGTCCGTCCTCTGCTGGGTCGGCGAATGGATGTCCCGGAAGCTCGTCGCATACAATTATCCAGCCTGACGGGCAGACAGAGCAAGAACATGTGGACAGAATCTCCGGACATGGGAGACAACAGACTGAAAGTGACGTGGGAGAGAGCAGTGATGGCCCTCAACCAGCTGGACGTCTCCCGCTGGACCGCGCTGAGGATGTCCAACAACCAAACGGTTATATTCCATACAATGCAGATGGCCAGCAAGGATCGCATAGAACCCAGGAGGGGCATATTAACCATCTAGGACAGACTCACAATGGTCAGGAAGAATCTAGTCGCCAAGAGGTGGGATCCGAGGATGAGCGTCGCGACCCGGCTTGGGAGCAGCATGTGAAGGAGGTTCGTCGCCGGATTACTTTCCAACGCCGTTGGAGGTGCCTGTGCACAACAAATTGCAACTGCCGCGACCAGCATAAAGGAAGTGTAGCGCCACCAAGCAATCGGAAGACCAACTTCGCAATCCCTGATAATCCGCTCGTGGATGGAGCTTCTGACTACATGAGCGACGCAGGCACATCCGCTGTTGGCTCAGTCTGCTGGAACTCGTTTGACCTCAACCAACTACGAGAAATGGGCGCTCAATTCGATTTGGATATCACAGAACGGACGGATTCCGGAGTCTTTCGTCGCGACATGGTCTTCATGTATCGCTCACCGAGTTTGACTACCCGTGGGAGCACTGAATCCACCTTGGTTGCCAGCAACGGAGGCAGCCTGACCGGCATTATTCCTCTAGCACTTCGCTCCCCACCCACCGTCGTTGCCCGCATGTCTCCCGAGGCGATCCCGAGGATACATTTGCCTACTCGGATTCCTCGTGTGCATGCCCCCTCGTCGCGATTGAGGGATGATTTGCAGCAGTCGAGGTGGTCAATGCCCCAGCTATCGTCTATGGGTGCACTTGTCGCGAGGAGGTCCTCCGCACCAATGCTACTAGAACAAGTTAGTACTCAAGGTCGCAGCTGGGCTTGAGGTCGCGGGAGCGGGGATGATGATAGAGGACGGCATGTCGCGGCGGGGCGCGAGGGTTCGAGTCGCGGTGGGAGTCGCTTCCACTTTCATTCGCAGCCTGAGTAGGCTATTATTATTGTGCAACTGCATGGTGGCGCCCAAAATGTTTTCATCTACGTCCATTAACGGTATCGCCATTCGCCATGAGGGTATTTTCAGGCGCTCTATCATGGACTTAAGACGTTATTCCGTGGATGATGGTCAGGTTTCTCTGTTTCTTTATCGTGATCCCTTTTTGCTGCTACGCTATGTACATCAGTTCATATTCTTGGTCATGGACTTCGTGGTTCATAGAGCTCTTGCACTTTACCTCTACTCCATCGTGTTAACAACAATCGCTGTAAGAATTATGTCACCAACCCCGTGTAGAACGCCTTTGATGCAAGTTGTATACTCCGTACTTGTAGTGTAAATATCTGTAACTATCTCGTTGTGTTTTAAAGAGACATCTGGATCTCTGTCGATCTTGATCGATATGAAGATCGATAAAATTAAAGCGGGCACCGAGGGGCGGGATCAGGTGTCACAGCCCAGAGGACCCACACTACAAGTTGCTACTATCAAAGCCCAGTTAGACGTCATCACATATCCATACCAATAAGTATTCTTAATACTTACGCAAAGTCGCAAATTATTATCTGACAGCATCCCACTCCATATGACAACCAATCTATGGCATAGAGAAAATACAACCCAACATGAGTGGCATCAAAGACATGGTCAAAGGAGGCTGGCACCCTGGAACGAAAGAGGGGAGCCAGAAACAGAGCTGGAGAGGTGATTTCAAGGGGGTCAATCAAGTCGTAAGTCTGTTCGGAGAACGGCATTTGTTTGTATCGTCTGACTGAGTCCAGGCTGGACTCCTTGGGAAAGGTCAAGACAATAGCTCGAATGTGAATGCGCAGGCCAGGGCAGAACGTCAATCCGCCCCAGTATCGTCCCTTCAGGACCCAGACACATGGGGCCCGCCTCCAAGACGAAAGGATACGGGAGATATCGCAAGCAGTAGTGGATCCACGCCTGTCGCGCGTCCACAACAAGCGGTACCCCAGCCTTCTTCACCAGAGCAGGAAGCGGTTGAAGAAGAATCTCACCAGCCATACAGAGCAGATACGACGGGACTAGGAACTGCGAACCTACCGAAGCCCCCGGTCCGGAGAGTAGGAGCCACACCCCCTTCTCGGCCAGCAAGGACAGACGCTACAAGGCCGAAACCGAACCTACCTCCTCGACTCCCTCCGCGACAGAATACGAGCTCAGCATCCACGACGCCCTTGTCTCCTCCTCCAGCATATGAATCTCTGCAGAGACAACGAGAAGACGGACTAAACCAGTCGTCACTCAACAGCCTTGGAAGAGCAGGAATCAACATTCCGGAACTAGGGATATCCTCGAGTAGCAAACCCACGCCTACTTTACCAAGCCCCCTATCCACCGGCTCACCTGCGCAATCTCCTAGGAGTCACACTCTTTCCGGGCTAGGCTCCCGATTTTCCTCCCTTAAAACCCACGATACCTCCGATCCATCAGATTCGCCCGCGACCCCCAAACCGACTTTAACCTCCACCTCATCCGCCTTCAAAACCGCCACCGCTCTCCGCAATAACCCATCCTCCGTATCCGCCTCCGACGCGCGCGACGCAGCTACCACGGTCCATGGCATTCAGCAACGTCATGGCAGCCAGATCGCATCGGGATGGCGGAAAGCCGGGGAGGTGAACGAGCGGTATGGAGTCATGGATAGGGTTGGAAGAGTCGGTGCTCCGGAGACCACGCAGTCTGGTGGTTCTCTAGCATTGGCAGCAGGCAAGAAGGCGCCGCCGCCGCCGCCGAAGAAGAAGATGGGTATAGGAGAAGTGGATAGTGGTGGTGGGGGGGGACCACCGCCGGTTCCGACGGGGAGCAAACCGAGGTTCTCTTAGCTCTTGGTACTCCCTTTGGATATCAGGTACTAAGGCACTCCGAATAGGACGGTTATTGAAATCTGCTTATGTTGCAAGCGATACCTAATAGTAGTTTATGGACTATCTGGGGATGGTTCCCCTCCATTGACACACTCATCCTCATGAGATCTGAAGTCGAAATCCCAGGGTTCAGTGATTTCACTATTCATCGTCCTGCCCCAAGCTTGATCAAACCTTCAACAGCAGCTATGATCACCGCTCCACCGACTGCAACCCCTTGCACAATGCCATTTACGACCATGAGTCCGGTGCCGCCTGCACCTGCGGATTGCAGGATCGCGAAGGCACTCCCAGCAGCGACATCCCCAATCCCAGCCTGCACTCCAGCCGCAATCGTCCCTATGAAGGGTTAGCTCACTCTCAGTCTAGCCTCTAGGGTTCTGATGAAATGTTCAGTATACCAGCCCCAACTGAACCCAGAATGCCTCCTGCCACAAGGAAAGGCAGTGTCACGATGCTTGGAAAAACAACAAGCACTATGCTAGCGCCGATAGATCCGATCGTAGCTGGCCGCTCTTGTGCAAAATGGGCAACCTGGCTCTGTCAGTGTTACCGAAACTTATAGCAGCCTAAGTCGGGATTATCTTACATGACCGGCTATTTGAGGGGCCTTATCGCTAACGAACTTGCCGACCGTGTCTGCTATCTTCCCCAAGGTGTCTGCTGCGCCCCCTACAGCTGCTCCAACGGCCGGTCAGGAGTTCGTGGCGAATTCTTCGATTTTTGGCGCAACGTTCTGAGCGAAATGAGTGCTAGCTGCGTCCGCCACCTTCCCCTAGGTATCTGTAGCGTGGCCTATCACTCCTCCAACTGCTGGCCCGGCGTTCTCTGCGACTTGGCCGATCTGATATCATCGAAAAGTCAGTCACGATTCTTGAGGCCCGCAAACAGATTCCACTCACTCCGTTTCCGATGCCCTCCATCGCCTCTCCGAGACCCTTTCCGGTGCCCTCAAGTAACTCACCGGCACCCTTTGTTGCTCCCTCGATTAATTTCCCGAAGCTCTTCCCCATCCCTTCAAGGATTGGCCCAAGTGCGTGTCTAGGACCTGCCATATTTGCTTTCGTGAGGATACGTCTTCTACTGACTTCTTGCAAGGCTATTTAATGTAGTTCGAATGGGGATTCTAAGTAGTGAAGATGTTATGTATGGTGAGGGCAAGTGTTCATGCGCTACCACATAACACATGGAGCGTGCCGAGAGTGAGAGCTAAAAACTCAGATGCAGTTACAAATTTTGCTGGAACTTAACCCGCGATCGAATATTCTTTCGCTTTTTATCCCTTCCCTTGGTTTAATCAGTTCGTCTTATCATAAATACCCCAGGGCAATATATGTAGCCCACTGCAGTGTTGATATCGTTTCACCTCTAAAAAGTCTTGGCGTGACATCTCATGAAGACCTTACTCCTACCTCATCTCGCATACAATGAACATTTATCCTGCTGAAAGTAAAAGCAAACACCAGAATGACTATTCAACACTGCAATTCTCAAATATTCCAATTCATCCATCATTCCAGGTGTGTTTGGTGGCTTCCCGTCGCCGATTGGAGATGCAAATCAGTGGTGTCAGTCGAACGACGTCAAGATGGGTCCTAATGGAACAGCCTGCCATGATAGAGCGGTCAGTATCACTTGTTTGACGACAGCTTTGATGCTGTTCTGTCTCCAAATGCACTTACGAATATTGTATATTCGAACTGTCTCAATGGCAAACATTTTGCGAACCAGTCTCAAAGGTGTCCCAGAGAAATCCTTCCCCATATTCCTGGTCCAGCTTCTCGCGAAGCCTTTTTTTAAATACAATGCTCGATTCTTCATAAAACTTGGCAGATTCTCGCGTGTCATCACAGTCAGGACCATATAATTGTCGCCCAACGACCAAGCGTAGTGCAGCATTCTGATTGAATATTTCATCTCCCCATGAAGATCGTTAGCCAACTCTTGGACAACGCCAGTGGTAAATGCATCCCAAATAAGACTATAGGTAGCGGAATATTCCTCAACTTAGGCGAGTATGAGGTCACGTTTGCTTTTGTAGGATTCCTTGTGCCTATTCCACGCTTCCGCTAACTCCGCGGAATATCGGTTCATTTCGTTATCGATAGCCATCAATCTATCCTCGACATCTCTTAACTGCTTTTCTAGCACCTCCATCTTTGCATTGAGTCTCTTTCTTTTATGTTTGACCCACCCGTTAATCAACCAATTGGGTATATTAGAGAGACCTCCTTCGGGCACTGGTTTTAGGCCGGCATTCGTCGTGATCTGATTTGGCTCATTGTGGGGACCTCGCTTGACTGGCCGCTCTTGACTCAAGGTTTCTGTGGTGCTCTCAGCCAGGTGGTGATCAGACCTCGAAGCAGGAATCTGATTTCCGGCATTAACGACTCTAGTGATGGCGACGAAGGTGACGAGCGCAGAGAGAAGCTTCATTGTGGATATCAGGAAGATAGTGTCCGTAAACAAATTGCAGTGCTGTTTTCCAGGAGGATAGCAAAACGACTGGTATTTATGAGATTTTTGTGGTGTTCAGATGGAAGAGGTAGAATGAAAAGATAAAATTTGCCTAGAGCAAGTACCGTCTGAGACATAAGAAACTGTAACTTACCATATGTTTCAACTCGTACAAACAGGTGGTTCGTTGCTCAATTTCTTTCACTTTTTCTCTCGTTTGTTCATTTCAATTTGATCGTAGGCACCAGTCGTCCAGCCTGATCAGATGGGAATATCCCGAATTCTAGGCAGTGTCACAGTATCCTGCCCATGAGCGATGGAAACTTATTTCTCAATGCCATTGAGCAGCATGTATTAAGACCCTTGACTTTCGATGTGATCAATTCACTACCGCCGTCATTCCTAGCCAGTGCCTATGGAAACTCCAAGTAGTCGGTTGCCTCCTAGGCAAGTTCGAGCTGCTTCCACTCTCTAACCATGCTTAGGTATATAAGTATACAAAACGCTGCTATATCCATGTTCGTTTGAATCATCCAGTCCACTCAGCCATATGTAATAGTGCTTCCCTAGTCGTGTCAAAAGAACCAAAAACCATGATCCTGCAAACCAATATTCAGAACGCCCGTCCTACAGCCGGATGTCTTTCTTGATCGAAGCTCGGGCGCGGCCGTGTGTTCTCAACCGTAACCTCGACGTCAACAACTTTGCTGATCCCGCCCGCAAGCATCTTCTCGCTGTTTTTGCGGATGAGCTGCGCTGGTTCGGGATCAGTCGGGTATCGATATCCACGATCGTAATCGTTCCGGTCCGTCCGTTGATCATAGCCGTACCCGTATGTTTCCTGCCTATATGCATCGTCGTATCCATGCCTGTCCTCGCCGTCGCTGTCTCCTTCCATCCATCGCGTGGTGAGGCCTTTCGGCTGTGTACCGCTGCCGTCGACTCTTGGCCATATCGTTTCCCTACTTTCTGTTCGTGGCACATGGCCGAGCTCGACGCTACTGGCGCCCGATCGCGCCTCTCGTTCATGCAGGTTCTCCTTGCTGTTCTTCCCCGACCACAGGGCGGTGATGCTCCTCCCTCTTGAATGGTTCTGACTTCCTTTCGATGACTGATGTTCTCGGTCGTCGACTTTGCTCAACTTCCCGGTGCAAGTAGTCGTTGTTTGGGCTGAATGGTCTGTTCGAAACCCATCCCATTTCAGGTAGCTTTTTCGCAGACTCGTCCGGTGCGGACCTTTCTGGAAGGTCTTCGGAGGTTTCGGTAGGATCGGTTGGTCACTCCCACGATTCGTACCCCGCTCCAGATCGGTATTTTTGCTTGCTGCACTGCTCTCGCGGCTATGTGACTCCTCCTTGACGGACACGATCATATCCCCGTGCCGATGGTCTTTGATGTCCTGGTGTATTCCGTTCCCAGCGCCACCCTGCCATCCGCCATGTTGCGATCGAGTGCGGGAGTTAGTTCCGTATATTTGAGCAGAGGATGGGCCGGTCCTATCGCCGAAGCTGCCAAATGTCCCTCCTCCTGATCGGGTGGATTTATTCACGTGGTACGCAATGCGTTTGAAAAGTGGCCGCAAAGTTGCGAGCGAGCCAGCAGTAATGCCGGTGCCGAGTTCAATGGTGGACCAGATGGCGAGGTTCGACGCATTCCAGAAGAAATCGTCGACAAGGGCAATGTTTTCGATATAAGGGAAACGAGCGACAGCGGCGACGGAACCGGTCGTCCCCAGGAGGAGGATAAATCCAACTGATACCTTGGTTCTCCTATCCATCTTCGCATTCCACAGAAGGAATACCGGCAGGATTGCCAACACCCAGTCGGTCATCAGTGTTACCCCAGCCTGCTCGTAAGCCATGGCAATCTGGACTGTGCTGTTGACACATTTCTTCGTGACGACTCGGTCGAGATAGGAACGTGGGTTACCACACATAAATATGACAAAGAAGATGGACACGATATTGACTATAGTGCCGAGACCGATGACGATAAAGACGAGATATCGTTGCCACTTGACGATGATGAGCCGTAGGAAGAGGATCGCGAGAGATATCTTCATAAAGATGTGCGTGAGGACGTAGAATACCTCGTTTATAATCGACCACTACTCGTGTAAGTCTTGACGTTAAACAAGGCATATCAAATGGATATCTTACCGTCAACGCCCGGCGTAATTGCGCCCCATCTCGAAGATGAGTGCCACCCCCATTCGCCGCAACGATGAACAGCGATATGCAGTTCATCGAGAATGCGACCTGATTTAAGTCAGCGCTCTCTAATACCGTATACAACCTCCGTTGATGCCATGCAAACTTACCAGCGCGATGCACATGTGAGCATCATCCCAGCCAAGTGAATGAATCATTCGGCCTCGAACCCATAATCTCAGTGACACTGTGAGGTATGTGACAAACAGCATTACTGCAGCCACGGCAATTAATGCATGACTCCTCGACTGAGTTTCTTCCTCCGAATGGTTCATCGTCGTAACGACCATGGTGGTGCTAGGTGCCTCTCCTGATAGTTAATTGCGGTTTGAGGGTTTGTAAACAAGTATCCAGACGCTCAGAAGCAGGCATAAAACGGCGAGAGGGGAATAAAAGCATTGAATGAAGGATCGACAATTATGAGAATAATATGAATAATGATAGCCACAGCAAAAGAGGAGTGTTCGTGCTATACGTCAGGCGATTGTTGGTATCTCGTAGAAAATAGTACCATCTTCGCTTCTAGCCGGCCGTAATAGGTCTCAACTAGACAGATTTAATTGCGGAAGAGTATACCAAAATTCGGATTTCGTCTCTGAAGGAGTTTTCTTCACATACGATCCATCGGTGCCCTGAGAAACAGCGAATAGCCTACAATATGACTGCACCATGAATGAGACGCACCCCAAACAGCTACGACTTACAGGAGAACACTCGACCCCAGTCAGCGAATGACGAAAGGTAATCCGGCGAACCAGCCATGTATTGACCGAGGTACCAGGGGGCCATGGCGAATTCAATCGGATAGATCTCAATAAAGGGAATATAGACCGAGACCCCGGGGATGCCGATATTGCGCTGCATGAACGGGTTTCTGGGGAGGATGACATACCGTATGGAATCCAGGGTAACCCTAGGGGTTGCAGAGTAGGGCCTGGGGATATGCAGCAAGACACCGCAGGGTTCTTGATGTGACTTGAAACTGCTTACCCTCCACTCACGTATTTGACACACCGAGTGGTTGAAATTAGAACGTCAGAAATCCAACTCCAGCTCCGGCATGGATCCTTTGTCGGATGCAGCATCGCAGCCCAGGCCGGGAGATCCATGGCTCCTTGTCGTCAGAACGGTGTCTGCAAGGGCTGCTTCGTTCCGGATAATTTACTTCAAGCCTCGACCATGTGAAGCTTTGTTTCTTGGAAGTATTAACAGCAACACGAGCGAAAATGGATTGCGGAGCCCATCTCAACGGCTGGGATTCTGAGCATAGAGTGGTGGATAGAAGCTTCGTCCGCATATTCCTCATCAAAATAGACCCAAGGGAGGGGCTCACCGCAAAATGCTATTGAGAGACCTGGGGTCAGCTAGGCTCTTGTTGGGTTGTCATCTTTAACATAAGAGGCCTGAAATTTCCGCCGGAGGTTTCCAAGAGCCTAAGTCGGCGTAATGCAAGAAATGACCCCCTTAGAGGCTCCAGCCGAGAGGCGAGAAATAGTCGGCACTTAGATCATCTCTAGCGAATGGAAATTCGAGAGCAATATAAATCCCTAGAGGTTCCAATATTCCGCACGTTGATCCGGGGCAAACAAGCATGAATCCTTCAGGGATATCTCGTCCAAATGCAGGAGAAGCTGGACGAGGTCGTTCTTCGGGCACTTCTTTCGTTGTCTGATTGTCTTGTTGGCTGGAATTCGCCACGCGATGTTCATGATGCCTGTCGAGGTTGGACGGTTGGTATGCCCATACCAGAAGGTCAGACGGAAGACAACAACCGTTGAAAACAAAGATGGAAGCATGGTTGATGTTTTAGGACGATGGAAGGATTCGATTGGAAACGATTGGACACCAGAAATTAAATTGATGCATTTTCCCCGTGTTTAAACTTTCTCCTAGCTTCGCTCGTGCAGGGCGACACCTCCAACTTCTTCCAACTCCTCACATTCACGGTTCATCCCTTTCCTATACGCACTCGAAAATCAGCCCACAGCGAAGCTGAGCTGAGATCCAGTCAGGATAGATATTCCTACATTCCAAAGGATGGATGAGGACTACTTGTCATCACTCATCAGAGACAACATTCGCAAGACTCTAGGAACCAACGAACAATTCTAGAAGACCTTATTGTACCCCGCAAGTCATTTCAAGAGACCATTCGGCAAAGCCACCTGAGCACATGCGATAGTCATTCAATAACCTCCACCCGGAACGGACTCTCAGTCCATATTGACAATGTGGATGAGGCGCGTGGCATAGATGAATCGAGAGCATCACGCGATGCAGATCATTGGCCCAGGATCCAGGTTCCTGCAGGTCGCAAGCGAAAGCACCAGTACGGAATGTTATGAGGATGTTATGGGCATCTGGCGGATCAATCTGCCTGAGACCCTCGCGCTCACAAGGATGAAGGGACCCAAGCGAGATCCCGTCCCCGATATCGACCCTCTCGCGGGTAATCTCCATCCGGAAGATCTCTAAGGTCGACGAATCTCTCGATCGTGGAATGTGGGGTTGCTTGTGATCTTGTTTCACTTGTTTCACACCCCTTCTCTTCTGTGAGTTCTGTCATAAATCCCAAATACCGGTTCCAACCTATGTTTTATCAGAATCTTGAAGACCTTCCTTGTTGAAATCTGGTGTTTGAGACCAATCGCGTGGATATTACCTAGGGTACACGAACACCCAACCATAGGAGACAACAATGGGCAAGTGGAAATAAGAACAAGGCATTTTGCCTTTAGTTCTCCGTCCCCGCGTTGAGGCCTCAGATTGTATCCATAACGGAGGACCCATCCGAAAAAGGCGGTGGGCGTCCCAATGCTGCGCCACCAGTCCAAGTGCAGTCCAAAACAACAATTCGACTGAATTATTTTGGTAAGGCTGGTGAGAATTTCGCACCCGGTTTCCTAATTGATACTAGTACAGAATAAAGTGCATCAAGTAAGTCGCTCGCGATCATGCGCTCCTAGCTATAACTAGATATACGTTTATAAGTACATGTTCTCGAACTGTTCGGGTGTAAGCGCTCTCCATGCAACACTTCCATAAGCATACGAAAGGGTGTTCGGCGGGAGGCTTCCGTCTACTCCTGTTAAGTGACATATATCAGCTACTCTATATTATCAGGCCTATCTTCTTTTTACTGACGTCGCTGCCGCTTGCGCGGACCGAGTCCTTTCCAGGCATTTGAAGCCGCCTCTGCTGCAGCGTGCTTAGGGCGCTCTCTAGGCACATCTCGAGACCCAAAAGAGCATTTTGAGCATCGACTTGGGTAAATCTTTCAGCGTAGAAGCTTCCATATTCCCAAAGTTATAATTCCATGCCATTGTTGGGGTACAGGAAGCATATACTCCGCTTGTAGCGAGAGCCATATTCCGTGCTTCGATCAGTTCTGTCGGGTCCCATTCCCGGCCTGTCTTTGCCAAAATATTGGTCATTGTATTCAAGTCACTACAGTTATGCAGAGTAGGCTGAAGCCGTCGACGCTCAATATCAGCAAAGAACTCTTCTAACGACGGAGGTTGCTAGGCAGATTGTGGAGGGGATCGGGACATAGTGACAGCCATAGTAATAGGGACAGGTCTACTCCGGTTCAGCAGGAAGCTATAGCCATGCTGCATGTCATGGCTCCTAAGAGCATTATAGGCTTCTTCATAATACTCGTAAAGACAATCTAGAGGAAGGCGATATCCTCCATGCTAAGGTCTATGAGAGAAGGAACAGATTGAACATATTAGAAGTTGTCCCTAGACGAAGACAAAGGAAAATGCGCGCTAGGCCCAGTTCAGCGATTATTTTCCACCGTACTAACTACCTCAATCCATCCCAACTTCGAGTGCATGTGAAGCCATCTCTTCCATGAATTGGTTCGATTGCCATCGGGTTCATGGCTCAAATCATCCTCTCGTGAGGCCCATGCCTTCTTAAATCCGGTGCAACAATGCGCCTTTTCAGCTCGACGATTACCCCAGCTTCAGCCTGGCCGAGTTTGCCGAAGATGAGGTTCCTCGCTATGCCATACTCTCGCACACTCACACTTGGGGACATGACGGCTATGAAGTCACGTACAAAGACATCACAGATGGCACTGGAAGTGGCAAGGCTGGCTACGACAAGCTTCACTTCTGCGCAGTCCAAGCCAAGACTGACGGGCTGGGCTACTGCTGGATAGACACCTGTTGTATCGACAAGACAAATGCCGCCGAGCTTACCGAAAGTATCAACTCTATGTTTCGATGGTACCAGAATGCCATCAAATGCTATGTTTTCCTTACGGATGTCTCGGCTTCTATGAGCGAAGATGACAGAGACTCCCAGGTGCGGAATAGTCGGTGGTTCACTCGAGGCTAGACGCTACAAGAGCTCATTGCTCCCCGATGCGTCGAATTTTTCTCGCAAAAGCGCGAGCTGCTTGGAGACAGAAAGACGCTAGAAAAGCAGATTCACCAGGTTGCTAACATTTCCATTCACGCGCTTCGAGGGGAGCCGTTGTCTCACTTTACTATCGATGAGCGCATGTTATGGGCGGCAAACAGAATAACCAAGCGACCCGAAGACAAATTTTACTCTCTACTTGGAATTTTCGATATTCATATGGAAGCTATTTACGGCGAGGGCGAGCATCACGCATTTCGGCGGCTCCTTAGGGAGCTCGAGAGATATTCGGAAAACCACCAGTTAAGCGAGTTGTTTCGGGATCAACTACTAGTATCCTCCGCCAGACAGCCAAAAACACCCCTAGAAAATCCGACATGGGTTGTGCCGTTTGAGCGGAACTCTCGCTTCACTGGCCGTGAGCCTGAGCTGGCTCGGCTCGAAGAAATGCTGTTCAGCAAGCATCGTACCGCGAAACTCGCGATCACTGGACTTGGAGGTGTAGGAAAGACTCAGCTTGTTATCGAGCTGCTGTGCCGCGTCGCCGACAAGCAAAAGCACTGCTCGGTTATCTGGATTTCCGTAGTCAACATGGAAAGCCTACACCAATCATACTTGGACGCTACTCGGCAGCTTGGCATATCTGGATTTAAAGACAACAAGGCGGATATAAAGAGACTGGTGCAGGACCATCTGAGCAAAGAAAGCACAGGGCGGTGGCTACTAGTGTTCGATAATGCCAACGACATCGATATGTGGATTGCCAAGGCTGGACCTGGGCTGCAGCAGCTTGGGCAGGGATCGCACCCTTTGATCGACTACCTCCCAAAGAGTAAGCAAGGAGCTGTTATATTCACGACGCGGGACAGGAAGATAGCAGTCAAGCTCGCGCAACAGGACGTCGTGGACGTTCCGGAGATGGGAGAAGACGCGGCTTCCCAATTACTAGGGAAGTGCCTGGTTAATACGGAGCTCGCCAAAAGCGGGAAAGAGACGGGTGCACTCCTTTTACAGCTCACCTACCTTCCGCTAGCCATTGTCCAGGCAGCGGCGTACATTAATGAGAATGCAATATTACTTACAGACCATCTGTCGCTCCTGGTCGAACAGGAAGAAGAGGTGATTGATCTTCTTAGCGAGGAGTTTGAAGACGACGGGAGGTATCGCGATATCATGAATCCGGTAGCCACAACGTGGTTAATCTCGTTTGATCAAATCCGGCGGCGCGATCGGCTGGCGGCCGATTACTTGTCGTTTATGGCCTGTGTAGAGCCAAAGGACATTCCACAGTCTCTTCTTCTGCCAGGGGCGTCGCGGAAGAAGGAGGTGGATGCGATCGGAACACTTACCGCGTATTCGTTCGTCAATAGGCGGCCGGCCGACGAGTGCCTCGATCTCCATCGGCTGGTGCATTTAGCAACGCGGAACTGGTTGCGGAAAGAAGAGCTGCTTGCGCAATTAACCGAGAAAACTATTATGCGACTAGAACAAGTTTTCCCCGATGATAACCACGAGAACCGAAGCGTCTAGAGGGCTTACCTACCCCATGCGCGCTATGTGCTAGAGTCCAATCTTGTGAATAAAGATTGGAAACCCAGGTGGATCTTATGTGGAGGTACGGAATGTGTCTTTACAAAGATGGACGATGGAATGAGGCTGAAGAACCGATTAATCAAGTGTTCGATATGGAGAAAAGAGTGCTTGGCGCGGAGCATCCAGACACGCTGACCAGTCTGGCCAACCTGGCGTCGACGTACAGGAACCAAGGCCGATGGAAGGAGGCCGAAGAGCTGGAGATACAAGTGATGGAGACGAATGCGAGGGTGCTTGGCGCAGAGCATTCAGACACGCTGACCAGCATGGCCAACCTGGCGTCGACGTACAGGAATCAAGGCCGATGGAAGGAGGCCGAAGAGCTGGAGGTACAAGTGATGGAGACGAGTGCGAGGGTGCTTGGCGCAAAGCATCCCTCCACGCTGGCTAGCATGGCCAACCTGGCGTCGACGTACAGGAATCAAGGCCGATGGAAGGAGGCTGGAGAGCTGGAGGTGCAAGTGATGGAGACAAGAAAGAGGGTGCTTGGCGCAAAGCATCCAGACACGCTGACCAGCATGAACAATCTTCCCTTCACGTGGAAAGCGCAGGGTCGAGATCCAGAGGCTATCGGTCTAATGATAGAGTGTACACGGTTTCGAGAACGGGTTCTAGGGGCTACCCATCCGCATTTCATTTCTTCCTCGAAAATCTTAGCGGATTGGGAGCTGAACGAGGCGCTCGTAAAATAGAAGAGAGCAAAGAGCACGAGGATGATAGCGCTATCGGGTAAAGTACAGTCGCTAAACCCTAAATATATAGTCAGACGATTACCACGTCTTCGTGGGGCTTCTAGAACTTCGTAAGTCTTGACCGTATGCTATATGCATCTCAGAAGCTATGGCAGGAGGTTGTGATGTTGCTGGGCTACTAATTCGTTCACACACGCAGGGGGAAATTATATTAGTAGGCTGGTTCCTTCACACAGGGACGTCCGCATCGCCCAAGAGCGTTAGTATGCCCAGGCTAAGATTAGAGGGTCCGGTCAGGTTGTGTTTTATAATCGATACGTTGTTATGTAATAATCCCGTGACTGTATGGGTCGCCGAAAGCGGAAGTTTGATTGGCCGCAAGTACCGATTGGCGTGCTAGAAATATTTGGGATCGCTTCCAACACGGCGCATGCCTCAGATGAAGACTTTCTAGCATGATAATTGGATTTTGTGTCTTAGATTAATTTGTTTTATGTCTTTGCAAAAAGAAAAAACGCGGTGGGTGGCGTTATAACGTGGAAGTACTATGGCAGTGTCTATTATGCACTTCGTCCACTCCGCAGAATGCAGCCAAGCAATTGTAATTTTTATGGTTCACAAAGCCTCCATATTTAAAGGCGGCTGGAAAATCTAGTTTATATAAATTATAAGAATTACAATATGCGTGGAGCCTCTGAGCTGTTTGAAGTCAAAGTACCTCGACTTCGTTCCAGCACGGCGTGTGTTCCATCACGTAGGGGGGAAGGTTAATTAGCACGGGTGGGAAATTCTCATTCGGCGGGAAATTCTCAGAATCGGGTGTTACGGCACGGTAGCTGGATGCACACAACATACACGTAGCCAAAGGTATTCTAGATTAAGCTAAGGAATAGAACAAGAAGGGGAAACCTGTCGCCCGTGACGTGCTAAGTGGTTGGAACTTGGAAGGCAAAATAGTTTGATGAGCAAGCAGCAGAGTTGTATTGTTGTAAGTTGTTCTCGGTATCTGAAAGTTGCGTTCAAGTTGCGTGTTCTTATGTCAATGCCTGGTCCCCTGGCCCTCCAGATATATGAGATTCGTGGCAAGTTTATTAATGCAGTTTGTAGCCTCGAGCTCCCTTAGATGAAACCTTGGTCTGCGACAAAACCTTTCTTGTTTACATCGACGAGGGTTGGATTTTGATTCAACCCTTGACCTAATCAGGCTTAGGCTCCCAGCCTTAGCCAACCAAGGGTTTCAACCCATAATATCGGGAGGGAAAATCTCACCAGCCACTTATCTTTATGCTTGTGACAGATACATACAGTTGGAGGAGCGGTAGGCAGAGCGTTGGCATTCATATAATCTTCTAGAACGGTCACAGTAGTGACTAGTTACTAGTTAGGTATAGCTAATATGTAATCCCGAGGATATATCGTCAACATAATATGTAGTACCTAGCTCCTAGGAAGCTATCACACACTTATAGGTAAGACCCGCATCTTTGTCTTTGCTAAATGACTAGGCAGGGGCTCTGCGCCATTCGTTACATCCGCCTGGACTGCATTTGTGAGTTCCGGATTTCTCGTTACCCTTAGAATCGAAGAGAAATCAAACGCGTAAGAAGCACCGTTGGCGACGACCGCAACGAAGCCAGCCAAGACTCCAAGAATCGAGAAGCCAACCGCCAATCCATATGCGAGAGCTAGATTCCTAGGCTGATAGACGTAAATGTTTTGCGGGCTGAAAATCGTGAGATTGGTTGGGGCCGTGGCATTCTCGAAATCTCTATAGGTCAAAGTCAGCATCCGTTCTTCGTTAACATAATAGGGGTATACAGACCGATACGTGGAAGTTCCGTATAAGCTCAGAGTGAGGTTTTGAAAGAGCTCTTCCGCTGCTTCAGCCATGGTGAAATTCCTCCCTCCACCCAAGTTCGCTATCTCACTATTAAGAAACGTGGTATCGCCAGACCCGGTGGCCTTTACGGTGGCTAAAATAGATCGCATCTCGAAAGAATTGATCAAAGCCGTGTTCAGCGCCTCAGTGTTCATGTTTATCTCGAGTGAGACAGACCATGACAGAGACCCAACCACAATGCGACCGAAAGCCTCAAAAATAGACATGTAATTCTCATTCCACGGAGAGTATATCGAGTTTTCGTTCTGGTAGTTCCAATACTGAAACGGTCGCAGATCAGTCAGATTGCGGATCTTAATCGATTGCTGTCCGTTGTTGAACTCGAAGAGGGCATCGTATGATGCATTATATAGTCCACAATCATTGATGGCAGGAGGATTCCAAGTCCCGTTGATAGTCTCATTCTTAGTGGCAATGTATAATCTAGCCATGTCTCCAGAATAAAGATCCAGATACCGTAAGGTGCTACTCGACGAGGAAAGACTCGAGTTGTGAAATTTCTCCAAATCTGTCGTGAAGTTGGCTGATGAGGGAACCATAGAAATGTATGGCTGAGTACGAAAAGCCCATGTTTTGTTGAAAGCATCGGTGACGGAGCTGTTCGCGGGTATGCATTTAAGGGTTGGTCCATAAAATTGCAAGGCATATGATGCGTTGGGGGCAGGCGCGGGAATACTCAGCATCGCGCCGCTGTACGCAACAGTAGTGGCAATTCTTTGCATGTCGGCCGTGGTTCTATAATAAAACCCAGCACCCTGAGTTTCGAACATGGGATATGTCCAGTTGATGAGTGGTATCTTAACCAACTGCGAGGTTGATGCCATGTCAGGGGCCGGTTCGACAGTCAAGGTAGCGGGTGTTATGATTGCAGAGAACGGAATCAGCCTAATGAGTTCAGTAATAGTGGCAATAATTGAAATGTTGCGAAATATATTATTCTTACCAGCAAAGCAAGGCTAAACACAGGACCAGCGGACCTTGGGTCCAGGCCACGAGGTCCAGCAACTTCCAAGAATTGGAGAGCACTCCAAACCAAGAATCGATGGTGGTAACTTTTACTGCCTTCTGGCGAAGAAGACTCCAAACGTTCTGGACACATGCTGTCCCCACCGCTCCTGTCAGCACCACTTTAACCAAAAAAGCGAGTCCAGTGCCGATTCGAAGGTTCCACGTTTGAGAAATAGAGCTGCTGACGACTTTGCTGTTCAAAGATGTATAGAAGAAATGATGTCCAAGTACAAGGCCAATTCCAGCTAGCAGATAGGCCGACATAAGAGTTGGCACCCTCCAATGAATACGATGTTCATTCTCGGTAGTCGCAATGCTCTCCTGTACGTGTGCCATCATGGGATCTTTGGCCTCATTTCCTGATTGCATGGGAGAGTAGGAAGCATTTGCAACATGCTTGGTATCTCCAGGGTCCATGAGTGAAAGGGGCAGTCGTCCGGCAGTTGTCTCTTTGGAGCTGTGCTATTCCAAACGGGCATCAAGATCTAAGAAGTATCTGACAGTCTAACATCAAGGTAACGGCAGTCTGTTCATTCGGGAGAATTGAAAACTGAAAACAGACATTAGCTTAGATTTTCTTGGCCCCCAAAGAGAGTCGCGGATCATGCTGCATACAGCACCTCAAATTATCCTACCCCTTGTTGAACTCTTTTCTCACTTGTAAATCCACCAAAGGAAGCTAATGTTGCAAGGTGCCCCTGTTGATTCCAATGCCACGATTTATTCCAATCGCTGCCCGTTACCCCTGGGCTACGCCTAATCGGGACTCCTCAGTCTTTTCCCGTGTATCCGTGCCCCATGACCGCCCCACAACCTGTGCTCCCACACCAAACGCTCAACCCACACCAAAACCTCAATTTTACCATTATCTTCAAGTCTATACCACCAAACATGCCTCACCAAACATGCCTAAACGCGTCAAATATTTAGAGGAGACTAAACAGAAAGCAGTCAAGGAGGCTATAGACCAAAAAAAAAAAGCAGGAAAAACCGTCTATATTTCAGCATTGGCGCGTGGGTTCCAAATTAGCCGGTTCGTCCTTCAAGGCCGCCTTCAAGGAAAAACATCCTATTGATGGAAGCTGGAATGCATCGGTCGACCCCCCCACGTGATATTGAGCCAAATTAAGCACTCTGATTGGTTGAAGGCTGGTGAGATTTGTCCCTAACATTTTTTGACGATGTCCCTAAGGCGCGGGCACCTCTCACCCGTCTTGGGCTCTCCCACCACCCGTCCTCGGCACCCGGCTACCCATTTTGGGCACCTACGATCACCCGCTTTAGGCAACCCCTATCCCCCGTTTTAGGTTAGCCGCTTGTTGCGGGGCAGAAGTGGTCGAGGGCCGTATAGGCGTCAAAGAGTGCCCAAAAGTTTGGCACGGTGTTGTGAAGACGACAATAGTAGAAGACTGATTATATTGATTGATTTCTATGGAGACTAACTAGTTAGTTGGGGATGTCTACGCAGTAAGTTAGATATAGACGGTTGATCACCTGACTAATGATGCTTGAGGCATCAATCCTGTGGTGAACAGAATCTTTCGCACATCCGTATCGTCATTATCAATCCAATCCAGTTCATAAGATTAGTCTCTTAGACTGGGAGATGCTCCAAGAGCCCACCTCATCAACCTGTGTTGAAAATTGCTTGCCGGTATAGAATCGCCCTGCAGAGAAGTCTCTCGTTCCGCTCAGCCCCCTGTGAAAGGGTGGTGAGAGGGCGGAACCTGTTGCCCAGAGGGCGACGAGGCAAAATGGATACGAATTGTTATCAAGCTACAAAAATCCGCCAGATCCATATTTTGGAATCTAAGTAAGAGAATCGATATTCAGGGCAGCTAAAGTTTAGCACAAAGCGGCGCGGTCGCAATTGTTGAGTGCATCAAAGTCCTACTATGTCACTATGGGATCAGACCACATATCACCTAACTTGATTTTCGGCAAGGCTCCTGCAACCGCAGGATTAGACAGTGTAAGTGACAGCTTGCCGTGCTTTCCAGAGTCGCACCGCAGCTCAGTTCTAATTACCAGTAAATCTTTGTTTCATTCCTAGTCAGTATGAATAGCGCTGATAACATTTAGAGGGAGAACTCGGAATATTTAATGCCTGGTAACGAGCCTCAAACCAATCCAGTGGAAGTCCAGCATGCGATGTACCCTCCCGGCCCAAGCCAAAACGCGCATGGATCCAATCTCATGACGGTGGATGGCAGGGCCGTACGGCTCTTTTTAGAGTGGATCACCGGATTTGGAGCTTCCTCGCCTCCAGCAGACGAAGAGTTCAAAGCTTTCGCTTGCCTTACACGTGTCCCCGTTGATGTTGTCCGAACTTGGTTTGCGAATTATCCTGTCGTATCTGGAAATGACTCAGGCTTCCATTCTGGACATCAGACTTCAACACTCTCAGCTATCCCTAGCCTACCGTCATCGGGCACCGCTGCAAGCTCGACTCCACTTAGTGAAAAGACCTGTCCCAGAAGCCGAAGAGAATTGTGCAAGCGGACGTTGGATGAGAGTTGCTTGGGACGAAGCTCAGACTCGATCTATCAATGTACCCGAAAATGCGGTAGACGATTCCGGAGACGGGATATGTGGGAGAGACATGAATGTATATTCCTCCCTTCTCCACGATACCACTGCTCGATTTGTGTCTCCGAAAAAGGAAATGCGAGGGTCTTGTGTCGGAAGGACAAACTCCGGGAGCATTTCAAGCGCTTCCATCCGACGCTGAATCCGAAAAATTACGAAATCTCTAGCAAAATTAAATCTGCGGGAGTGCTTCCGACCTGGTGCGGTTTTTGTCAAAAGCGCGACCAATTTTTTGACCTCGATCAGCGATTTGGACACATCGCAAACCATTTCAAAGAAAGGAAGTGCATGCTTGAGTGGGTCGATGAAGAAACTCAAAAGGAGGTCACAGAACAAGACAATGACGACTTCGGTGGGAACGAGCCTGGAGAGGACTGGAATTTCTTCGAAGACCTCGACTGGAACGACCTTGACTTCAATGGTAGCGGACACAGCTCAGCCGGTAATGGATATATCTCCAACAGCAACTACTCCGGGTTCGGCGGACACAATTTCAGTCGATTCTGTCTCCGGATGGCTGACCATAGTATCATCTATCCTCACCTGACCCCTGAGAACTTTGTCAGTCGGCGTCTCTTGGGCGTGGGAGCCTTTTCAATTGTTGATGAGGTTATTGGGCTACTCTCTTTGATGAAATTTGCGCGCAAAGTGCCCACTAGCTCTGCACGCGCTGCCTACCATGCGTACAACGAAATCGAAATCTTGAAACGCATCAGCCATCCACACATTGTCTCGTTGGTTGGGACCATCTCATTCAAAGGTCGGACAGCATTGCTTCTGTTACCAGCCGCCGATATCAACCTCAGAGTTTGGTTACGAAACCTTGATGAAGCTAGACCTCAGCGTTTAGGGAAACTAGTTGCAATCTTCTCGCAGCTTACCTCTGGATTGCATTATCTTCATGGAAGAACGCCGCCGATTATTCATGGAGATATCAAGCCTGAAAACATCCTCATTATTGAGTCAAGGTCCCGTCCCATCCAGGCCTTTTTGAGCGACTTTGGCTCTGCACAGCGATTTGGACCCCGCAGGTATGGACAAGAAATTGGCCCCATAACAACGGTCTATGCTGCCACTGAATTGAGACGGCCAGGAGCTACTATCAGCCGGTCTGCCGATATATGGTCACTAGGATGTATCATGCTCGAAGCACTGATCTGGATTCTTGATGGAAAAGTTCCTGATAGAGCACTTTCCGGAGTTTGGACTAAACCCATGGAGCAGCTAGCACACCTAGGGACGATTTTGGAATATCAGAGAACGCCGTTGATAGGCATGTTCGACTATATCAAGTCAATGCTTAACGAAGATCCCGCAAAGAGACCTGATATTGGTACGGTTGGGAAGGCCTTAGAATCCTGCATCGAGTATGTTATTCTCAGGCTTGGCCTTCTCATTGAAAATGAATAACGCTGACACCTCATTGGCTCCGATCTAGATTAGGTGGGGTTCTCAAACTCCCCCATTACCCTCTGGCGGTCCGTAGAGAGCGTCATGAAGAAGGTGCCCGCAAATCTAGTAACGAGTCGCAACTCGATCTAGACCTTCTCGGTCTTAGCATGAAACCACTCGACGACTATTTTATCCTAAGACATGCTCTGAATAATTCTGGTCAAATCTGGGACTTGCTCCGGTTGCACAGTCGACTCATTGAAACCAGGTCACTCGATATCGTTGAGTCAAGTCGCTGGAATGAAATGTCGAACAAGTTACGTGCTGATTCAATGGCCGTGGAGCTTGGCATTGGATCGGAGGACGACGATACGAGCCTAGAAACTGATATTGCCTCGGATCCGTTTGTCGAGTTGAAGATCAGTACGCAATCTCCACCAGGGAGCATGCGGGATACCCCTCTTGTTCCTTCACGCCGCTGCGTAGTTGAATCATGGCTTTCCAACCCCGAAAGCTGGTCACTTAGGAAGGCACCGGAATTCGCGCACCGTTCACTGCCAGTTGTTGTCCCTAGCTCGCAGAAAGTCTGCCTTCATTCGCAAGCTAAGGAATTCCCCAACTCTTTCGAAGTTTTGGATTCAGAGGTCGAATGTGGAAGCACTGATGCCAACGTGCGATCCAAGCCTCTCAAGTTCTCATGCTGGTTTGAAGGCTTCGAAGAGCAGTCATCGGCGGGTCCATCCTATTATACTGGGGAACGGCTATACTCCGTTTTGTCAATGAACGAATCGCAATATGAAGGATCCTGGACTGCTGACGAATTTGCCATTGGAGGTAAGATTGAAAGAGCTGCTACGCACACTCCAAGGCTGGACGGGGACACCATCGGCACCTTGACTTCTGGAATTATGCGTTCCCCGATTGAGGACGCGTTTGGATCCAAGAGCATGACGGAGAGCAAGGATCGAGATGATGGCTTGGAAGACCTCTCATCGGCATATGACAATCCTGTAGCCTTCGATCTAGGGTTTCCATTCTCTCCTAGTTAGTTATCCGAGTCTCGTAGATAGAATGGTAGCGGCTATCCCAACCCTTTCGCATCCTGAAGAGAATCTAAGACCACACAAAGTAATGAAAAGCAGAAGAAATAACTGCGATCATTACCAGCATGACCATGGTGCTTATATGGACGTATTCCTATTTGCTAGATATCCTACCTGCTCCTAGATTTCTAATGCTGATTTTATAATGTAATCTGTTATTTGCAACCAGAACGCCACTTACATGGACAATCCACTTCAGAACGCATTAATTAGAGAGCACCAATGGGCAAGGATGTCGGTTATAACCCCAATCGGTTGTTTACAACCGCCAAGACCTGTCTGCATGCAATTGGCTTATAATTAGTTGGTCCTCGACCGATTCTGCTCATAGATCGACCTCAAACCTCATTACCCACCTCCGTACCCGCCATAGGTGAAAACGCGACTCGCCGAGCCAGTCGTCAACGTCGATGACCTCTCTCGGTCGATTCGTCCGCCTTCCTAAGGCAAGTCTAAGCATTGAGCAAGCATTGATTCAGTGGGTAGTCCAGACACGGCAGCCATTCACGGTGGTGGAGCATTCTTTATTTCAAACAGTCTTTGAAGCTGGCAATGTCAAGCTTTCCGTTAAGAGCGCGGATACTCTCTATAATTAATCGAATCAAGGATGAGTTCTCCAAAAGCGGAATAGAGCTACGCTCAAGCAAGGCTTGGCACAAAGTTTGCCACTCCATTGCGCTATCGCTCGATGCTTGGACGTCCGAGAATCAATTACCGATCTTGGGTGTGATCGGTTATTAGATCACCCTAGACTTCGAAAAGCGAGAAGTCCTCCTAGACTTTGCGGAAATCCAGGGGCCTTACTCAGGCCGAAACCTGGCCGATTGCCTTCTTACCATAATTTACGAACTAACTTAGACATCGCTCCGAAAGTTCTAACTATTACGGGCGACAATGCTTGCAATAATGGCACCCTTTATAATATTCTATATACCGAGCTACTAAAAGAATATAAGGATGCGGATGATGGCCTCGGTCTCAAGCCACTATGGTAATGCGATTCCATGGCCGGAGAAGCTTCATTCGTTATTTGGCTGATGTTATCAATCTCGTCTACAAGGAAATTCTAGCAGCAATAGGATCGAGTTCGAATAGGGAAGCTAAGATAGCGTAAGATGAATTGGAACTTCATAAGAACCGGTCCCTCCTAACCACGAGTGAGGAGAAAAGTGCCATTGCCAAGATCCGTCTTCTCGTCCTCTGGGTTGCCCGAAGTCCACAGCGCCGCCAAGATAGAAGCTCGTCTCTCCAACTAAGCAAATTAACTACGACGTCGATACTCGATAGAACTCGATATATATCATAATCACCCAGGCGATCCGCCTTCGAAGAGAGCTTACACAGTTTATACGCACTCATCCCGACGTGAGGATACTACATCTTGTGGACGCAGAATGGTCCACCCCGGAGCAAATTGAGAGGATTCTGAAACCGTTTTGGGATCATACTAACCACGTTTAAAGAGTTGTCCGAGCCTTATGGACTGCCTCCTAATATATTGCGCCCTCGATGACTTTCTAGACGACAATCACACGGCGAAAGGCGGGTTTAAAGACGTGGGTATCAACCTTAGAGAGGCGATAGGAAGAGCGAGGAGGAAAATGGATAAGTTTATTAAGATGATGGACAACAACATCCTATACTACGTGGCGGCGGTCCTCGATCCGCGCATTAAGACGTCCCTGATCGAAGCACAGATGAACAAAGAGGGTGCTGAACTGATCGTTTCCGAAGTACGCGAATTCTTCAAGCATAAATATCCATTTCACCCTAGTCTACCATTAGAGGCGGAACGCCCATCAGGTATGCCTAAGTTACGGTGGAAGACACTGTGAGATAAATAGCGGTTTCGCTCAATCAGGTGATTAATGCAGGGACACGGTGGGAAAACCCCGTTAGATTCCAAAAGAGCGTAGATAGATTGAACTTGATCCTGAAGAGCCGGATCCTACGAAAACAGGCTGTTCTTGCAGCTATTTTATATGGTTTACAATGGTCAATGGTGATCTATTCCCTAAAAAGGGAAAGAATGGGGGTATATAATCGAATACGGAATGAAGCCGTGGGGAAACGCCAAGAAACACAGATATTCTGTGACAAGACACTTCAGCGGGTTCAGCCGTATCCATGTACGCAGGCTTCGGACGTCGACCGATACTTCGATTCTCTCCAGCTAGCTGGTCGCATCCCTCGTTTGCGGACGGTGACCCTGACTGGGTATTGAAATGGTGGAAAGCAAATGCGCCTGACTTTCCTTGCATGGCTCAAGCGGTACGCGACTAATAATGAGGCGTTAGATGTTACAACTTCATTTGCCTAACTATATATATGCGAAGTATTCATGAATAATATGAATGTTCATGAATATGAATATAAGGCGTAATCATATTCACATTATTCGCCAAGACTTTTACGGTATTCATATTCACAAATTATTCATATTATTCGTATTCATTTCGGAGCTCTATCAGCATTGGATTCTGCTATGCTTCACATCTCGCCGCTACGCAGGAAATATTAACGAGTCGAACCCGAGGTGATATCTTTGATACTCAGACCCAGGGAGGTTTGTTAGCCTCATCACGGTTGGTAACCAGCTTTGATCGTCATAAACATATTTTTCTCAACCTCTTCATTCCCAAGTCTCGTACTGTTCACAGTGTCGAGTTCAGTCAGTCGTTCGCTCAATTTCCAACAACACCATTATATAAATACTACTTTTCCTCAGCTTTTGTCTCATTAGTGACCATTCTCTCCCCGGCTTCAGGTTGGTGAGACCACTACGACGCAATATTCCTGAAACCTCCCGACAGAGTGTCCGTGTGTCTACTAACAATGACTAAAACAAAATTGCTTAGTTAACTAGTTATATGTAACTAATCTAGATCCTCATAATATCCGAAGACCCGTTCTGTGCCCAGCAACTGTTGGAGATCCGCACTTCAGCCTTACAGGACATACTGTACCGTTTCTCTTTGGCTACCCTTCCTAGAGTATTGAGGGCGAACTTCTGATGATGGAGCGAGTCGTGCAGAGCTGAACTGACTGGGAGTTGAATTGAAGACACGGCTCACTCAGTCGCCGAATCACAAGGATTAAGAAGTAGTATAAGAAACTCCGCAAACTTGGCGCTCATTGTTTGCAGATCGTTACTATTACTACTACAAAGCCACTCGGGAAGGTCGCTTTGAGAAGCATTTTGAGGTAGGATATCCGAGCAGTTCCAAAGCCGTGTGGGTGTCGTTCCAAGACCGACTCCTCCTTCATTTATTCAACAGCGAGCAAGCCAAATTAGCCATGGCCAAAGACATAGACAAGCGGTGTGCGGTCATCCAGGAACTTGAAGGAGCGTAATTCTGTGAGGATTCTAGCGAGATTTACAGGCTGGTTTAGGAACCCCCAATCATGTTAATATCGAGAGTGATTGGCCATTCAAGTGCGGTTATGAGGACTGCACATATATGTGTAAGTTTGGTTGGCAAAGACACATAAACAGAGAATCTTATGGCATGCCTATGAAAACCATGTGCTAATTCCAGGTACTGTACCTCGTAGGTAAAATATGTAGTATCTAGGCACCATTATCAGTGGGTTCTGGGCGCAGTAAATGTAAAGGTCAAGGCACAAAACCCCTCGCACAACACTTATCCTGGATTGCGCGTTATTTTTCTCCAATTTCTACTGCTTCGCACTTCTAGAGACTCTGATGTACGCACCACTCTGCTGAGGATCACATCCTAAGAAGCATTTTCCATATTTTCGTTCCTCTTGGGTTTTCCTTTCGCTCTAGAGTCTTTCATCCAATCATTATGCACTCACCTGCCGCCAAACGAATCATGCATCTCAATGCTGATATACACCTCTGACGCTGGCACAGAATGCTGGGTCTATCACGGCAAACGCCTCCATCATGGTACCGAGACCGAGTCCGCGAAGAGCTGCAGGAACGCCGGTCCGCCGAGTCCTTCTGTCAAAAGGTCAGCGAGACATCCGATGTCTTCTTCCCCCTCAGCCGCGCTCAATATGATGGCTTCCCAGTTCGCAAACTACCCGAGTTTGTGGCCTACCACCATGGTTTGGTTTATTCGTACATGATAACGAAGTACACTTTGCGCTGGAGCTTCTATCGGACGGCTGCAATGCTCTGCAATGTGCCTCGCTACGACCTCGTACGGGAGGTGGTGAGTCCTGGGAAAGATCCCAACTTGACGAGGTTGCTTCCCGGCACCAGATTGACCCTTTGGAGTATAAGCGAGTTAGTCGCCGACTACGACGGGTATGGCCACTTCTCCCCTGAGAACAGCTCCGGGTATGTGGGAGGCATGACCTCTGGTTCCATTATGACGGATAGGAAGCAAATGATGAACTACGATTTTATATTTCTGGATGGTTAGATCTTGTTTTACGACTGAAAGGGTTCTGGTAGATGCGGAAACGCTGTCCAGCAACTTCCAAAAGCCAAAGATTGTATGCACTTGTGAGATGGTGACGATTCCCTGTTTGCTCGCCTTTCATATTTCATATTTGCTTCTCCGCATTCAACCATTCGGTGGACAGGGGCACGTTTGTCAGAACAATCAGTGGGCAGGCAACATAAACATCAACAAAAGCAACGTGCTTACTATTAATCAGACTAGAGCAGCGTGAAGCATCTATGCGAGTCTATAATTACAGCCCTTCATTATCTGCGGTGGTTGGATTGTGCCTCGTTGAGGTCAGTTTGCCTTCGTGGCTCCGTAGTCCCCTTCACTGGAATCCGAAGTATAAAGGCAGTTCCATCCGAAGGCGATTGGATCTCATCGAAAAATTCATCTTCAAGGTTATTTCATGACGAGCAACCGATCGAACACGGTCACCGAACCCTGATGGATTCTCTGTCCGACCAGCCTACAGGCTCAGATGCCGGATCCTCTTCCAACGTTAAACCAGTAATCATCGGCATCTACGGAATACCAGGGTCAGGCAAGACATTCTTGCTGAACCAACTCCAAAAAGAACTCGAAGGAGAGGATTTCAAGTTCTATTAAGGCTCAGAGGTGATTGCCAGTCTCACTGCCGGCGGTCTCCGTGCTTTCCAGGCTCTAGAGGAGAGTTCGAAACAAAACCAGCGGAAACTTGCCATCGACTGGATCCGAAATGAATGCGTGGAGAGCAAAAATGTTGAGGTAGTCACTGGACACTACATGTTTTGGCCTGAGGGAGGAGTTGAACGCAGGGTATACACTCCAAATGACCTGGACACGTTCACGCATATCATCTACATGACCGTTGCCCCCAAACTGGTGATGGAGCAACTCCTGAAGGATACCAGAAGCCGACCACCCATGTCAATTGAACACCTGAAGAGGTGGCAAGAAACCGAACAAACCGAGCTGCTTGGACTTTGCTACGAGCATAGCATCCTATTCACAGTCAGTTTCGCAACCGGGCGTGGCCTCGAAGATCATACACTGCTTCCAATGTAAAGATGAAGGCATCAACCTAGAAAGCATCGAAAAGAGCTCGACGAAATCCTGGAGGCTGCTGGAGGGCAAGGAAAGCTATATACAGTGGTAGTCTTCGATGCCGATAGGACATTGGCTGCCGAGGACAGCGGTACACTGTTTTGGGAAAAGCTCGATCAGGTTATGCAACCGCTCCCTCGCGATAACCCCGTTGAAGGCCCTATTCAGCAGCCCCATGGGGTATTCTTATACCGCGTTTCGTCAAGCCGCTTTATTATATGAAGAGGCGGTGGACAACATCGTGTTCGAGGCCCTCTGCGAATCTACGGCCGCTGCATAACGATGCACCCTGGGCTCGTATTGTTGTTGCGAGAAATAGCAGGACAGGAGCATATCACCGCACTGGTTGTCACTTGTGGACTGCGTCTGGTCTGGGAAAAAGTACTTGAGAGACAAGGCCTGTCGAACACCGTGAATGTCATCGGCAGCGGTCAAGCCGGTGACGCATCGATCGTTACTCCGGCTGTGAAAGCCGCATTGGTTAGACGTTTCCGGAATACTTTTAAGACATATGTCTGGGCGTTTGGAGATAGTGTTCTGGATTTGCCCATGCTCCAGGCGGCGGACGTACCCATTGTTGTAGTTGGGGAGGAGCATCAAAGAGGCAAATCCATGGACCAGCCACTGCTGGACGCTATCAACAAGGGTCTTGAAGCGCACCAATTGGTCATACCGAGCACCGCCTCCTGTCGACTCGATTCAGGGAAACTTCCACTCGTGAAGTCCACGATCGAGGCGTTTATCAGCTCAATCTTGTTGGGTCGGAGTGAACGAAACTTGTCTCGGGTCCGTCATGGAACAGGCTGTAACTCAGCCAAACTTCTCATGACGCCGACGCGCGACTCGAAAGTTGCTAGTCCTATCCTGAGAGAAGCCCATCGCCGAGTTTGATGGTACCTTGCGGTGAGTATCTAACCGGCATGATCGGCATGGAAGAGTATGCGATTCCCCACGTCCAGGGCCACGAGACGATTGGATATCGACTTTGTCACGAAGGACAGACTTTGATCGTGGCATTGATGCGCGGGGGAGAGCCAATGGCTATGGGCGTTAACGATGCCTTTCCACTCGCCATGTTCATGCACGCATCGCAGCCTTCTCATGTGACGCCTCATCATCTGGAGGGACAACGGACGGTGCTTCTGGTGGACTCGATGGTGAACAGCGGCAAGGCGGCCACTGGTTTCATACAACACGTCCATAAACTGGACTCTACGGTTCAAATTGTGGTGGTTGCGGGAGTTGTCCAGGTCGAGTCGATCAGGGTCGGAGATCTAGCCGCGGAACTTGACCTGAGACGGAATGTTAGCCTCATCGTTCTCCGTCTTTCGGATAATAAATTCACCGGCGAAGGAACTACCGATACTGGCAATCGACTCTTCAATACGACTCGACTGGATGGATGATGTGGGTTGTAAACTCACGCCCAGAGCAGCGATTGAGTGAAGGAGAAGAGTGATTTGACAGCATACATATTTGGCAGCACACGTTCATAGAAATATATCATTGTTTCCCCTTCTCCAACAATCCCATTTTCAATGGCTCAGACGGTTCAGGGGCGTCTTCGTGATACGTGATGCAGTGGGAACCATCCATAGGTCATTTCTCGCCGTGAAAGTAATTTAAGTTCCAACTGTGCATGTAGACAATTTCTATTTATTAAGCAATTATTGAGTTGACTTTAGGGAAGAGAGACTTAGGGAACTTCATTGACTCAGATATAACTAGAAATGAATCGAGATGTGGTGGACTTGACGTTTTATGGTTGGTATCAAAGTAAAGAAAGCGCAAGACGTCCAACGACAATGAAATCCAAATATTGACTCTCACACTTACAAAGGCTTCCAACTTCCACATCTAACCAACTACGAAATCTCATTTTGATCGATCCAAGGATAATAGCAATACCTTACCCTCCCACATCACCCTGAATCACTAATCCAAACCAACCCCACCACCACATCTTCCCACGGTACGCTCTACCACCTGAGCAACCATGCCACCCCCGACGCGTCGCGCGCGCCAACAACCCGCCTCCCCACCGCGCATCCAAACCGAGTTCTCCGACTCGGACGACAGCCAGATCGGGGCATTTGAAGACGAGGGGACGCTGCCGTCGCAGGATGATGTGTTGCAGGAGAACGAGCAGGGAGGGGTAGTGGAGGAAGGGGAGGGGGAGGGGGAGGGGGAGGAGGATGGAGAGGAGAGACAGGGTGAGTAGGAGTTTTTTTTCATCATTTTGATTTTAGGAGAGATAGGAGGGTTTGGATTCGGATTTGGATTTCGGGTCTTTGGGATTGGTTTCTTTTCTATATTTGAAAGAAAAAGCTGTGGTCTCCTTTGCGCGTCTCCATCGTCATCAATATTTATATGTCCATCCGCTTCAACCAAACCCTGCGCTGGAATATTATACCTGCCAACCCTTCTCCCCCCAAATCTCTCTCCATCACCCCATCTTGCTTTTCATCCCCCTCTCACCTTCCAACTAACTCCCCCAGCAACCCCTACCCCACCCCCACTCCCTTCCCACCTCAAAGAAATCTCCTCCCTCGCCTCCTGGACCGTCACCTCCTCCAAACCCGGCTGCTCGATCCCGCAACTCCTCTCCCCCTCCACCTCCTCCTACTGGCAATCCGATGGCCCCCAACCCCATCACCTCAACATCCACTTCTTCAAGCTCGTCGAGATCGTCGCCATCCGCGTATTCCTGGACTTCGAGCTCGACGAGAGCTACACGCCGCAGAAGATTGAGTGGGCTGCGGGCATGGGGAATGCGGATTTGCTGGTGTGGAGTACTATGCGGGTCGAGATGCCGAGGGGTTGGTGTTGGGTGGATTTTGGGGGAGTGGATGGGTGGGGGGCTAGGGGGAGGGAGGAGATGGAGGTCGATGGGGACGAGGCGGAGCGGGTGCGACGGGAGCCGGCAGTAGTGGAAGACGAGGGAGGGAGCAGCGAGGGGTCCTACTCATCGGGCGAGGATTCCGCTACCGAAGAGCCCTCGCAGGCGGAGGGGTCGGAAGGAAGGAGGAAGCGCAGACGACACCATCCGACGCTGCGGTGCATGTTGCTGCAGGTGCGGATCTTGGAGAACCATCAGAATGGGAAGGATACGCATTTGCGGGGGTTACAGATCTTTGCGCGGGATGCGGGGGCGAAGGGGAGGGGTGGGGGGGAGGGGGTGAGGAGGGGGAAGGTTAGAATGCAGGAGCCGAGAGAGAGACTGGGGCGGGCGAGGAAGAACGTGAGGGAGCCGGTATGGGATGATATGCCGGATTTGAGATGATGGATCGCAGGTCCAAAATATTTGATTATGAGCGGATGCATGACATGAAGGCATTCTTGCCGTACAGTATGCATTGATATCTAGGTCAAATGTACGTGTCTAGCATGCGTAGAATGTGCCGCCGAATTCCCATTACAAATCCAAAATTCCCCCTCACGTTGCTTTTCTTAGCTCAAAATCCGAAGCAGCTCCTCTACGACCGCGTCGCCAACCTCGGTGGTCTTCGCCGTTCCGCCAATGTCCCCGGTGTTGATCCCCTTCTCGATCACGATCTTGACCGCATCGTCGATCGCCTGGGCAATTTCCGGAAGGCAGAGCGAGTATTTGAACATCATCGACACCGAGAGGATGGACGCGACGGGGTTGACGATGCCCTTGCCCGAGATGTCCGGGGCGGATCCTGCAATATATCAGCTTCTGCTTCCCAAATTCCAAGTTCTCACCACTCACCATGAATCGGCTCATAAACGCCATTGCACGGCGTTTTCCCATCCGGAATCCCACTCAAACTCGCACTTGGCAACAACCCCAAGCTCCCCGGAATCACACTTGCCTCATCGCTAATTATATCCCCGAACAGATTGCTCGTGACGATGATCCCATTCAGCGACCGCGGATTCTTCACCATGATCATCGCCGCGCTGTCGATCAACTGATGCCCCAGCTCCAACTGCGGAAACTCCTCCGCGAATACCTCGCTCACCACCTTGCGCCACAGCCGACTCGTCGCCAACACGTTCGCCTTGTCCAGACTCCACACCTTCGCCGGCGGGTCCTCCGCGAGGGCAAGGGACGCAGCCAAGCGGGCGATACGCTGGACCTCAGACTTGCTGTATGGCTCGATGTCATAGGCGGTCGGGTCCTCATCGGTGGCCTCCTTGCGGTCGCCGAAGTAGATGCCGCCGGTCAGCTCGCGGAGGATGGTGAACTTGGTGCCCTTGGCGATGTGTTCTTTGAGTGGGGAGTTGGCGAGGAGGGAGTCGGAGGCGAAGAAGCAGGGGCGGAGGTTGCCGAAGGTTTGGAGATGTTTGCGGAGGGCAAGGATGCCTTGTTCGGGCCGGACGAGGCCGGTACCCCATTCCTGTGGGGGTTAGTGGAAGGATATGAGGGGGAGAGGGGGGGAGGGGTGGAGGTACGGGACCGCCGATGGCGCCGAGGAAGATGGCGTCGGCTTTTTTTGCGGCTTCGAGGGCGGAGTCGGTGAGAGGGACGCCATGGGCATTTATTGAAGCCTGTGAGGAGGTGAGATTATGTCGTTGGAATCTGTCCGATGGTTGCCGTACCCCGCCGAGCAGTTGCTCATTGATATTGAACGAGAGACTTGGTCTTGCCTTCTCGACGGCTTTGATGACCTTGGGACATGTTAGCTACTCGCTATACAATCTCTCATTGAGAATTGGGTTATCTCACCTTGACGGCTTCTGCTGTGACCTGACATCTGTGAGCACACGTCTATTGAATGCGGGGCTTTTCTCATACTTCTGGACCGCAATGGTCGCCTATGTTCTCCATTAGTGACGGGTCCAATAATTCTCCAGAGATTGTAATTACCTGGGAAGGTGACGATATTAAACGACGACATTTTGCTTGATGAATAACCTGGAATATAGAAGAATGAAAGGTGTACGATGGTATATATACCGGTATTGAGTGAGCAGGAAAATGCCAATCCGGGGAACGAACATCCAAAACGCGCCCGATCTCGGGGCTCATCCGATCCACAGTCTCGGCTTCGTGTGAGTCTAGACGGCCGAGTTTCGGCTCTGATTTCGGGACCCTGTCATTGGCTAAGATGATAAGATCCCGATGAACGGAGAGTCCGAGCTTTGGCGCATATCGATGCCAGAATCGTAGTCAATAGCAAAGGGAAGACCTGAGAGTCCAGATATCAACCTGTGCTTCGTTCATGATATGCTGTGAACATTCCGTGCATCTAACCATTGGTCTTTCTAGTTATTGTATATAAGGAATAAGATATTGCAAGACTAATTTCAAGGCTTAATTCATAAGGGACAAGTCAGTTTAAGGGAAATCACGCTGACAAGCAGCATGGTGCAACCATCCGATCGCCACTCGTTAATATCACATTCACTTCTCCATTCATCTTCATATCCATTTTGATTTTCACCTTCAATCACTTCCATGCGGCCAAATCTCCGTCACCTTTACACCCTGCCCGTCAAATCTGCTGCTTTTCGACACGGCCGCTTCACTACCCGCAGACATAACACCCCTAACAACAAACCTCCCACAGGTCATCCCGAATCTCCGAATCTGACCAAAGAGGCGAATACCCAATCCAATCACTTGAAAGTCAAGCGAAACGACCCATTTGCAGCTCCTCGGATCCGCAAACACCCTTTCGGACCTCACTCTGGTACTGCGATACAACCTCCTTCCGCCTCCTCACCTCCGCAGACCCTAGGAAAAGTTCCATCCGACGTCCCCAGCACGATTCCAGACACAGCCCAACGATATGACCATTTAAAAGACAAGCGAACAGGTCAATTTGCGGATCCTCGGATAAGGAAACTCAAACGTAAATTCTCCCCCGTCCGAATCACAACACATCCGAGTACTACACTACAGCCGCTTCCTCTCCCCTCGCTTTTACGGAGGCTCGAACAGGATCCGTCTGACTCAACGCTACCCGTTCGAAAGCGACACATAAAACAGAAATTGAAATTGAAATCTCTCGTTAGACGCGTCGAGAACGGTCCCAAACAAGACGAGTTGGTTGGATCAACGTGGTGGACAGCTTCAGCCCACGAAGAAGCTCACCAAGAGGGTGAACAAGACAACCACCGAGTACCCGACCTCGATACCGACGTCGATATAAGAGATATGTCTCGCTATGTGCCCCCCGCGTTCCGTAAGCGCGAACAACAAGACCCAGAGTCACCCAGCTCTCCCGTCCAATCGACCGAGACTCCCACGTCGCCTATGCAGGAACGGCCTCCCCCAAAACCTCAACCCCTTCTCTACACGAAAACAGAGCTGCATCACTATTTCTGGCCGGATGAAGACGTTCAGACTCTTCGGCACGCCTTCGATGAGCGAGCGCGGATGAGCAATGGGCCTGGACGTGTGCCAACGGCTAATATTAAGTCCGAAGCAGAAGGAAAGGAGTTTGCTGAGGTTGTCAATGGCGTAGACGCACCGGCTGCATCCACCACTGCTCAATCGGAAGCTGCAGATTTCCCTGAGGGAGTCGAAGAGACCAAGATCGAAGAGACTAAGACCGAAGCCACCAACGACGAAGCCACCAACGACGAAGCCACCAACGACGAAGCCACCAAGGCCGAAGTCACCAAGGACCAAGCCAGCACTATTACCCCCACCGCTACCGCCAACCCTCCATCTCCCATCCAATCTACCAATGCAGCCGGCAAATTCGATACGCTCCAATCCTCCGCCGCCACCCCCCACGACCTCTCCATGATCGTGATCCACCACGGCGCAAACCCCCTCTGGCACACCCAGCGCACCATCTTCGCCAAAACCAACATCCACCTCCTCCCCCATCTTCCCGGCGCCATCCCCCAAACCAACCAACCCCAACCTCCCACGTCCCGCGCCGAGTTCGTCGACGACTGGGACTACGTCCCCTCCTCGGAGCGTCTCGGCTCCGGTCATCCACCTCCGCCCCCTCTCCGCCCCCTCCCGACCACAGGATCCACCAATCCTGCCGCTAAGCTCCCCGCGGTCCCCGTCTTCGAGCAATTCCGGCGTGGCGGCGCCCGCAATTTCCGGTTCGCGGGGTATTTCCGGATGGCGCGACTTCAGATATTGGCGCCGTGGAGCGACGAGCTGAAGCGGATGATGGCGATTAAGTGGGAAAGGCGGGATGCGAAGCGGAAGGCGGAGGATTGGAATCGGGGGATGGGGTGTTGGTGGGCGGTGGTGGGGTTGGAGGAGGTGCAGGGAGGGAATACCGTGAATCATTCGGGTGCGGCTACGGCTGCGGCCGGGACTGCAGAGACGGTTGTAGATGCGGCGACGGAGACGGCTACGGATACAGACACGAATACGAGCTCGGCCGATGCGAACGGCAAGGAAACTCACCAAGCGAGCGGCACGCAGCCTACCGCGCTCCCTCCCCCCGCCATCGACCGCATCGACCTCGCCATCCACCCCGATCACTCTCCCTCCGACTTCGAGAACCATCGCGGTCAACGCCAGCCATTCGGACGCGGGCGCGGACGCGGACGCGGAACGGAGAATCGCTTTGGCGGGGGTTGGGGTCGACAGGGGTATGCGGGCGGTTCTAATGCCGGTGGCGGTTCTAGGTATGGGTATGGTGGAGAGAGGAGGGCAGTGGAGGATGTGAGGCTGGAAGAGGAGGTGAGGGACGCGAGGGGCATGGTCCGGGATGTCCGGTTGGAGGAGGCCGGGACGGAGAATCGCGCGCCGAGGGGGATGGTGCGCGACGTGCGGTTGGAGGAACAAGAAGAGCAGGAAAAGTTGGCGCGATATGCGCCGTTAGAGGAGAACCGGGCGCCGCGGGGGATGGTGCGAGATGTGCGGTTGGAGGTGGAAAATAGAGCTCCACGAGGGGTGGTGCGCGACGTCCAGTTGGAGGAAACCAACGCGCCGAAGCCGACGGCGAGCTATGTCCCCTTCACTGAACCCCGAGGCCGCAGAGACATGGTGCGCGACGTCTGGCTAGAGGAACAAGAAGCGGCCCAGGCGATGGCGGAATCTGTTTCGCCAGAGCAACCCCGTGGTCGCAGCCGGACGGTGCAAGATGGACAGGTCGAGGAAACTGAAGCGCCAGCGCCTACGGCGAGCTATGTCCCCATGGACGAAAAAAGGGGTCGACGGGGCATGGTGCGGGACGTCCGGGTGGAGGAGCAGGAGGAGCGGGAGCGACAGGAGCAGATGAAGAGGGCGGCGATGGAGCAGCGGGGACAGAATGGGGAGAGGGTGGAGGAGTCGTATGAAGGGAAAATCTCCCCACGGCTGTCGTATCGGCCGTTATGGGAGAGTTGAGGGGAGGTGCGCGTAATACGCTGGTAGAGACAATCGGAGGGGACGGGGTGAAGGGTTGTGCTGGTGAATAGGAGGAAGGAAATGATGAACGATTGTATAATTCCTCTGTATAGATACCCCAAAACTGCGTTATGTATGAACACCCTGCCTCGGTGCGTCTGATTCGGATGAAGTGCGATGGCGTGGCTACTGACAATGGTTTACCTTATCATATCTGGACTTCTCACGATGGACATATGGCGGAGAATGTAGACGATACAGGACATCAATCAATGTTGAGATGGGGAGGACGGTGTCAATCCATCCATCCATCCATCCAGTGCAGAGCAACAGGTATCCCGTCCCAAGGCCGATAATTCCACCGACGTCGGATTCGGCGATGTGATGAAGGTCAATCCTAAATAGATAGATGTTGAATACGCGGTGCGACCATCCATCCATCTCTGATCTCATATTCTCATACGATTTCACCAGCCGGGAGGTTACCGTTCGCTATATGTATTCTGACCGTGAAGCCATTGCTCGCTACGAATCCGCTCGGGCGCATCGTCACCATCCTCTCCCACGAGTGAGCCCCAGCGGTCACGATCCGCCAGGGAGATATTTCCTTATCCCCTTTCCCATCTTGCATCACGACCAGTGGAAAACATCAGTCATCAACAGCCAAAGTAAACCTCAATGTCACCATACCATCCCAATCCTCGCATCTCCAAATCCTCACATCCTGATCGCTGCGCCTCGTGGACCCTGACGCGCCCATGCAGCCACAGCCCAGTCCTCCGCAGCGCGGCGGTGCAGCCCGCACGCAAGCCATGGCAACCCGAGCATGGACGAAGGCTAGCTGCAAATGGAAGCTATGTGTGTAGCATGGCGAGCGAGGTGGGGTAGTCGAGCGGGTGGTTTATAATTGGATGTAGGATGGAGGACGCAGGGTGGGCGGGTTGTCACTTGTCAGTTGTCAGAGGCTGTAAGCTGGGGGTCCGCCGCGTTGGTGGGGTGGTTTGCGAGATTGGAGATCAGGATGGATGCCACTTGTACTTTTGTAGTCCTACTTGCGAGAGACAAAGGAAAGGAAGATGTAAAGATAGACGAGATAGTTGTTCAGGTAGTCGGTCGGTCGTTGGTGCTGCAGACCTTCATAAGGGTTCAAGCTGGACCCGACTACCCAATGTACCCAAACGAATGATACCTCAGATCGAGATTGATCTTGTAAGACCGCACGCAATGAACAAAAATACGAACGCCGTCAAGCTCCCACCTGGGAATTTATTGCTAACTTCAGCGATCAACTGGGCATAATTCGATGATCGGGATCGCGGGAATTCAGGGCTGATGACCCCAACTCGCAGCAAGAATACTATTGCAGCCCATCATCACATTCCTCCCCGTATTCAGGATGCCAATCGAGATCTCAGTCGTGTCTTTGCTACAAGGGAAAATACTCAATAGAGAGAGGGAGCAACACGAGATTTCAACTGAATCCGAACCAAGGATAGTGGATGATGGATGATCGATAATTAGCACCTAGCAGAGGTGGTGGCTTAGCCGCTTAGGGGTTTATCGGGATCTCTAGTGTTAGCTGCTGACAATCATCATACCCAACGAATGCTTAATATTAGCTGGCGACTTAGCGTTCTTAGTGATTTCGGCTTCACTCAGCCTCACGAAGAAACGGAAGAATCGAGAATTCCTTGTTCACTTGGTTGAGTTGGTTTACTTGGTTCATTTGGTTCACCTTCCCCGGCGCACCCGACCTTCGCCCACATCCCAAGCTACATCTAACTGAGTTGGTATACTTTGTATGGATACTGGCAAATACCAAGCCCGGCTACCTGCAAGCTACAACATCCAAAGCCTCTTAACCTCGTGTCAATCTGACATCCGCATTTTGCTGTCACTGTCGCTGTCGCTGTCGCTGTCGCTCTCTCTAGCTCTCTCTCTCGGACTCTCTCATTCTCACTCCCCCTAGTCCTCTTCTAGTTTCCGGTGTGATTTTCTCGGTCTCAAACGAATCCCTTCCTCTCCTTTCTTACTCCCTTTCATTCTTTCGCTTCACGCCCACCACAACCTGAATACGACCTGAGTACTCCCATCCGATACCTAGCCTTGGCTCTGAAACCACCTCACTCCTCCATCCTCCCAGCCCGTTCTCCCCTTGTCTCATCCACCTGAATCACCGCCACCTTTCAACCCATTTTCCTGTCTCGCTTCTTTCCTGCAGCTCCCTCCCTCGTTTCCTACATCTCCTACATCTTCCCCTCCTCCCTCCCTCCTCCTCGCCCTCTCCCCCTCCAACCCTCTCCCCTTCGACATTTATGTCGTCGCGCTTCAAAAACCTCCTCAGCTCCTCTCGACGCACTTCGTCCGTCCCCAATTCCGGCAACCCCCCACCCGCGAACTCCACCCCCCTACCCCCCAACTCCCTCCCGTCCTCCAACTCCCCCCAACCCCCCGCCGCCTCCCCTCCCCCCGGCAGCTCGTCTTCCTCCCTCCATTCCCACCCCCTCCCCAACGCCCCTTATCCGCCCACTGGCACCCCCTCCGCCATGAACCCCAACAACCCTCTCGGTCGTCCCCCCTCGTACAGCTATGCCGCCCAGCCCGGCGGAGGTCTCGCTGCCGGCGCGCCCCCGGGCCAGCATCGTCCGACGAGCCCCATGCCGCCGCCGCCCATCAACACCAACACGAACCAGATGGGGGGTTATCCGCCGCAGCAGGTGTATGGTGCCCCGCCGCCTCAGGCTGGCCCGCCTGGGTATCCGCAGAATCCGGCGAGCTATGGGCAACCAGGTGGTGGGTATCCGCAAAATCCGGCGCCGGCGGTGCCGTATTCGAGGCCGGGTGCCGTGGAGGTGGATGGAGGTGGGAGAAGTAAGGCGCAGTTGATTGTGGGGATTGATTTTGTGAGTGTTCCTTTGACCATATACAGCAGACATACTATCAAGGCGGGCGGAATGGGTGCACAGCTAGATGTTATGTTTGGACGATCAACAGAGCTGATGGGTGGATATAGGGAACCACATTCTCCGGTGTCGCGTTTGCGTTTGCGACCAATACCGAAGCAAAGGAAGACATAATAGCCGAATGGCCCGGCGCTGGCAACCAGACGAAGCAAAAGGTATGCCCCCTCAATACTCTTCCTCACAACCCCTAACCCTTCAGATCCCCACCGTCCTCTACTACGACCAATACCAAAAAGTCGTTGGATGGGGCCCCGACATCGCGGATGCCCTCGCCCCCACCGGCTATCCCAAACCCGGCGTCCAAAAAGTCGAATGGTTCAAACTCCAGCTCATGCTCTCCGGCAACACGTACATCGACCCCATCAACCTCCCCCCGCTTCCTCCAGGAAAGTCTGAAGTCGATGTCGCCGCCGACTACCTCTTCCATCTCCGCCAAGCCATGCGCAACCAGCTCCAGAAAATCCTCGGCGAGGTCTTCTCCCGCGAGGAGCGCAACATCCGCTACTACCTCACCGTCCCCGCCATCTGGAACGACGCCGCCAAGGCCGCCACCCGCGCCGCGGCCATCCAGGCCGGCTTTCTCCGCGACGACAACGACAACCGCCTCACCCTCATCACCGAGCCCGAGGCCGCCGCCCTCTTCTGCTCCAAGACCGGCCTCCTCAACCTCAAGATCCACGACGCCGTGCTGATCGTTGACTGCGGCGGCGGTACCGTTGATCTCATCGCCTACGAGGTCGAGGAGGAAAACCCCTTCTCCGTCGCCGAGTGCACCGCCGGCTCCGGCGACTCCTGCGGGAGCACCGCGCTCAATCGGAATTTCAGCAACATCCTGCGCGCGAAGATCCGCAAGATGAAGTTGCCGGATGGAAGCCGCACCGCCGGGAAGGTGTACGCGAAGTGCATCATGGACTTCGAGAACCGCATCAAGGCCGACTTCCGGAACAACGGGCAGAAGTGGGCCGTCGACGTGGGCATCGAGGCGGAGTTTCCCGAGGCGGGCATTGAGGAGGGGTATATGACCTTCACCAACGAGGAGATCCTGCAGTGTTTCGAGCCGGTGGTGAACCGGATCTTGGAGCTGGTGCGGAATCAGATCATCGCGATCCAGGCGCAGAATCGGACGTTACAGGTACGTTTCTTCCCCCTTTTTCTTCTCTTATTTTTCTAACACCCCCCCAGAACGTCCTCGTCGTCGGCGGCTTCGGCGCCTCCGAATACCTCTTCCAACAAATCAAACTCCACGTCCCCCCCCAGTTCCAATCCAAAGTCGTCCGCCCCATGGACTCCGTCGCCGCCATCGTCAAAGGCGCCGTCACCGCCGGCATCACCGAGCGCATCGTCACCCACCGCGTCGCCCGCCGCCACTACCTCATGGCCACCCTGCAGCCCTTCAAGCCGGGCCACCACCCCGAGCAGTACCGCGTGCCCAGCCTCGACGGGAAGGATCGCTGCAAGTATACGCGCCAGATCTTCGTGCAGAAGGGGCAGCGGGTGAAGATCGGGGAGCCGGTGAAAGTGAGCTTTTTTAGGCAGGTAGCGCCGGGAGCGACGTTGATGTATGAGGATGTTTTGTATGCGTGCGACGACGATGTTTGCCCGGAGTATACCAAAGATCCCCGTAAGTTTTAGTCCATTCCCTCCCCCCACTCTCCCCTCCCACAACCCCTGCGAAATCAAAGACCCCCCGCTAACCGTTGAACCTACACAGGCATCAAGGAAGTCATCACCCTCACGTCGGATCTCAGCCGCAAGAACCTCGAGAAGGACTTCGAGCGCATGGACACGCCGCAGGGCACGTTCTACCGCGTCTACTTCGACATCTACCTAACGCTGGACGGCAGCGAGTTCAACGCGGAGCTGGTGTGTCAAGGGGAAGTGATGGGGCGTTGCACAGCGCGGTTTAGGTAGTTGGGACGGCGGCGAACGGCATGGAATTCAGCAAGATGATAGGCGTGGGATGTTGGGCTGAGGTTGGATGGGAATGGGTTATGCTACGGCCGAATGGATGGATAGATGCAGATGGGCAGGTGGGATGGGATGTGCAGAAAAATAGTCCTCAGTAAGCGTCTGGTTTCACAAAGCAGAGCAAAGCAGAGCACGTGAGCGATGGTTTCTCCTGAAAGATACACCCCACACCGCACCGTGTTCATTCGACACCCCCTTTTGTTTCTCGCGTCGTTGGTTTTCTATATAGTCGCTAGGTTAGTTTCATCGTGCGTACGGTTCGGATCGGATCTAATTGATCGATTGATGAGGTTTATGGAGTGGGTTTTCCGTGTTCGCATGGATTTCTTCTTCGAGTTAGTGATTAATGATCCCGTTCTTCCCGACGATTCGCTTCAAATGCCCAACTAAAGTCAAAGTATTACTATTCCCTACAATGTACCGATTCCCAAGATACTACACTACCGCCAGTATTACACTTGCCCTGCCGTCGACACAGTCCGACGAGATGGTTCGCCCATCGATCCACCAAGCAAGCAAGCATCAAGCAACCCAGTGCGGGAACTCCTCGCTCGGAAATTATACAGTTTCCTCCCTCCTGTCCGGTACCATATGCCGAAACGACCGTCCAACCCTCGTCCACATCGGTGAGGATATGTGAACTGAGCAGGGAGCTCTAAAAGTACAAAGGATGCAGGCCAGCGGGTCGCGATCCAGTACTTCATGCCGAAAATAAATGCGGCGCCGTTGCTCGAATCCGTGCAGATCGATCCATCTTGTGCAAAGAGGAATATCGGTGGAAATGGGAAGGGGGACGAGGACGCCATCGTCCGGTCCATCACCATCCACCAAATATCCCATCTCTTCCACTTCTCACAGTATTACACCCTCGGCCCCCGCTCCATACCACTCATACCTCCCCCAAATCCCATATCTCACCACGCACACGCACCGCCCCTCCCTAATCCTTCTTCTTTCCCCTTGCCCTCTTCTCTCTCCTCGCCACCACATCCCCCTCCGCCAACCACCGACTCGCCTTCACCAACTGCACCAGATGAATCAGCTGCTTCCCCGCCATCACGGGCGCGCTGACCGTGACCAGGATCCACGGGATCGTGCTGTCCATCTTGTTTGCGCGCGCCAGCTCCATCGCGCCCGCGGACCAGGGAGAGGGGAAGATGGAGGGTTTGGGCGGGGGGGCCGCCGCGGGGGTGGACGGGGTGGTGGGGAGGAGGTGCGGGGAGATGAGCGGAGAGGAGAAGGAGAGGAGGTAGAGGGCGATGAAGAAGAGTTCGTTGAGGGCGCAGAAGGTGAAGAGGACTTTCTGGAGGGGTGTTAGTGACTTGGCCGTAACAGTGGGGATGAGACGATATGAGATGAGAGAAGGGGATGGAATGACTCTGCAATACTCACATTATTCGAATAATACATCTTCAAAATCCAACTCCGCCCCTCGTCCACGTTCTTATGACTCTGTCCCTGCTCCCCCATCGCCAACGTCGCATACATATGCATGTAGTGGCTCGCCAGATCCAAGCTGATCAGCCCCTGGAAGATGATGCTGTATCGCGGGAACGCCGAGGCGAGGAACACCATCAGACACGCGGTTGTGCAGCGGTCCGTCACCATGTCCAACACCGCGCCGAACCGCGTCGATTGGTCGAAGTACCGCGCGGCGTAGCCGTCGAGGGCGTCGAGGGCGCAAGAGACAGAGTAGAGGATGCAACAGGTGCGGGGGTGGAGGGACATGTAGTAGAGGGAGGCGAAGGCGAGGATGATGCGGGAGTAGCCTGGATGGGTGGTCAGTATAGGGTTGAGATTGGTAGATTCGTCGAGGGATCATCTCGCGCTGTTCGGAGAATCAGGAAGGGATGCGTTCCATCGGTCGCAACTAGATAGAGCTGATGGAGATAAGACAAAAGACAGGACTCACCGATCAAGTTCGGTATGAACAAGAAGATATTCTCCTGCGTCTCGTGGACTGCTCTCGTCGACGCGTGCGCGACGCCATTCGCCTGTGACTTCCTTCCCGCCATGATACGTGATCGGTTCCGATCGTCTCTTATCAACACCCTTATGCTTCACTTGAATCGGGAGCTAGGTATCCGACCACCAGGCTCACACCACCTGAATCCCTTCAAAGTTTCGACTTCCGTGTATGATCAAAGGAGCGACGTGGACGTTCGGCAGTTGCAGCGATATCTCCCAGAACTTTCCGGTTATCCAGATGGTTCCAACAGCTCCTCAGATACCCCGTTTCGGTTCAGCTTCCTTCCCCTTGCGGGATTTCTATTCCACTGGCAGCACGGGACAGGGCGGATGGGCTGATATCTGCAGCCTTGGGTAATCGAGAGCTTCCCCTGCAAGGTCCGAATCTCGTGTCCGTGTTTGTTGGTCCGAGATGGGGTCCGCGTCCGTCTTAGGTGGGGGCCGTAGGGTAGACAGTTAATTCTAGCTTTTCACGCGTATATATTGGAGAAGAAGCCGGTGGGAGACGGTGGAAAGAGATGGGAAGTTGGATGGTAAAGACGGTGGTGGTGGTGTTGACAAAAAGTTGGACTCAGCCCTGTGAGGAATCAGGAAACAGTGGAGGCGCAAGGCAACACGCGGCCAACACTGAAAACGGGAAGGGATGCGAGTGGGAAATTGAATCTTGCGAGATTGGGAATGAGGAGATGTGGACTTTGTTGAAAATGATTCGAGAAATAGTCTAAGGTGATAATGTACCGAATTAATCGTCAATTGGTCGTGGAGGTAGATTACTTTACGAGCGCTGGCAAACAGACGGCCTCCTGGACAAGACGCTCCAGAAATACAAAGGGTCTCGAGTCGTATCTACATTAAATAGTACATGATCTTTCGTCCCATAAACAAATGACAATCCTCGATCGCTCGAGCATATGCACGCTTTCGAATGCCAAATCTAAACGTCCCGGTCATGAATTCCTGCATCCCCATCACCCACCCCCTCCCACCTTTTTCTTCCCTTTCACCCCTCCAACCCCCACCCCCCTCTCCCTCCCCCTCCTCACCGCCAAAAGACACCTCCCCACCCCCTCCAAATCCCCCAACATCGTCACATGCCCCCTCCCTGTCTCCACCACCCCGCCCCTCTCCACCGCATACCCCTCCGGCACCATCGCCGCCCTCGCCAACACCACCCCGTCGCCGCTCGCGAACGCCAACTCATCATACGCGCTCGTCCGCGCGATCGCCTCCCGGCTCGCCACCTTCGCGCCGAAGACCGTCGGGACGGATTTGCCGAAGAGGACGGCGTGCGGGGGGTAGCGATTGCTGGTGGCGGCGGAGAAGATGGGGTTGAAGAAGAGGAAGCGTTTGAAGGCGAGGGTGCGCGCGAGAGTGCGCTCGAGGTAGGCAATCGCGGTGTGGAGTGGGATGGTGACTATGGTTTTGGGGTCTTGGGTTGGGTTTGGGGGCCCAGGGAAGGGGTTGTGAGGAGGCGCGGTGGGGGGAGAGGAGGATGTCATTTGGGGTGTGATTGCGGTGGCAGCAGTTGCGGCGGTGGTGGCCGGGGCAGCGGTAGATAGGGCTTTTAGTTCACTCGTGGAGGAGTTGGAGCTTGATTCGATTTTGGAGAGGGAGCTCTTTCGACCGAGCATGGGGAGGTTCGGCATCCGCGAGCCGATGATGCTCCCCAGGCTTGTGGAGGAGGAATTCGTGCTCCCGAGGGCGGGGAGCGGTGGAGACATGCAGGGCGACCAGGCGTAGCGGATCCAATCGTTCACGCTGAAGAAATTGACGCGGTATTCTTCCTTGGTGTGCTTGTTGAAGAAACAGCGTCCGTCTTCTGGGAGTAGTGCGAAACTCGATCGCATCGTGAAGTTCACTTGCGCGGTGAGCACGCGGGAGCTGAGGAAGACGTCGTCGCCGTTTCGCATGGGCCCGAGGATGTTCACGCATGTTTGTGGGACGCCCGCGTACACGACGCCGGAGAAGAGGGAGGGGTTGGTGTTGACGGCGTGGCGAGTGATGAGCCCGCCGAGCGAGTGCGCGATGACGAGAGCACCTCGACGTTCAGGAGGGACGTCCGGTTGATTCGACGGCAGTTTCTCGAGGAATTGCACGAGCTGTCGGCTCAGGAGATCCGGACTCAGTCGCCAGTCGTATCCGTAATCGTGAATTCGTAACGTCCCGTTCTTCGCGTTCTCGCATTCGCGTAGTCGTTTAAACAATCGGCGGGAGATGTCGACAGGGCCGATGTGGGTGAGCATGCCATCCGGTTTGATGCGATTCCCCTCTTCTTCGTCTTCATCATTCAACCCGACTTCGAGATCGGCTTTGCGGAGGTTGAATCCGACTTTGAGTGGCAGCCAGACACGGCGTTGTGGAGCGGAGGCAGATCTGAGGACGGAACCACGGTAGCCGCCGAGGACCACAAGGTCCCCCGTAAGTCCTTCAAGAGCCTTTGTCAGATGGGGGTGAGGATCTGGTTTCTTCTGCGTGCCGTTAGGCGGGGGTGCGGTTTTGGTCCCGTTAGTTTGGCCGATTGCAACTGGTGTCTTCGAGCTTTGCGCGGCGAAGGTAGCCGCATTGGGACTGTCGACAATGGCTGCCTTCGTTTGGTTTAGGGGATTGTGGATAGAATCCAGGAATGACACGTTGAAATTGAAGTTCTGTATCGAGCTGAGACTTGGGAACTTGAACTCCGTGTCCTGGATGGTGTCCACAATCGCCTTGAATCGAGAATTGGCCATCTCTTGCACATTCTCAAACCTGCTGTCGTCCCCAAGGGAGGGTAGTCTTGACAATCCTGGCCGGCTCCTAACCGATAACGACAAGGAATCTTCCGATCTGATCCGTCGGAGTGGGAGGGATCCCGTGCGATACGACGACCCAATGGATAGCTGCCTCAGCTCATCAACCGGCGATCTGACCGCCGCCGAGGGCGCACCAATTTTTCCCGGCGTGTCGGATGAAAGCTGTGGTATGCGCTGCGGGTCTGACAAGTTCCTCGCGTGCTTCCCCTTCTTCCCAACATCGATCGAGAACCGTGTGAGGTCGATATTGTTCATGAAATTCGGCGTCTTCGAAAGATTCGGCATGTTGAATGAAGGGATATATTTCTTCAGTCGGTCTTCCGTAGAGTACGACCTCGGTCTCCCCATCCCAAATGCTTCTCGGAACACCTCCCTTCGCGACATCATCTCTACCTCAGATTTCCACGGCGACGGCAACCGAAGCTTCGCCACGTCCTCCTCTTCCTTTTCCACCAACACCTCATCCGACAGTGTATTTATCCCCTCGTCTCTCCTTGCTGCAGGTAATGGCGCCGCCCAATCATCCTCCCCAAAGAACACGTCCTGTTCCTGCATGGCCGCCACCTTCACCTCCGCAGGTATGTTGGCAGACGTCAACCGTTTCTGCGCGTACCCAATGCTTACCCCTATGACATCCTGCGCATCGTCTTCAGGAGAGGGGTCATCGAGAGGAAATTCGGCGTCCGAGTTTGTTCCCGTGTCTGAGTCGGTCGGGTCAGCGAGGGAGGCATAATTGATATCTTTGAGGGCGGAGGGGCCTGCGTGGGATGGAAGTGGTCGATTGAGGGGGGGCGAGGGCGGAGTGGTCGATTGGGGCATCGTGAATGCCTGATCGCTTCTGGAGGAGAATACCATCCAGGAATGCTCGGTATCTGTCTTGATGCTAGGATATCAGGTGGGACGAAGAGTGCTAGAGGAGCTTGTGAAACGCCATAGAGTTCTAGCTGGACAAGGTACCTGTACAATGGATAACATCGGTACACGGAAAGACGAGACTAGGAATCAACAACACGAAAAGTAAAACGTGAAGCTGGAGTTGCTGACACGGTACTCTTGAATACCGAATGAAGATAGATGTCCGCAGGCGGTACACTGTCTCGATGGACCTTGGTCGCTGACCCACCGTCTATCCGCCCGCTTCCAGCCGCAACAAAAGCAAACCGATAAGATCTTAGACTTCTACTAAAACTCAAGTTGTGCAGGAATATGGAAATTGACAGACACGATGCAGACAACGTTCATCAGCCATGTCGTCAGTGCGCGCCTCGTATTGCTTCCCCGATTGAGAGGAAAGGCAGAGGATGCCAGCTAATTACAAGAATTGACGTCGGGGATTGGGTGCGGCGTGGCAGGGGGCTGAGGCCTCCGGTTCCATTGGCGGAACTCCGTTGGGGGAACTCTTCAAGTTAATACAATGATCGGTCTCAAGGAGTCATGTTTGATCGGGATAGCAGGTGTTCAATGAGAAACTAATATGACCAGTTCTAAATTCTAATCTCTAGGTTCAGGACAGCCAGGTAAGCAGATAAATCTGAGGACATCATTCAGGGGTAACGACGTCCGATATCTAAGTTCATCATTCTCATATACACCGTCATATCTTCTTTATATCCAAGTCTCCCATATCAGTCATCCATCGCATCCGCCTTTCAACATCCCTCATCTCCCCATCTGCGCCACCGCAACGGCATACCTCGCCTCCTGCACCTGCGCCACCATCTCCTCCGCTCCCTCCCTCACCTCCCTCATCCCCCCCTCCATTCCCCCCACCCCCTCCCTGACCCTCCCCACCATCTCCCACACCCTCCCTACCTTCCCCACAAAGTCCACCACCGTCCCCGAGTCGACCAGCATCTCCGCATCCCTCTCCACCGCCATCCACGCCTCAATCCGCCGCGCAAGCATCTCCGCCGCCTCCGCACATTCCCCGGCCGTCGCGAGGGAGGCGTCGATGTCGTCGACGGCGGCGAGGAGCGCGTCGTGCTGGGGGACGCAGGATGCTTGGAGGTGGAGGCGGAGGGTGAGGAAGTTAGAGAGGATAGAAGAGGGGGGGTTCTCGGTGGTGAGGTGGTGGAGGTGTTCGGCGTAGGCGTCGTCTTCGGCTGTGTGGAGTTTGGAGAATTCGGTCGCTTTTCGGCGGAGTTTGTCTTCGATGGATTCGTAGCGAGGGGGTTGGAGGGGAGTAGGTGTCAGTGCTGTTTCTGTTGCTGATACAGGAGGACTCAACGGGGAGCTCGGTCGTTGGTGATGGTGCAGTGGCGGCACTGATTGCTGGCTCTTCCGAAACGAACCAGTCTTGTTAACCGGCGGTTTCCGTCTCCAGTTCCTAAGCAGCCCTCCCAATCCACCCGACGACCCGACGCTATGCCCCGAATGTGCATCACTCGGCCGTTTCCACCCCTCCTCCCTTCGTTCCAGCGTCTGCCTCTCCTCCCTCCGCGGCGCTTCCCTCCGGTCCATCTTCTCCCTTGGAGCAAGCGTATACAGCGCTTCTTCCAGCAGCGCTCTCTTCTGCGCATCTTCTACCGGGCGCAGCACCGTCTCGATGCCGGCGATCCATGTCGCGCGAGAGAGTTTCGGCTCGTGGATCCCGCGGTGCCGTGGGGGGAGGGAATTGTCGTAGCCTAGAGTTGGAGAATCTGCACGGCCAGATCTGGCGATCACGTCTGAATCGCAGGTAGGGTTGGCGTGGGTGGAGTACGCGAGGTCGGGTAAGTTGGCGAAGTAGCGGCTTAGATCGCAGGCTTCGTAGTAGTCTTCCTGTGGTAGCGCTGCGGTGTCGAAGCTATTGAATCTGGTCATTGTATCGGTGCTTGAGGTAGGCTTAGAGACATAGGGGTTCCTTTTTCTTGTTATTGTCCTATATAGAACAGTACTGAGAGAATCCATCATGATGAGAACGATGAAGGCTGTCAATGGTGACTCCCTAAAACTAGTGGTTTGCATCTACTAGTCACTGAATAGACTCATCGTATGCGTCTGCCGTTCACTAGGAAGCGATTTGCCCGCTCACCCCAAGCACCCATATAGTTCTGGTGGATAGAGACATTATCGGATCCATACCAGTTAGATAGAGAATAAAAGTACAAAATAATACTGAGCAATAGGTATCTTAATCGACAGTCATAACAGCGTTTCAGTCATTCCCACGACGCGTCCAGCGCTCATTCATCGCCAAAGGAAGAAATCAAGGGAGTGGAGTGTGTATCTCACGTTCACAAAGGTTCCAACATTCCCACGGTTCAACATGGAGCGTCACCAGAGTAACCCGAACGATGCGCAAAGTGTCCCCATGACAATCCACACCCACCAACATGTATATCCAGTCCCCCAACTCCCCAGCAGCGCAAGCCTCACAGCAGCGCTAGTATCAGTCTTATTCCCCTTCCCCCCCCCCCGCCCTCGACTCCCCCCTGGCCCTCCCCTCCAACCCCCCTCTCCTCTTCCAAACCTCGCCAACATGCACTCCCACCGGCCCCAAACCCCCATCCCTTTTCGCCCTCCGCCCCCCCAACGCCACCTGTCCTCCATCCCCTGTCCCCGCCAACGCCGATCTCAGAATCGTCGTGCTCCTCCCCCCATGACACGCCACCACCTCCCACCCCCACCCCCCGCCCCCGGGAACCACAAACGTTGCCTGCCCATCGTCGAACGCATAGCTATACGCATCCGGACACACGCGCTTCGCATTCCGCGAATACAGCCCCGGTGCGCACTTCTCCGGCGTCGCGAACTTGCCGGCGCAGCAGTCTTCGGGGCGGTTCCATTTCGCGCATGCGGAGAGGCAGGGCTGGAATACGGGGCGGGGGATGGCGTCGTCGGGGTAGGGGTAGATGTCGGCGCCGGGTTTGGGGGGTGGGTGGAGTTGGCAGTCCCAGGGGCACCAGTGGAGGAGGGAGGAGGGAGGGAGGGAGCGGTCAAAGGGGAGGGGGGATGTGGAGTTGGTGCCGAGGAAGCGGGATTCTTCGTGGGGATTTGTGGTGTCATCGGCGTAGGGGGAGAAGTCTTGGGGAGCGAGGTGGCTGGAGGTGGCGATGCAGGAGGGGTTGGTGAGGTTGGGTGGGATGTCGTCGATGCCGGTATTTCCGGGAGCTTGTTGGCGGATTATGGCTAGGGGGATGTTGTAGCCGTCGACGAGAGAGATGTCGTAGTATGTGTTGCCGTCGCCGGCATCGAGGGTAAATTCTGCTAGAGTGACGGGGAGGTCGCCCTAGCCTGTTAGTATATCCTTTCCTCCTCTCTTTCGAAAACCTACGGTTGCTTTACAGTCCAGAAGACCGTTGCAATCTCCAGTTCCACACGCTTTCCCTGTCTGGTTGTTTTCAGGCCCTGTGCCTCCCTGATTGAAGGTGCAGTTCGTCCGCATCCATATCCTTCCTTGCCAGTGCTTGTCCAGCGTCTGGTCGCGCGACTCGCCGGGTTTCAGCTCGAATCCATGGGACTTTGGCCCTTTTCCCGCCTGTGTCACGATTCCTGGCCAGATGGTTTCCTTGCAGTTGTTTGTGATAGTTATGGGGATCCTTTCTTCCTTCTCTTGTCGACCTCGGATCCGAGGTAGAGGGTCATACGGCGGGATCCGATTCATATGATGGTATGCAGAGACATGAGGGATATCGAAGGTGACTAGGAGCATGAGAAGCACCCTTGTGACCGGCATCTCTATAGGCACCATTGTAACGCTGGCAAAGTCTAACAGTCAGATAGACGGGCCTTCTAAGACTCGTTTAGTAGACAACCAGGAAGCTACAGTGGTGCTAGTAGTGGTATCCAAGGATATAGCGGCACGAATGGGATCTTATAGAGAGATGGCTAATGGTTATATCAGTGAATGTAGTTTGAAAGGCATGAGGAACGCCCATATGCGAGGTAGCTCGGCGTCATGTTAAAGAACATCGCATGTCATTGCACGGCTGCTTGGTATTCCATGTCATCCATGAAGTACAGCTTCTTCCCTCCCAGTGGTCAATAGCGACATATTGCTCATCTAGAAACAGGGAAAGAAGAAACGCGTGGCGGGGGATGGCGATCCGTGTCGGGCTTGGTTGGATTCGATGCGCCTGTCGTGTTTCATAATATGGACTGGACATCGACATCGACAGTCTGAACTGGACGGACTTTTGGATCCATGTCGTCATTGGTGCCTCAGGGGAATTGTTTAATGCCTGAGGCCAATATATTGCATGTGCATCAATCTGATGTGGTCACACACTCACACATGCAATGCAGTCTGGGGCAGTGTCACGCGGTGGGACGGAAAAGCAAGACACATATGTCCCGAAATTTTCCCGCACACAACCAAAATGTCTAGAATCTAGGAAATTCCATCATTAATGTAGCCAATATGGTTTATACACGGTCTAAAGCTCATCAAATCGAGCGATTAAAGAAAAATGCCTCTCATCGTCATTATACGACTCCCGAAAAGGCCTGCCTTCGGGGAGAGGTGGAGCACGAAACCGCTCGTCGTAGGCAGTACGGATTCGAGACCGCCCACTCTAATACAGCGATTTTCAAGCGAAATAGAGTCCCTCGTTCGTCTGCATACCGTATCTTAAAGTCTTACAAGGACGATCGACGAATATCAGACCAGGAGACACGCGGGCGGAAGCCCCTCATCCCGCCTACCAAGCTCGCAGCCCTTGATACCCTGGTTGAATCGATGGATTACGAAGACAGGACTATATCATGGGACGGACTCGCGTACGAAGCAGATATTGACTGTTCACCACGTACGATTAAAAAAGCTATGGAGACGATGGATTACCATAAGTGTATCGCATGCAGAAAAGCGTGGGTTTCAACGCAATTGGCTGCTAAACGCGTTGAATACGCGAAAAAGATGTTATCAAAGTATCCTACACCGGAACACTGGAAACATGTCAGATTCAGCGATGAGGTCCATATTGGTCTTGGGCCCCAAGGCAAGAACCTTATTATACGAAAACGAGGACAGCGGTACTGTTTGAATTGCATCCAACGAGTTTCTGATCCGGATGAGGCGGACAAACGAAAAGTCCACGCCTGGGCAGCCGTTGGATACAATTTCAAAGGCCCTCTTGTCTTCTATAACATACCGCCGAATAATACCGGCAAAATGTCGCAGGAGGTCTACTTAAACGAGATCCTCAAACCAATCGTTAGGCCGTGGATTGCAAATCATGAGTATTTTGTATTGGAGGAGGACCAGGACTCTGGACACGCACCGCCAAGATCAACCAAAACGAAGCCCTCCGCGGTATCCCAATGGAAAAAGGACGTAGGACTCCAGTCCTACTTCAATTGCGCCGGGTCTCCAGACCTTGCGATCATCGAGGACTGTTTTCAACCTCTCAAGCAATATATACGCAAGTTTAGGCATTGGGAGCCCGATGAAACACGCCAATTAGCACAGGAGACTTGGTATGAAACACTCGATCAGGAATGGATTAACAAACGAATCCTTACAATGCCTGATCGGTTGAGAAAAGTCATTGAATCTGAGGGCCAACTAATTGCCTTTGGAGGAGGTATGGCGGGCCCGAGACCAGGATAACCGCCAGGTTTTCGTAGATATAGACTGATCATCTAAGTACAAATAGCCTCAAAAAAGGCCTGATTAAATTTCACTTGTTTTGCGTGGTGTATTGTACGTGAAACCGTATCTTCATACAAATTTGAATGGGGTAGTGGTGCCAAGACCAATATGTGTCTTGCTTTTCTGTTCCGTTTTGTTGAGTCCTCAGGCAATAAGGCTCGAGTACCTCCTTTATCTCGACTCAGCTCTGAGCTCTGTCTCACCGACATGGAGGGGTAGGGGAAGATGACTACAACTCCGTATCTTCACCTGAGGTGTTAACGTTGTTGTATCCTCCTCATTCTACCTAACAATCCATTTCTCTCGTTCGCTACCTTTGATATCAAGAGGTCCATTTGACATAACGGTGAATGATTGCAGTACCCCTAGCCAGAGCCCATACCCGAACCAGCAATGGACGACAGCATTCGAGACATTGAGTCGCTCAACATCTCCATCGAACTGAGCAGTGATTGTGATAAGTATCCTGGTGAGGCCTCCCGTTATGAGGACCAAATTGCGGAAATATTAACGGCCTCTTAGCAAAACAACATGCTCAGCATGTCGCCCGTCAACTGGGTGTTGGTAAGGGCATAATCTTCTTGTCATCTGGCAAGGATGGGAATTACGAGGATAGCGATACGCCAGTCCCGTTCCGTGTCAAGCGCTACTTCTATTACTTGAGCGGTGTCGATGAGCCCAATTGTTCCCTTATCTACAACGTCTCGACCGATGAGCTGGTCTTGAGCGTCCCTCCGCGACGCACCCCGCGAGAGAGGTTCTACCTTGGAAGCCCGTTGTCGGAATCCGAAGCTCTCCAGCGGTATGATTTCGACGCGGTGGTGGAACCTGTGAAGTTCCTAGAAAGGATATCAAAATGGTTTGATACAAGTGACGGCGACTTCTACTTGCTCAGTTTCACCGAGTTGCCAAGTTACCTGCAGTTGCTATACAACAAGTACTACCAGCGTTTCAATCTTTGCGGACTTTACCCTGCAATCAACGAATGTCGAGGGATCAAAGATGATCATGAGATCGGCTTGATCAAGAAGGCCAACGCCATCTCTGCCAAGGCACATCGTGCCGTCCTCGTGAACCTACGCAAGTTCAAGAATGAGTTTGAAATCGAGAATCAGTTTTTGTTCACTTGTCGCGCAAATCGAGCGAAGAGGCAATCCTATGAGGTGATAGCCGGTGCCGGTCAGAATGCTGCAACGCTCCATTACACTGCAAATGACCAGTCCTTCGCGAAGGACAGGAAACAGCTGGTCTGCATGGACGCCGGGTGCGAGTGGGAATGCTACGCTTCGGATGTCACCCGAACATTCCCTATCTCGGGCCACTGGCCATCCCAGGAGGCCGAGGAAATCTACTATTTGGTCAATAATATCCTGCGGGTCTGCGTGGGCATCCTGAAGCCCGGCGTGAACTATCGCGGTGTCAACTTTCTGGCTCATCAGATCCTGGTGAGATGCTTCCTGAAGCTTGGCATATTCCACAACGGATCCGTCGAGGAGATCCTGCAAGCAGGCACCTCGTTGGTCTTTCTTCCCCATGGCCTCGGCCATCACATGGGGTTGGAGGTGCACGATGTCTCGGGCAGGCCGTTGATTTACCATACTCGGGAGGATATGGCTGCGAGGCAACATTTACCCGCCCCCGATGTCGGGGTGTTAATCAAGCAGCCACTGGTCGCTAACAAGGCATCAGAAGGTCTTGAATCAGGCATGATTGTGACCGTCGAGCCTGGCATCTACTTCAACAAACCCATCCTCTCGGAATACCGAAAAATAGAACCGCATAGAAGCTTCCTCAATACGAAGGTTCTGGACCGATACCTGCATGTTGGTGGCGTCCGTATCGAAGACGATATCCTCATCACAGACAAGGGGAATGAAAACCTCACGACCGCCCCGAAAGGCGAATTTGCACTCAAGATTATTCGAGGCGACGTCGATGAGCACGCCAAAGCCCCGTGCGAAGAGCGCATGGTAGTTACTCCAGAGACTGCTGTGGAAACTGCCATAATTTCATTCAAACTCCATCACCAGCGGATTTGTCGGCGTTGGCAAGAAAGTGTATATGATCCCGTGAAAGAGTGCTCATTGGTCTCCTAATTACAACCGGGCGATACAACTCACCACAAGTCCTGAATATCCAGCTCAATACAGGAATGTCAACATCTCCCCCCTGCGCAACTTCTCTGCCACCGATCTCTACACTGCTCAACACCGCACCGCCGAACCATTCCCCGGCGCTGAACCATTCCCCGGCGTCTGTGAGAACGTCACATTACCCAACCACTCTCGAAGGATAGCGTTGAACTCGACGGGTTTCTCTTCGTGCGGCCAATGAGCAGTTTCAATTGTCTGCCACACTTGTTAGGCCGTGAACGCAAAATCTCTGGAACATCAACATACCTGGTTGAAGTGGTTTGAGAGGAACGATGCCGATCCAATTAGTTCGGCAAATTCTTCCCAATCCGAAACGGGATCCTTAGTCATGAAGAGGGTGAAGGTTGGTTGGGGCAAGGTGTAGTTGCCCTGACCTATCTCGAACTGGTAGGTGAGGTTTCTATTGCCCAGTTGATACCCGTTGAAAGCTATGTTCCGTATTAGCCTGCCACCTCTCTATTTATCGTTTCATATTTTATTCGACCATAACTTACTATTGTAGAATCCTTGCTTGCTATATGAGTCGACCATGTAGTCCTCAACAGTCTTCGACATGATTCCAGAGGCGGGTATTTCCGTCAGGTTGTTTTCCTTGAGGTATTGTTTCCACGGTCCTAAGAACGTCGTGTTCTTTGTCAAAAACTCTGCAGGCGGCGCCGTCTCCGCAGTCCGCGCACATGATCGGATCGACGCTCGAATGTCCGAGTCCAACTCCTTCGCCGCCGGCTTCTCCATTTCATCGAGGTACACTTGGTAGGTGAAGAACGGGTTCAATGCAGCCAGCGCCCTGTTCGTCGAAAATCCAAGAGTTGCGGACACATACTACGGCTGGTGAGCCACCAAGGCGATCAAGAACTGAGATGCAAGACACATACCGGAATCCCGATGTTAAACACCCCGACGAACCGATCAGGTCGGCTCCGTCCCGCTTCCCAGCACAATTGCGCCCCGAAATCGTTCCCGACGCACACCCCGGTATCGACGCCCGCATTATCAAGCACGCAGAGCACATCATCCACGAAGTCGTACATCGTATTTGATGACTCCAAGTCGACCGGATGCTGTGAATCGCCATACCCACGATGCTCGGGCACGATAATCCGATATTCCTTTGAGAACTCCGTGATCTGGTTCCGATACGTCGTCCACAAGCTCGGCCAGCCGTGGACAAGGACGAGGGTCTTGCTGGCGGTGGGGTTGATGTCGAGGTAGGCGAGGCGGAGGTTGGTGGGGACCGGGGTGGCGCCGCTGCGGTCGACGGCCGGGCAGGTGACGAACGTCTTGCGGTATTCCCATGGGTTGAACGATGCGGGTTCCTGGGCTGAGACGAGGGAGAGGAGGGCGCAGTGGAGGAGGATGAAGGAGAGGAACTTGGTGGTGAACATCGTGAACTATGGTTTAAGGAGCGACTGAATGAGCTAAACGAGTGTACGGCCAACAGCACAAGGAACAGGAGGGGGACGCGACGAATTAGTATGGGGATGATATGTTTCCGGCTCTCTTGTGGATCTAGGTTGTTTCTATGTCAAGATATAGCAAATATCCGTCTCCCTTTCCCCCAAGCCTCGGTCTAGCATATCGTAATACGATTCCTCCAGCTAGGATATACGTTGCGTGAGCCCTCTACAAATCACAATGCCCAAGTCTCGGTATCACCCTTCCGATCTGTCTCCGCGGACGCATCCTTGAGCCAGAAGGCACCCCGCAAGAGCCGCACGAAGGCCACGGTACCAGCAACCATCACGGATTCGCGGTTGAAGAATTAAGCTCCGGTTTTCTCGATGCTTGAAACCGGAAATGCTGGGTGGTCGCGCGCATCATGTATACTCGTACCGTCGTACCCACTGCCAAGCTCAGATCGTCCGACCCAGTTCGGTGGTCGGTAATGGAGTAGGGCTCGTTTCGGGATATGTAGCCCGCGGTTCTACGTAGTTGGGGACCAATAGGATCGCAAGACTTCCGGCTTCTAGAAGAGTTGCTGGATTGGGTTTGGTGAGGTCGCATTTAGTTTCAAACTAGGTGAGAATCATGAGATGCTGATTTCTGGCTGCTGCCCTAGCTCACGGAGCAGGCATGTTTAAATGATGGCTTCGAAAACTTCACCTTAAGGATGTTTCGACTTGCTGTGGCCTGTATGCCACCATCGTCCTCTGGTCTCCGGAGCATACCTTAGGAAACCGAATCTGCGGGTGTCCAATTTCACCAGCGTCGCTGTGCAATACAATCCTAGGATGTCAGCCCTGTTCATCGCAGAACTGACCCCGACGGCAAGCTGCGAGTAGGGTATGCCAAACCGACCAGAATTCATCAAATTCTCCCCAATCACATTGTAGGACAGAGATATCAGATATTGCATGCGAACAAGACAAGAATCTCTATAATACATTCGTAAACAATGCTGTACAGGAAAGACTTCACCATGACTATTGACAACATTTCCCGAGTCGTGGTTCTGGAGTTGAGACGCCGAGTCGCAGTTGAGAAGATGGGTTTATTGACAAACTCCTCAGGCATTCAACTGAAGATGAACTTGGAGCAGGAGTTCATAGTTACGACTTACGAGGAGTGACAAGGTCCTAGAGAACTCACGGACTTTCGCCCATTTCTCGCTTCCCAGCCTCCCAAGTACCATCACGTGGCTGCACTTTGCAGTTCTACCTTAATTACTTCTGCACTCCTTCCCCATTAACTCCATACTCCTGCATAACTTGCTCATAACTTCAGCATGGAACTTCCGCCCAACTTCTAGAAATGCACGTGATAATTTGGCACTTGCCTCCTGTATCGCTGATCGATCTCAAACTTGAGTTCTCCTTCACTTCTTGCCTCTGGACTTCTGGAGGTGGTTTGTAGCACAATCATGCTTGGCGGAAAGAAGGAGCCCCGAAACTTGGAGGCCTGCATCCCAAAGCCACACTCAGTTGAGACAGTCGTGTCGATAATTCTCATTTGTGAAGCTTAACTCTGCGACATCATTGTCATCTCGTCCAATCTTGGCAGAGAATATCATTCAACGATAGCAACCAGTCTGACTAATCGACACGTGTGTCTTGGGAAATCCCAATAATAATTTGAAGCATGTTCTTCTACTCTGTGCAATATCAATTATTTTCTTGGTACCTTATCAACCCAGTTTTAGAGGTTAGTAAGAGGTCTCGCGTCGCACACGGTCATCTTCATCACAATAAGATTTTACGTGGGCACTAGAAGTGAGTTTACTTCACAGATGAGGCTCATTTCAGAACGGAAGAACTATCAACTGAAGATGAATGAGTTTCGAGAGCTTCGTATTCACGATCGCCCCAACGAATTTATGGGAGGCTCGGAAATCAGTGTTTAAGCTACTCTTCACGTCGCCAGCGGCATTTCGTATAACCACAAAGGCCCTCTCGTATTCTAGAACGATCATGATAATCCTACAGCTCCTCGGCTATATATACCACGGACTTCGCGTCGGTCGAGCAACTGCGGAAAGGACAGATTCGTCCTAGCAATATTAGCCGTGCTGGCCTATGCAATTTCGGAAAGCTGGCTGGCACCGTGGCACGAACGTCTTGGACATCTGGAGGAGCAGTACATTAAAAGGCTGCGGAGGATATCAACATGAATCAGGCCGCTTCCAAACGCATTTACCTGCGTGTCCGGTATAAATTCCGATTTCAGAGAGAATCCACATAATCACCCATAATAAACGTGGAGAATGCTCACTTCCACCGCGTCTATCGCGAAGACTTTGCTGATCCCCTCCTTGGAGTATCCAACCCCCCCGCTAGCTCGACTTCCACGACGACTTCATGAGAAGCAAGACTAGGAGGCCATAGAAGCGTCTTGGGGGCGATATATCATGCATGTGTCTAGTGGAGTAGATTCTTGAACTCCAACCTGCCAGTCGATCATAGAACATATCTAAAATATGGGTTCTCCTTGTCCGTCAGATCTTGGAATGCCAGATTTGCTCTTTCTTCTTCGCTACCTACTACGGCGTCTCTTTTCCTATTCTCGGACGAGAGAACGAAGTATAGGGCAACGGAAGCAGCCATGCAGATGACGTAACTGGAATTGTTAGAAAGTGAGCGGTATATAGAAAAGGAAATTTTACCATATGATTAAGCCTGTCCATAACTCTGGATAATGTTGTGACTTCGACTGCGACCGCACTAGTTGAGGTCCGATGATATTTCCTACACAGTAGGCAACGAAGATGGTGGCTGCTGTAAAGCTCTTCTTGGTATGGCCTGCCACGTTAGACATTCCGAGTACTATGGTGAGACTAGCGACGCCGCCAAAAGAGCCAGTGATAGAATAGCCGACCACAGGTGCTACTGCATGGTAAGTCCAGGAGCTTTTCCAGATTATTGCGCAGCCTGCGATGACGGGAAGACAGCAGAGTAGCAGCATGATGATTCGGATATTTGGAATCTTAGAGCCTAGGTAACCGGTGAGAAGGATGGTAATGAAAGCGAGGCCGCCTAGCGGGAATTGAAAGAGGATGGATTCTAGGGTGTCCCAGCCAAAAGTTGAAACAATCAGGGGTCCGAATCCACTGACAGCTCCGTTTACTGTGTATCTGATAGTGACATTAGATTTTTATTGAGATATATGAGTGGTCACTTACGCAGATGCCATCATTATTGCTATAAGCCAAATTTTTAAGTCCATCACAGCTTCTTTCAGCTGTGACTTCTTAAACTTTATGCACCTCACACCAGTTTGGCCATACCGCAGCCTTTCAACTGCTGCAAACCTCTCTTCTTTTGTCAAGAACCAAGCCGATACGGGAGAGCTTGGTATCAAAAAGCAGAATAATCCAAAAAAGAAAGTCAAGGATCCTGCAAGTAGATAAATGTACTGCCAGGAATGTAAACCACCAGTAGTGATCTGTGCAAACGCATAGTTCAACGCACCACCCAGTATCCCGAAAAGACCCGTACTGCTGATCCACCAACTCTGACGCATCGACTGCTCCGCTTGAGTATAGTAGCTAGATACAATGCACATGAACCCGGTTGGGATAACGCTCTCCACGAATCCAAGGAAAAACCGCTGAGCATACAGACCCTTGTATGTTGTGACAGCGGCTGTCACCATACAGACGCCTGCCCATAGAATAACCAAAAATCCGAGGACGCGGCCGACGTTGAAACGCTGCAGCGCGTAGCTCATAGGATATAAGCCCGCCAGCATTCCAAAGTAAAAGAGGGAAGTGGCCCAACTGAGTCGTGTGGTGTCGACCTTGGGCGGTGTAGTCGATTTGTCGACGAGACTCAGTTCAAGGTCAGTGGTCATGCCGAAGAGGACTGCGGAACCGAGGATCGCTTTATCGTAGAAGACGAGGCCAACTGGGAGTTCATTAGCTATGGCTTCAGTCACTTTTCGAATGTTCGCTTGCATCCGAAGACCATGGCGGGAATTAAGAAAAGGTCGATCTTTCGCACTGCCCTGGCCATCACGACTGGATCAATGTTTCGTTCGACCTCTCCGACCATAGTGATTGCCACGTCCTTTTCAATATCGGCATGATGGTCATCATAATCCTCCGGATATCGGACGGCATTTTGAGTGGTGGGAGGACCACCCTGGTGTTCTGTCATTGCTAAAATCGTTGTTTCAAGTGAATTCGCAATCCTTCGACGGAGGCCCTTAAGTTGAAGCGCTGTTGACAGTAGGTACCGTACTATTGACGAATATATAGGAAAGAAATTGACAATCCATAATAATCTTTTAAATGTGTGATATTTGCCGAGTATTGATGAAGTGAAGGCCGTACTAATGCAACCTTATGCAGCAAGCTTCACGTGTCGCAGAAATGAGGTTGATTAGGCGGGCGCCACGTTATGCGTCTCCTCCGGAAAATGAGTCAGGCGTAAACCTGTAAGCGGAATGTTTTTGAATAGATCTCGAGTATTCTCGATGTGTCGATAGAGATGCTAGCAGCCTCTATCCGCTATCAGTATCAGATATCCCCTTTCTAGTAAGTAGTAGACGGGCAGATTTCAGTTTAAACCACATTTGGCCACTCCTTGCAAGCTTACAGGAAGAAACAATGCGAACAGTGACTCGGATGTTTTGGTCAGTGCGCGAATCCTTGTCGACCGTCAAACGAATCCTGCAGTAGTCTGCACCACTCACCAGCGAAGGGGATGCGCGGATGGGAACACTACCCGTCCTAGGGCACCGGCTACCGGCCACTACTGTACGCCCCCCATGACCCTACATGGACACTTCCGCGATCAACGGTCGTGGGACAATGGGTCTCAGGCCCCAGACGGCCCTGGGGGCATTCCTCGACGCCTGGACGGGCGGTCCTAGGCGTGGGATTTGGGGGAGGGTGTGGGCAAGGGAGGCAAGAGTAGAAACGGCTGTTCTCTATAGAATTGTTAACTTTCTAGGAACTAGTTGTCTTGGTTGTAAATCATTCCTTAATCGAATCTGTTGTTTGACAGTGTCGATTGGGTGTCTGATGAACGAGCCCCATTTCAACGTGGCACCAATGATGAAAGCTGCCGTTAGATAATCCTGGACTGGCCAGCCTTCCTCAGCCTTATCCCTGCACTTTAGTCTTTATACAGAGTCGTCCGCACGGTGATGAGATAATTTAAGCGTCCCCATTTTCGAGACTAGAGTCCTACGTTACGTTTACTGCGAGGAGAATATGAACGCATTGGTCAAGGCAGACAACGACTCTGCGTCCCTGACCAGCCTGTATATCCTCCTCATCGCCACATTCGTCGGACTTTGAATCATCATGCCCAAGGGAAGTGTTCGTGGGGTTCTTTGGGATGCCAATGATGAGTTCAACCCAGCGGAAGCATGTGGTTGGGACTTTGAAAAGGTAATCTAGATATCTCTGAAGCTAAATTAGTGTTATTGACAAGAGATAGATTATAGCGTTCGGACAAAGCGTCTACGATTCGCCCGAGAAGTTCGGCATAGGCATTACGGACGGGCCAGATGATATAGCATTCAAGAATTATCTCAATCACTCGTGGCCGGTTGTCAAAAAGACACTGGAATGGAGATGGGTGTTTTGCGCCGGAGATCCAGCCAAAGGGTCACCCGGGTGGATGTTCGTGGGATGGGATAAAATCCAACTGCCAGTATGCACGGTTTACGATTTCTATGCATGGCTTCTCTCAATAGCGATTGTCCCAAGAGCCGCGGCCAACAGTCGGAACTTCTATCTTCCTCTTCTTGTCTGCTTTGGAAACTGGTGCTTCAAGATCGCGGAAAATACTTCCGGCTTATGGATGCATTCTCCGTTCATGGTATCAATTGTACGATACCACTCCCTAGTCGAGCCTATAGTTCCTAGGGCATTCCTGGGAGTAACCATGCCAGACTCGAAGGCATTTGAAGAAGATCGTGACCGAACTCAATACGTGCATGCGATGCGACAGAACGACATCTACCGATATACGTCACTTGTGCCGAATCCGAGGAATCCAGACAATAACCAACCTTTTGGGCGCTGTGCTGAGACATTCTTTTGGATGTTTGCTAAAAAGTAAGTCGAGTAGCATTTATTACCTGCAAGATCGGCGAGATTCGATGCGCTAACTACATGTACTGTCATTAGCCCATCTGTTTGTAATTTGGAAAAATCCGTGTACGGAGTAGCACTCCAGATACGAGAGGGCGAGTACTCGCTGATCCCAGTCGATGAATACCAAATGGGGAGGGAATTGAACGCTCTGAGAGATCCTTGCCGAAAGTCTTGTCAATATCTGGCTGCACAAGTGAAGTCCTCCTGGGCTGGCGATGGCTGGCGGGAGAGCTTCGACATTAATCTTGCAATTGATCGCCAGTGGTAAAATCGAGGACGGATGGTTTGAGCTGTGTCGTGTTGGGATGACGTTTGTGCACTCTCTTAAGACCCTCATGCGCTCTCTGACCCTACTTCACACCGTAAGGCCGTCCATGAGTATGTAGCGATGGCCAGTCTAATTAATCGTCACGGCCTAAATTTATACCTCTATTACCAGCGTTCCGGATCCTAAAACTACTATCGTTCAGCTCTAAAGAACTCTACAAAAGACTATTCGAATTAGTCCCCATTTGGCTGCCAATCCTTTCTAAAAAAAAGATCGAGATAGTGGTGTCCCGCAGCTACAAGTGCCAAAACCTTTGTCAGATCAAACTCGATGTCCCAGTTCAAGTTGCGTTCGCCATAAATCACTCCAAGACAGGGGTCTTTTCACGTTCGGGTTCGCTGTCCAAAAACTCAAGCACAGGGCCATCATCTGCACATCTTTTCCAACTCTTTAATAACAAGCTCAGGCTTAATTGGCCATACTCCTCGTCCAGCCGGCGCGGAGAACTCGTGGGGTGAAGGATTTCTCCCTGCCGATGGTTGAAGCTCTCATTACCCAGGCGTGCAGCCTCATTCATAGCCTTTGCATGCCAGTGCTTGTACTGCTGAAAAGGGATTCCATCCAGAGAGGTTGTAAATGGTATGAGCCTGCCAGAACAAGAAAGGGGTTGGTTGGTTTTTCTTCAGCAGAGATGCATTCAATGACAGTGACCAATTTCCATGTCATGGCACTTCCGATGATTGCATTTGCTTCAGGAAAAGCAGTTATAACCTTCTCAACCTTCCCCTGGCCAATCTGAAAGCCTGTCTCATCCATGTTGTAGACGTTGCATGGGCGGATGTGGTGGCTTTTGATGACACTCTCCCAGCGATCATAAAAAGCCTGCACTATCCATTGCAATATCTTCAGCCTGTATATGCTTAGGATCCATGGCGTAGTAAGGACCTACGCAATACTCGTGCAACGTGATATTTTTATTTTCACAGCGTCGGTACTTGGTGACAGCTGCAAGGATTCCACTCTCCTGATCATCTTCCTCAGGGGGCATGTTGGTGTTAAGATAATTAACTATTTGAGTGGAGTCTACAGATTTTGCGTTGTGTGGTTTGCGTTGACCTGTGGCGCACCCACCCTGGAGGGGGGAAGCCTGGCACGAGGCGTTCGCAGAATGCATTTTCGGTGTAGGGTGAGGCCAAACTCAACATTGTTTACAAATTTTCGAACCAACACATGAACTGTTGCTGAGGGGAGCGAGGTAAGCGTTGGGGACGGTCGCACTTGCCCAAAACATTTAGCTACGACGCCCAAGCAATCGACCGACTTGAAATGAATGGTTGTGCTGCAACCCTTGTCGCTTCGCCGTTCACTAGTCACCCCTCCAGCTCGCTTCACACTTCACTTCCATGATTCCAGCACTTTAGCTATCTGCCACATGAATCAAAGTTGGTCTGCTATGTGTCTATCAATTGTGCCACAGCGACACTAATTCTATAGGAAAAAGTATGATGGCTTCTCGAAGGATTATCCAACTGCTGGCACTTTTATCCGTTGGACTTTGCTGCAGCTTTGGGCGACACGTCGAGTGCAAAGTACTGTAATGGTACAACTTTAACTTTGCTGGTCTTACAAGTCGATTGACATATGTGGAGGTATTATTGGCCCAAGACATGGACAAGGTTGCGGGCTGTTTGGTGTTGAGAAGCACCTTGGCCTTTCCTGCTGACAATCGACTGCGCTTGGGGGACTTTGGAGATTAACTGTTGAACACATCTATAACTTCACAAATCAGCTGTTGCAAAACCGAAGGACTGACCCCTAGGGAATCTGCATGGTCCTACGAGGCATGGAGTTTGGTAAGGTGTTTGAGCTTGGTCCGGAATAGAACTCGGACCGGTTCTTATAATTTAAGTCGTTCATCTAGATTCCGCAGACATGGATCTTCTTCTTGAGTGATTGATGTTTGAATCAACTGGAGCCATTCCAGGACACGGAGGCAAGTTGCAAGTTGCAAGTGATTGCAACAAAGTACTACCACTGGATAGTGGCTTTCGGAATAAATAATAATCCTATCCCCAGGTCGGATACGTACAGCCTTTCGTGGTTTTGCACCATATTTATTCACTTCGCACTTGGCACTTCACTTAAGCAACATTGACTGGCAATTCATATTTCTGTAAAGCTACCTATCTAAACATTTAGATCTCTTAGCCGGATTATTTATTTAACCCCTACCTGTCCGAGAGATGGGTTGTCCGGATAATTCTTCTTTCCCTATTAGGAGTAGGAGGAGACACCATACGGGTTACCACTCTATTCCTCGTACCTGAATCGCGTTCAGTCCGCAATTGGGGACTGCGTTCTCTCCTTACGTAGACTTGTTCCGGGCCATTGGAATACCTAGTTCTTCCAAACAAAACATCCCTCTCCCTTTCTCTTGTTCTCAGCGTTGTGAACCGCTGGTGACCCAGTATGTTCGCCACCGACTGTCCTTGTAACGCATCGACTCGGCCTCCATTCTGCATCGAAATCAGTCGAAATCCACACGCTGGTTGGGTGAACGAACCTGCTCTTTGATCTCCTCCAGCAGAGCGGTAATGTCGATCGTGTCTCCGGCGAGTGGCATTCTAAAAGGCGGCGGCAGTTCGTCGTCCTCAGATTCCTCATTCCCCTCAGACGAATTTGAGGAACTTCTTCCGTCATCAGTGTCTTCATCGTCCTTTGGTTTGGGCTTATCTTCTCCTTTTGAACCCTTTCCCTGGTTTTTCTTTTCACAATCCGGTTTTCTGGGTGGTTTGGAGGGGCCTGGTGCAGGCCGCCTGCGCTTCTCTTCTTGTATCAGAGCTGTGAGCCAAGTCAAGTTTGGCCGGATAGTGAATTGGGTTCTAAACTCAGGTTTCAGAAATGCGCCTTTGACATCGTTCGAACTTAGGAGAAGAAGTCGGTGTAGTCTTCCGTATCGTCGTTTTACCCTAACCTTCAACGGATGCAAGTGAACAAATCATCCGCCATGATATGGGGAGAGTCGGAATCATACCTGAACACAGAAACGGAAGGTAAAGCAGGCTGACAAGGCTCTGAGAATGACCTCTACAAACCCTTTGGTCAGGGAAATCTGTCATGGCAGATGAAAAGTGGGAAATGAGAACATTCATTTACCATCGTGGGCGTCGGATGGGCTCCGAATCTTGCCAGTCACTTGCGATAGGATTTCCTGATAGGATTTCTTGAATGGACCATTGAGGGGAAAGTCCAGATATGGAAGGACACGCTTTGCAACTACATGAATCTTGAGGGTACGTTTCAGATCCGGTGTCAGCTGTTTGGTTTCTTCCTGGTTTCCTGCCCAAAACCACTGATACTGCGCTGGTCCATGGTTGCAGCCTCCGCGTTTTGACATCGGCGAACATCCATCTTCATCGACCAGCCGATGAGCACTGACACTCCACGATTCTACGGCATATTGCACGTTTAACTCGGCGGAACGAGTTAGCCCAATCGAAACGTTCGCAGATGGCGTTGCGGACATCGTCAGTCCAGCTTGGGGGTTGACTGAGGTCGTCGTTTTCTTGGTCACGGTGAACGCGGCTGATGCGTCGGATTCTGGCGTCATGACGAGTACCTCGTTGGATGAGTCACTGAAATATCGAAGGCAGATATCATGTGAGAATGGCTCATGGTTGTTTCTAATCTCAGTCAGCTTCACTCTCGCGGCAGAATGTTCATGATATTGACCGCTTCTGGGAATGGTATTGCAGAATCGTTGCCTCAATATTAAATCTCGCAGCAATGTGGATGTTCCCCCGAAGACGCTCAACCGTAATTGTAGGACTAAGAACAACGAATGAAATGTACGGCGCCTTATTGTTTGGACCAGCGAAATACTGATCCTTTAGATCGTCACAAAGCAAGGCAGGCACTCTGACCGCAGCGTCCAGGCTTGCAGTGTGCGCAACCAGCGTCTTAAGGAGGTCGCCAGGAACAGCCTTCAAGATTACAATGTATCCCGGGTCATTCTGTTGAGAATCAGCGGCGTTGTTCTAGACTAGGCCGGGCTCACGACACCAACCTCGTGCCATTTCCATGGCAGTCGAAACACATCTAAGGTTTCGGGACTGATGATATCGGCACGCATCTCGTATCTCAGATTAGTCCAGGTAGATAGTGGGATACCACAGCTGCGTTATGCTTACCTTGGCAAATGTCGGGCGGGATGCTCGGTCAGCATCGTTATCCCCTGATTCAGGCATACTCTGGTAGGTGCGATACTCTTTGAGACCTTGTAAGCGTAACCTGAATGATACTTGTCGGTCAGAGGCCCAATAGCAATAGGTAAGCTGTTAACCACCGTCAGAAAAGCAAAGGCGACTCTTGTTCTTGTATCCAAAGGACATATGAAGCTAACAATAGGTGTGCAAGTATGAGTTGTTGAGGCTTGGCTCGCGTATTCATCAGGCTGTCGGCTACTGACACTTCATTGGGCGTTCATCTTCGAAGTTGATCGCCATGGTCATCTTTGGGGAGTTTACAACCAGGAGGGGGACGGCGCACGCGCGATGCCCGACTACCAGGACATTTGAAACTTCAACGGTTGACGAGCTACGGTTAAATACACATCCCTTCAAAAGGGACATCAATATTCCGCTACACTTACGGAGTGTACCGTTCCAAGTTCAACAACAGACAGACAGACCATCATGAATTTCAAGAAAAAAAAGATCTTGGGGCAACCCGGGATCGAACCAGGGACCTTATGATACTCCAGAACCGAATCTTCAGTCACACACTCTCCCAACTGAGCTATTGCCCCGATCACATGATGTAATATCATGAACCGTCACTTGTCAACTTTTATACGAAATCCGATTTGATCCCGAGTATTACCAAACGAACTCTTTATCTTCTCCCGTTCCTTAGTAGCACTGGATGCTCAAAAATATAGTTGTTCGTATTTGTACCATCGTTAAAATCCAATTGAGAAACGAGATAAGCCTTTGCAGCAGCCAACGTAGCAAGCGAACGTCACACAACTAGAAAATCCCTCAGCTCCCCATTAATTCTCTCCATCTCCCGACCGATACGTTCGACTTCTGAAGACACTTGTCTCTGCAACTCGGGATATCGTTCTCCTTCCACCGCCGCATTTTCATTCCTCAACATATCCAGATCCGCCTGCACCGCATCCAGATTGGAAGCAACGACTTCTTGAATTCTCCTTTCTAGGTCATCTACCCACCAGTAAAATTTTTCACTGCAACGCTTTCGGAGCTCTATGAATAGCTCTCCATCACCAAAGCGGCGACTGATGATATCCTTGCGCCGTCCATGACTACCGCGTCCTGTTGAATCCATAAGCGATGCGAGATAGAGGTTGAGAGAATGCGGATGAACAGACCTCCTTCGAGATTGCAGCTTCGGTAGGATCCTTCCATAAGCTCGCCAATAATGGAGCTACGTATCCCGGTGAAAGTGTCTCTTTCGATTTGTCTACTCGATGTTAGTAATTGAAAGCCGTTTAGATCCAAGCTCCCATACCGAAGATCGTCCTCAAATGACTCTTGTGTCCGTTCTACTTCATCAAGAAGGAGACCACGTCTATGTTGGAGCGTGCCACCCAAGGTTCTTATCGTGTTGACTGGGATAGCGGTGGTGGTAGCTGAGTAGCGGTTAGCTATGAGCGAGCAGTGTAATAAAAGAAAGTTTGACATACATAGGGACTGGAGTATGGTATCCAAAGTCTCTCCAATCAGACTACAATCCTGAACATTCTGATCTTCGAGACCTTGGCATAGTCTATCCCAATGCTCGGCCATAGTAGTTACCATCGCCTGCATCGCCTCGTCATTCCAACAGCGAGATCCAACCTTTTCCGTAGAGTGATCCCCGTAATTTCGGCAAAAGGCTGCATAGGTACCTTCGTCATAGTTAGAATGTATTGCAAGGCGGGTGGAGATTGGTGTTACTGTGATGCCACTGTCACTTGTTAGTCTTCATTGCGTCTACTAATATCACTGTGAAATGCTAGTACTAACCTCATTCCAGTCGAGACTGGCGGCTTTAGCAGCGAGGGTCCATGGGTAGCTCTGGACTCCTGTAACGAATAAGCTTCAAAGCATAACTGACCGGAGTAGCTCACGAACTCATGTTTCGAGGTATAAGCTCTTTAAATGTTCTCTTCCTGATCATTACGTTTTTGCTTAAGCCCGAGCCTGGCATCGTGAGCTTATGCGGATTTTAGATTAGCTAACATGCGGCACTTCGAGCCAGTCAGTGTACTTACAACCAGGAGTTGCTTGTCGACATCATCGATCAGATTGCGGATAGCTTCTTTTCGTCCAGCGTCAATACCTCCCGCACCGGATTGAACCCATAGCTCAATAGACCCGAGCAGTGCTGGAATCTCATGTTCGATGTATCCTTTTGCAGCACGGAGCTGACTTTGCGCAACAATGGAGATACAATGTTTCCGAATTCCGGGAATGCCGCTTAGGTCCATGTATGGCTGGGCCTTCTCCCGTGGTTTCTTTCGAAAGTTCCAATAGTCCGTGTTGCTTACGCAAAACGTGGTTAACTCGATGTTAGGGAATTTTCCATTGTATTCCTCAGTCAGTTTCCGCATGACATTACGACTTCGGGTTGTCATGAGATGCGATTTCAGCCTAGTGCAGCAATCAGTGGGCGTCCATACATCGTTGGGCAATACACCTACTGGAACTTATGGCGTTCCTCCGATGCCCTGAAATGACACAAATATGTGAGCAGAACCTTTAGACAATAAGTAGTATGTGACTCACTCGAAGGATTTCTTGTCGTTTTTGAGCTGCCAATACTCCTTGCTGTCTTCACCATCCATTTCCTCAGGGTTATCGCCTTCAATATCTTCAAGCTCACTGTTAGTGTGACTGATTCGGTCGCGATCGGTTTGAAGCTCTTCCATCAATCCATTGAGAGTTGTTCCGTCTTCACCACGCCAATCGCGCCTCGCCTCATCTGCTCGAATATCCTGTCGCTTATCAGTGCACGGCTACAATATCCGATGAAGTTGAGCCGAGGGATAATCCAATAGGGATAGAGAACACGTACATCGGCCTGTGTACAAATTATTCCGATATTCCTCAAGTTAACTCTTCGGGCAAGCTGGAGTACATCCCGCACACCAACATCAGTCGTGGCACGACCGATCTTGCAGACGGCAAAGATCTCGTCACAATTCAGCATGTAACGTTCGGTGACTTTCGTTCGAGCTGAATTGATGTCCCTTAGGCCTGGAACTGGGATCAGTATATAGTTGAGAACGAACGTTTTTCGGATTTTGGGAGGACTACTCACCAGGAAGATCGGCTAAGATAAGACCTTTACTCAGGATGTATGCTTTCAAATAGATGCTGTTGCCATTAGCGCTAACCCCGCAAACGTTAGACTTTGGCACATACCTAATCTTGCAAATGAATGGCCATGCTCCTCCATCCCGTTCGGAGCTCGAAGTCAGCTCCATCAATCGCGTGGAGCACGCTTCAGCAGTGGTAGCCATATGTCTCCTTTGGGCATTGACATCTCCGTCACGCAGGGGGGTATCCAACTCCTTAGCCCAATCAAGAAGCCTATTCAGGGGTGTTGCCATTGGCTCATCCAAGAGAAACCCTTCATTTCGCCTCAGACGAGTCCCAAATGCAGCCCGGAAGGTGTCTCGAGCAAGGGCAGCGTGTTCCCTGAAACCCTCGCCCCCGTCCTCAGGATCAGACTGGTCGCGGAGATGGTATCTCCGATAGCCATCTAGCAGGTCACGGAATTGGTCGGTAATCTCAGCCTCGTTGAAGTAGTCCACCACGATAATGAAATCATCTCGATTGTGGTGGTGGAACTCGGTCACTACGCATGTACACGCAGCGCCGCTGTTGCTCTATCGTAATGGTCAGCATCGCAAGTCAAGCAAGGTTGGGAGAACAATATCGCTACTGACAGTCTTGGCCAAACCTTTGATATCCAACAGCGTATTCAGGAGACTACTCTTGCCTAGAAAAGATATGATTATTGGCACATTCGTAAAGACACGGAAGGGTACTCACCTGCCCCCGAGTCTCCAATGAGGCCGACTGTACGGGTTGAGGGACATTCAAATGCACTCAAGTTCTGTGCACGCTCATAGAGACTAGCGAATTTCGACCCCGACTCAGTATGTAATGGTAACTGCCGCAACACCGATACCAAACCAGCGACGAGTCCCTTCGCGTCTTTATATCCACGCTGGAAGTCCTGACGATGGAAGGGCTCCTCTGGAGGCTGTTCATCTTCGACCCTATAAGGGTCCTCGTTTATACGAGAACTAGATCGCCGTCGAGATCCTGACCGTCGACGCCTGGTCGAATCAGGAGTCGTACTCTCTGGGCTCAGCGAGTTGCGAGGGGTGCTGGGCGTTGGAGTTGGGAAATTGCGTTGTGACCCACTTGACCTTATCCCCAAGTTTTGCATCCGGCCCGCAATGCTGCTTGTGGAGGATCCTGGGTTTTGCTGGTGGTCGGCCGCATGACTTATTTCAGCTAGGGACAGTGTTTGGAACCCTCCTGCAATAGAGCCGGTGCTCCCCTGACGAGTTGGAGTAGCATTTTCGAATAAGTTCAGAGCACGAGTGCGTTCCGTTAGGCCATCTGTTGTAGAGCTTGGCATCGGGCTTCCCCTACTTGGTGAAGCCGATGACGAAGTCCCCGTTCCATATTCCACCACAGGGGGCGGACTAACGGAGAATGAAGGGGTACGAGAGTGAACGGCGGGGCTGCTATGACTCGATGATGTCTCTTGGTCTCGTTCAGTGGAAGGAAGAGGCGTGTCTTTCCCGAAAGGAAATGGAGCTGTGGACGAATAGCTAGTAAATAGTCCAGAACGTGGTGTACTTGGATTGATCAATGGGCGACTCGATGGACTCTGGGTCGGCTCGGATGTGGATAGCGATAAATCAGGGTCCATTGTAGTAGTTAGGCTGAATGATAAATTAGTCCCGTTCATATCCCTCTTATTCTCTTGTGGTCATACTTACTCGCGTCACAATGCCAGACAAGACACCGACCGCTTGACTCAAATATCACCAGACTAGGACTTTCAAGAAACACGACTCGCTAGTTGAATGAGCAAATAGAAACGCAAACGGAAAATAACAGACCTCAAAATATTTATGAGGAACTACGAGGAAAATAGACGTATATATTACTTGACCCCGCAATGAAGGATGCGTAGGATCGAAACGGAGATGTAACAGAACATTGCGGCACAGCAGCCAGATCACCCAGATGAATGGATGGCGGCGCTTATCGCGACATTCGGTTAATAGCTTCTGACCAAAACGTTTCATTGATCTCTTTCTCAATCATATTTATTGCACACTAGCTTATTTAGTAATATTTCAGGTATCAGAAGTGTATCACCACTATACGGATCTTGATCCGAGTTGTGGTGATTGTTCGTCAAAACATCAATTCATTATGCGCGATATCGAAACAAGGCCTCAGGCATAAAAGGAGAACAACAATGATGACAGGCATTGCACTCAAAAGGTGAATCCATCTCTCCATAGCTTGCGACAAGGACGACAGTTGCAAAGAAAAATGTTTTAACGGACATGCGTGCTTGAGCTTTCAGGTCTTGGCATGATAAGCACTGCGAAAAGCCACAGCACGATGTTGCAGAGGCAGAGGGAGAGGCCTCTGGGCAAGTGCTCTCACGGAAGATTAGGAGGAACTGCTGTCAAAAATAGCGAGTGTAAACTCTGGGCGTACGTGTATCTCTGCCTCCTGATGATTCAAGAGTAGAGATGACATAGGTAGTATACTAAGAGAATCACTTCTCCCTTTTGGTCCAGACTAGCTTCAGTTCCGCACAATTGGTTGTGAAAACATCCTCGCTATCGTTTAGAAGCGTGGATCCATCTTCACCATCCGCAAATGTAACATCGAACTCGAGCACCAACTTCGAGATGACTGTTCTCAGCTCGTTCAGAGCCAGCTGCTTGCCAATGCAACCGAACTTCCCATTCGAGAAGGGCAAGAAGGCATCTTTCTTGAGGACAAGCTCAGGCTGTGTGCTCCAACGCTCTGGGATAAATTCGTTGGGATTGACATAGGCGCGTGGTGCTAAAAGAATGTTAGCATTACAAACACTGTGACAATGTCATTGTGGGAGTTACGCTTACAGCGATGGACGGAATAGATAGGTATGATAACATTCACACCAGCGGGAAGCTGCTGTCCGTTGATCGTTGCCCCTTCAGCACCAGTTTGACGGTAGAGGCCACCTGAAACAGGGGGATGTAGACGGAGAGTCTCGTTAATCACGCCATTGAGATATGGGAGATATTGAAGCGCCGTGATATTCAACGAGTCATTGTTCTCGACCTTGTGCTCGTTGAGTTCTGCACGCAACTTTGCCACCAGTGTTGGATCTCGCGAGAGGTGGTAGAAGCAGTGCGTAAACGTCGCGGAAGTGGTGTCGCTGCCGGCAACGATTAGTAACCGGGAATCGCCCATCAAAAGGTCTCTTTCTAGATTTGGGTCGTCGAAGAAATTGCCGGCCTCGAAGATATGAGACATAACGTCGGGTTCCTTGGGTTCGTATTTCTGTGCTTCAGTTAGCGCCCGTAAAGATGTCTTGGACTTCCTTACGTACCTTTCTTTCCTCAACACATTTATCACTGTACAGGAGTAAACGTCCCTGTGGGTTCATGGACTTTGGTATCAACTTGATTATGACATGGACAATCCACCCTGCTGCACCAGTTACCCCCAGAATTCGTGGGGAATCGCGCACCATATCAATGTAGAAATGCGACTTCCCCGTTGCGAGCGCATTGAAGGACCGCCCGAATGCCAGATCGCCTAAACCGGGTCAGTTAACTCAGCACCAAACTTGAGGCGAAGGGGGACCAACCCATAAAATCAAAAGCAAAGTAGCCTAACCACTTCGAAGCGTTGACGACCTGTCCAGATCTTTCTGCAATTTGGTCCACCAGTTGATCCGCATAATGAATGATCCTGGAGTCGTATCCTCGTAGGGACTTCGTTGTGAAAGCCTTGTCCCATCCATGGCGTCGTCGTTGGTCATGGAGGCGTTTATCCCGCATCTGATGGATACTCGTCATCGGCTTGCCACCGTCATACCACTCTGCTTTCTCGAAGGTTGACTGGGCGCCGTGCACTGGCATTACCATATCGGGATCGGAGATGGAGAGGAGATTAGGGCCGATGCGAACATATTCTCCGTGCTTAGCGTGCAGGCGGTCACGCTGTCGAAAGTGGTCAAGCTTCTTAGCAGCCCACAATATAGGGACGAATTGCGATACTCTGGACGCGACTGGACCAGGAAAGTTCCGAAGAGGGTGGAAAAACAGTCGATAGATGCCGATACTGGTGAACAACGCAGCGAAAAAGGAGCCATAGCTGACAGCCAGGGTCACGATGGCCGCAGACAAAGTGAACTCAAAGTACTGAACAAGGGCGACGATGATAAGAGGAGGTCCACATGCGGTAGAAACGACATATGATGGAGCATGTAGGATATGGTCACCATGAATGAACCAAGCCAGATGAGACGAGACTCCAAGAAGTCCCGATGCAAGGGCAACAAAATTCAAGGAGAACTCCATGGTTTCGGTGGAAAAATCCGAAGGAACAAGCAGCCCTTCGTTATGTTTGTCAACGAGAAAAGGTAAAGATAATATTGAAAAGTCTGGCACCAAGTTGGGGTTGCAAATGGAGCATCCAATTGATATCGACTATCAAATGTTCACTTTTCATGCATCGATTGCTGACCGATGACTGGGGGTAATGAGGCACTTTAAGTGTTGATCAACCGTTAGGAGTTAACCCTACCGAAATCATGCTGTACCTTGTAGCAGTTACAACCTACAACAGATGTAACCTCATCAGCGCCTCCGGAGAAATGTGGATCCAATTCTGAGGACATGTCAGATCTACTTTGATATTTGGGGAGTACCGCAACGTACATAGACTGCAAGGGCTGATGATGCCGTAATACAGTAGCTGAGAATCGGCGGCGTAGAGTGAACCTTGATCAGTTCTTTACTATGTAGGTAAAGATACTCCAACCAATCCGCTTAATATAATTACTCTCTTTGTGGTACATGGATGATTAGGGAATGGGGGCCTAACTAGGTAATACGGAGTCCTATCCTCCAATTGGTTGTCTTCGAAACTTTGAGGTTTGTTCTACTCCATCGATTCTCAAATATGCGTCAGCCCTTCCGGACAAACTTTGGCATCCCCTACGTAGTCGGTAGTATACGCGGGGGAGGTGGGGACGGAATTGACCGCGATGCGCACCCGGCCAACTGCAAGGGAAGGTCAAATAGGAAGCGTGATCGGAAAGCATAGGTAGTCGTTAAAACGTAAAGTTCGAGAAAAGACTCAAACATGTCGGCAAACTTGGAAAAATCGAGAATAATGTCGGATTGGTGGCTGACGGTCGATGGAGTTCTTGGACGACGATGTTCCAAGCATACCAAATGGTATCCATATGCCGAGGATTCAGTCACCGTAAGCCCTCTATCCAGTGGCGATCATGATATCAGTGCAGTGCTGACGCCTAACAGGAATCAGAATTCGACCAAGTGTCAAGTACTCAGCCTTACTCCGCTATGATGTGCAGACTACAGTAGGATGTACTATCAACTATGGTAGGATTTTCTGGACGAGTCGGGGGGCCTGGGCCATCCTAAACGATTGGGTTAACCCCTTGGAGAGTTGGAGTACTACTACGTATGTACGGAATACTGTGGAGTGTTACCTGCATTCATGTTGACCAAGATGGGCAAGAACGTCACAAGACAAGAAGGAGAGTCCCGCTCCGCATGTACCAGTAAGCACTTAACTGAATCCATGTAGTAGGTAGTTCCCCACATGGGCCTCGCAGAGAGGCCTGACGGGGGGCGTATGAATCTCTCTCTCTCTGAATCCATTTAAGTAACCGTGCCCCATGACCGCCCCATGACCGCCTCACACGGCCACACCTTCCGGTGTAGGTGCTCCCACCCCAAATCATCATTTCGAATCAAATCATCAATTTTGAGGCTGTCGACTATCTGCTAGATTTCTGGTAACAGATCAATGAAAAACCCTAAGTTTTCCGTCTCATCAGCTGTATCCCGGGTCGTATATGCCTCTGTAGATTTTTCTGCCCGCTTTCCCCGTTTCCAATCGCGTTGTATCTTCCTACTAAGGGCTGCTCGCTCCTCCGCGCCCCTTGCCTCGATATGGCGCTTTGCCTGAGCAACTTCGACTGCACCCGTATGACCGAGGGGGAGTTTGACCTGTCGGCGGCTCTTCTGCTTCTTGTCCTTCCTTTGGTGGCGTTGGATGGTATTCACGACACCCTTGAGCTCTTCGAGCAACTCGATTGACTCGATATTGGCCTGGGTTGCTTGGCGGATTCGACGTTAGAGTTTCTGACTTGAGAGTATTACCTCGGGCGTATTGAGAATATTTTCCTGTCTCCGGCGTGCCGTACGAATAGTATTAGGTGGAGTTATATCAGGCGTCGCCGTAATACTTGAGGTTTGTGGCGGTGGAGACCCACGGTAGATTTGAAGCTCCGACTCCATATCTTGGTCCAGATTGACTCGGTGTGTAAGAGTTGACAAGACGATCTCCGGATCTAATGGCCAAAGACCTCTGTTTTTGAATGAGTGTCGAATCGTACGTCCCTTGAAGGCGTCTTTACGGATTTTCGGCATCTCTTCGAGAAATGAAGCCTTATCAGCCGCTGAGAATCCCTACCTCGAAATCTGTGTATTTGACCGCCGGAAATAGTGCTTTAACGCAAGAAACGGCTTGCCGTCAAGAGGCTGAAGGAAGTGGGTTGTATGAGGAGGAAACGGAAACAGAATAATATCAACCCCGTGGCAGAATTCGACGAAATCACGCGTAAGATGCGAGCCGTGGTTATCCATAAGGAGAAGTCGTTTTTCCCCTTGAGCCACCCGATTCTGAGTATGCTCATGGAAATGCTGGATCCAATCGAAGGCAATAAGGTCATTTGACCATCCCGAAGTAGAGACGTTGATACGCCAGTCGTCCGGGACTCGGATATCTTTATACCACCGCTCAAGATGATTCTCGCCCTTCAAGATAAAATACGGCGGAAGAACGAAGCCGTCGGCCGCTATACACTCGATATCCGTAACTAATTCGCCTGTTTCTGTACTCGCACTGCCTCGGTTTGCTCCCGGTTGGAAACTGACTACCTTTTGACGTTTCCCTTCGCCTAAACGGAAGCCGCTTTCGTCGAAGTTATATATATTCTTTCGTTCGATCTTATGCTCTTCGATCTGCCGTTCAGGGAGAAGAAACCAATGCCGAATATACCCAAGGTCCTCGGAATAGAGGCGGTCGTCTTTGATTGGCTTTTGATCGATAAGAGGAAGAGAATGGCGTTTAATGAAGTTGTATTTCTATCCTTTACCGACGCGTTGAGGCGCGTCGGCCTCGTTTGGGCTATTCCGGCGGAGGATCGAGTTGGCGCAGTTCTCAATTTCCGCTAGGTTAGGAGGCGCTCCCCAATTATCGAGTAGGTTAATCCAATCGAGCAGAGCTTTCTCTTGAGACTTATCGAGCTTCGTGTTCTGTAGATATGGGTTGCGGTCGGCGTAGGAGGTCCGTTTCCCTTCGAGTCTGTTGTGAAGACGACAAAAGTAGAAGACTGATTATATTGATTGATTTCTATGGAGCCTAACTAGTTGGGGATGTCTAGATACAGATGGTTGATCA